TTAAATAGCGTGTTGGGACCACGAAGGGAAGGGGGTAGCAAGTAGGATGCTGATGTTGATGCTGAAGGTGGCGGCAAGGGCAAGGGCAAATGTTGGCTTTCGAATCCTCTATAGAAAGATATGTCTGAAGTAGGGTATACGGCAACATCAAGGCAATCCCCCTCCCACACCCACTCCAACCCACACTTACACACACACATCCCATGTATCCGAATCCCAATCCCCCTTCCACCATAACCCACACACAACCCGCAACAGACCAGACAATATTGCAGCGCGCATGGACCTGCCACCACATTCAATCCCCCCACCTTCTTCTCTTCTCTTCCCTCTTTGAAAGCTTAATCTTCGTGCTTGTGTTTTGCTGGATCGTCGATTGAGCTGAACCCTACGCAGAACAATCGAACACGATCTACCAGGTATCCTTCAAACTCCACGACTAGAGTAGTAGAGTACACTTTCACATCGTCGTCATCATCATCATCACCATCGTCATCAAAACGCTACCATCACGCCTTCCACCCGCCCACCTCCCCCTCTAATCGGTGAAAGAGGACAGAGTTTTTTCCAACGCTGTCGAACGGTAGAGATGGGGCGGATAGCTCATCGCTTATAGTTTGACAAGCAGGTCAGGTCTATCAGCCGTGAGAAGGAATTTTTTTTCCTCTGCTTCTTCTTTTGGGGGTGCGACAGTGCATATGCATGTGCATGTGGGGGGTTGTTATGTGAGGGCTGTTTTTGGTTTTGGGAGTGGGGGGTTTGGGTTAGGGTTTGGGGCTGGGTAGGGAGAGTGTGAAATGAAATGTTAAAGACGATGATGAGGATTTTGAAGGATGCGGTATCGGTAGAGAAAGGGTTAGACTTTGGATTATAAAAAGGGAAATGGATGGAGTGGTGGGATGGGGAGGGTGATGACGTTGGATACAGATATGGGCATGCAATGTGCAATGTTTGTGTGGAAGGAGCAGTTTTACCTTTGCGTAGAAAGCTTTTCCCTTTTTTGCAAGAGAAAATGGCAGGCGCTGGTGTTTTCCTCACACATGACACGCCAACGAGCGAGAAATCCAAAATGTAACTACGCATCACCGTCCCCAAAAACCCCCCCCCCCCCCCGAGAAAATACACGGCGATTGGAGAAAGCCAGTGCACAAAGGCAAAAAAGGAAAAATAAAGAAAAAAAAATTTTAAATAAAGAAGATTACAAAGCCTATCGCAAAACTCGAATCATACAAGGAAAGGTCGCCGCAAAACTCTGGCCAAACAAAAGGGGAGAGAAAAAACAGTGTTTGCGGGAAAGGGAGGGGGGTGATTGGTTGGCGGATGGAATTGAGTACACCGATCACCTACGACTCCTAGAAAATCTACCCAGCTATTTCCTCACTCTCCCCATGTCCTAATCCTACAGGCCATGCCATCCGTACTCGTTGCTTTGGCAGGGGGGGTGTGGGCACGTACCGTTGCAAGTAGCCCATCGGTACAACATCCAAAAGCAAGACCAGAGTAACCCCATCCAAACCAACGTGCTGTTAGATTGACAGAGGGGCGCTGGAGGCGTTTGGGCCGGAGCGCGGGTTCTGCATGTGTGCGGTGATTTGCGGGGTGTGGGATCGAGATTGAAAAGTTGCATGGTGGGAATGCGGGTTGGGGTTGTGGTGGGCTGTGTTAGGGGGGGGGGGCATTTGTGTATGTGGGTGTGGCGGGGGAGGGGAGCATGGTGGTTAGTGTGTGGGCTGATGGGTGTGGTGTGGTGTGGTGTGCTGTGGTGTGGTTTACGTACAGTCGAGTACAGTATTTTGCCTACTCTACTGGTGTGATGGGGAGAAGGGTCGAGACTGTTGTACCTGCGTCGCTGGACGAGGATGAGGTGATGTACAGGATAGAGTACGTGAGTGAGATACACAGCGCAGTACTACCAAGTTACTCTAAGTTACTCTAGGTACCGGAATCGGTAAGTAGACTGTACTATACACTCTCTACCGTACTACCGCATGTACAAGGGGCTGTACAAGTTCCGCCTGCAAGTGGATACAAGTACAGTAACAATATCCCTAGCTGACCTGAGTCGATCGCGAGATCTCGGATCCCACCTGTACCGTACAATCCTCTACTGTATAAGATTGACGGGGGATCCACTCGGGATCAGCTGGGAGAAGGTGTGTTTGGAGTTCTCGATTGGAGCCCACGTTGCATGCGCAAGTGCATTTGCTATTGTCATCTGAGCTGGGTTCTCGAGAGGGTTTGAGTCGCGAGAACAGATGTGCGCGAAGAATCACGATCGGTAGGAGGATGAATGGGTCGCACTGATCGTGATGGGCACGTGCGTCTTGCCTTGAACGGCGATGGAGAGCGGGATTTTGATTTGGCGATTGGAAAAGCAGCAGTCGTGCACCGTGGGGGGCAAAGGATTTTCTTCTGAGCGGGATTGAGTTTCTGGGCTGGGCCGAAGAAGTGCCTGTTCGGAAGCAGAGGCCCAGCGAATGAACAGGGAGGGTGGGCAGTGCACGGCGTTTGAGTCAGGAGGGGGAGGGTGGGCTGTTTGCGGTTTATGCAGGTAGTGGAGGTGTTGGCAGGGTGTTGTAGAGTAGAGCATGGGAGGTTGTGTTGTACCGGGATGGATGGCCAGAAATGCCATGTGTTTGACGTGCATGGTCATGAGGAGGGAGAGGGCAAGTGGACTTGGATGGCCAGGGTGTGTGTGAGAGAGGGAGAGGGAGAGAGGGAGAGAGGGAGAGGGGGAGAGGGAGAGGGAGGGGATACGGGAGCATAGGAATTGGAAATGCGCACCAGAGGCCACGAGGCGCAGGGCTGAGCTGACTAGCCGATTCAAAACGCCATGGGCTGAGCAGATTATTATTATTATTATTCTTGTACGGAGGATGCGGGTGTATCCTATGGTAGCTGCTAGCTACTTGGCGATTACCTGGATACGTCCACATCTACCTAGGCACGGTAAGGAGAGCGTGATGAGGATGGTACCTACATTAGTACACTACCGTACACTGTATGGTTGCCGTATGGATCGGTCAGGCATTCTTCCCTACTACGGATTGGACAGGTCTAGTCGTTGTAGAGAGGGCAGACAGCGGGCGGGCTTACTTTGTCCCAGGAGGCACGGTAACACCAGGACGTACCATGGTAGAGTGTGGGTGTATGCAGAGTGAGTCCATCTTTCATCGTGGTCCATGTACCATACACGTTTCCTCCATGGTAGTCTAGGTCATGTACAGTACAAGTTTCTTGAAGGGTAGTCTGTGTACAATACAAGTTTGTACTGTGTAGGTGGTGGAGGAGCAGGGGAGCCAGGCAAAAGGTATTGCAGTGGACCAAAGAGGGTCAGCTCTAGTCTAGCGTGGGCTAAACGGTCTGGGACTCGCCGCTGTGAAGGGGTGAAGGGGTGAAGGGGTGAAGGGGTGAAGGGGTGAAGGGGTGAAGGGGTGAAGGGGTGAAGGGGTGTGTGTGTGGGTGGGGGACTGGCTCGCTCGTCTCGATTCGGGCCTGGGGAGGGGGGAGGACGGGGGCTGCACATCAGACCACAAGAAACACGTCAATGCCAGACAGTGCAGTGTGGACAGCTTCCTCAACTCGCTCGCTCGGGCTTCTGCAGGGTCTCTTTGGTCGACGGCAAATGCCATGCCTAGGCGCCGGTTTCTCTTCTTGCAGCATCCTTCAAATGATCCAAGTCCCCCATTGCCGTGCTTCCTCCACCACGGACGTCACACACGTCATGGCGATCCCTGCCTCTTCCAGCCCTGCTATGCCCGAGTTGACAGACGTGTTGGACCGCCTGGGGCTGTCTGAATATCATCACGTCCTCGTCGAGAATGGCTTCCACAGCTGGGAGACGGTCGTCGACATCACAGAGGAGGATCTGACCGCCCTCAACTTCAAGCTGGGCCACCGCCGCGCCCTGCAGCGCGAAATCGCCACCTTTCGCGGCATCCCCTCGACCCTCTCCCTCGATCTCGACAGCAACTCGACTGAACCCATCTCGCTCTCCACTTCCCTCTCCACTTCCGCCCTCGAGACCCTGACGAGGCAGACCTCGACCCCACCCGCGCGCGAGAAGAGAAGGTACCGACGACATCCGCGGCCAGACGCCAATGCCCCCAAGAAGCCCAAGACAGCCTGTACGCACGCCCTGCCTGTCCTCCCTGCCCTTTGATTTCTTCCACCCTCTGCTCCCCCTCCCTCTGCGCCTTCTCTGGATACCTACGGCTGCCTTGCGCCTGGCTGCCCTGTACTGCCTGCCGAAGCGAACAAGCTAACGACCAACATCAGATGTCAATTTTGCTGATCAGCTGCGGCTCGATCCAGCCGTCGGCCAGCTCTCCTTTGTCAACATTGCACGAGAGGTGGGTCGACGATGGCAGGAGCTGCCCGCGGAGCAGAAGCGTGTCTGGGAGAGCAATGCGGCCCGAGCGATGCAGGAGTTTGAGGCCCAGATGGACGAGTACAAGAAGACGGACAACTGGCGCAACTACCAGATCTATCTCAACGACTTCAGGACCCAGCAAACCGCGCCCTCGAGCAAACGCCCGGGAAACAGTCGGTCCACCACCGACACCTCCAACAACACGAGACAGCTGTCGCGTGCGAGCCCGAGCTCATCCGACAGCCCAATCTCACTCCCATCGAACCAGTCGACCGGAACCGAGGCCGAATCAAGTCACAATGCACTCACGCTGGCCTTCAACGAGCTCGTCGCCCTCCGAGGTGAGATTCTGAGCCAGGGCACGCCAGCCTACGACCAACACCACTTACCGTCCGAGGAGCTTCTTCGCCGCTCCATGCATGCCTTTATCCGTGGCACTGGCTCTCTTCTCTACATGTGGACCTATGCCCAAGCTGACGAGATTCTCGACCGCATCTACCGCCCCAGGCTGCCAGTCGATGCCATGACGCTGGCAGAGTGCTTCACCGTGGCCGCCATGGGCGCGCATTATGACGTGGATTGCTTCCCTGACCGTCTTCGCCGCGTGCTCTATGCTTCGGGGACGTTGCATTTCAACGAGCAGACTGCGCGGCAGGACTATCTGAGGACGATGCGTCTGCTGCTTTCCATGTCTTTTTATGCGCTGCTGGAGAAGCACATGAGTGCGAGATATCTCATTGCAGCCGGTCTGCAAATTGCTCGCTGGAAGTGTCCCCCACTACACTTTTCCACGAGCAAATTGGCAGGCGACGGCTGGAGAAGGGTGTATCGAAGCTTGATCTTCATGGACTGTTGGTTGAGCTACACGCTTGGCTACACGTCTGATGTCCTGCCCATGGACGTGCAGATTGCCTGCAGCCCGCAACGTCAGGATCTCGTCACCGTCGACGAGCTCATTCACGTTCAGATGAGCAAAATTGGGTTGATTGCAGCAGAGATTGCAAAAACGCTAGCCTCTCCTGAGCTGGTGACGCGGGAAAACATTCAGATGCTCACGCAAAAGCTGGAAAACTGGCGCCTCGACGTTCCACCGATGCTGCAAATTCCCGCCCTCACTTCAAACGCGTCGCCAGACTTGACCGTCTTCCAGCGTCGAGCGATCCTGATGGTCCACGTAAGTCGATGGCCGTGTGGAAACGAGCCAATGGTGTGCTGATGTGAACAGATCATGTATCTCGGTGCTCTCGTCCTGCTGTACCGCCAGCTCCTCGTAGCCACAGCGGAAGCCCAACTCACAGATGGTGCTGCCGCGCATTCCAACTTCTCTGCCGACGATGCACGCATCTATCGCAGCGAGTGTGCGACAGCAGCCCAGCAAATCGCGCGAATCCTCAAGCTGATTTCCTCTGACGGCACCCTGACCCGGCGCTGTTGGATTGTCATCTACTGGTCCTTTTCCGCCGCCGTCGTGCTGCTCTTCAGCGCGACTACGAAACTCGTCGACGGTGAGCCCCAGGGAGTCGATGCCGACCTCACATATGCCAAATCCTGCATGGACATGCTGGAGCCATGTCGGCACTTTGAGCCCATTGCCGCACGCTTTCTGGACACGTTATGGCCTTCTTATGATGCCCTACGCGACGTCCACCAGCGCATAATAGGCCGATCGAAAACCAGCATCTTTGCGCTCCTGCAAGCCGACCCCAGCCAACTCAGCCCACCGGTCACGGTGTCCAAACAGGAAATGGGACCCATTTCCGAGAAACTGTCATCTCTACTCATGGATCCCTTTGGCCGCAAACAAGGCCTAACCGATGACGGAAGTATGAGACGGCTTTTGAATGCGGATGGCAGCTGTGCCGTGTTCTGGTGGAGGTGAGCGACCAACAATGTCGTTGCGTAAGAGAGATGTCGTGCCAACGCGAAGATTAAAGGGTGCTCAAATATGGCAATCTGCCTGATCCCACCGCGTTGAACGCAATCCAAGCTGCGATCAAATTGTTGACCTAGCAACTGACGAGGACGACGAGGACGACGACGATGACGAAGAGTTTGTCCATAACCACAAACGACTGACCGATTCATGACGCTACTGTTGTAGCGACCGTGCTCTTCAGCTGGGGATCACTTGCTAGTCGAGCTGGGATTGCATATTCCGTGACTTTTAGTTTGTTACCTTCTCAGTCCCAGTGGTAACATTGTCCTACAGCCACATGCGAGGTCACCAAGACACAACAGCGAGCCGGAAATGGATGCAATACGTTTTCTGCGCATGGGAATGGCGGAGTCATTGGAAGTAGGCAGTAGCAAGCGGACCTGGGCCTTGTTCAGCTCGCGGGGAAATGGGGATGCGCCTTGTGCTACTGTTACCTGCGGAGAAGACGTCGGGAGGAGATGGGGAAGAGGGGAACCGAGATTGGGAAGGAATGGGAAGGGAAGGCGCAGTTGTGAAGTTTTGCAGCGCGAGCATCTTGGGGATGTGGTGCGGATGTTGTGTTTTTTTTGGTATGGTGTGGTCTGCTATACTGTACCATGGGATGCGATCTTGAATGGATGGATGGATGAATGGCTCGAATGAAGAAATGGTTGACGGGAGAAATGGTCAATGTATGTGGACAGATGGATAGCCGGATGACCATGTGTTTCCAATCGACTTTCTTCTCCTCTTGTCTTTTCAAGTCTTGGGTTTTGCAACGTCGAATTGTGTGTGGCGTTTTGCGTGGTGTGGAAAGGTCAAGTTGTTGATTTTGTGCGTGGCCTTGGGCGTTTAGCAAGACTACCCAGTCCACGGTGTACCGGTACATGGTACAGAATACCGGTACATGGTACAGAATACCGGTACATGGTACAGAACTTGCACCAACGCGGAAATCTCAAGGACGATGCTGTGCGTTTGTTTGAGATGCTCTGGTTTATCATGTGTAGTAGGTACTCGTACTCTACTACCCTACTACTGTATTCTACTACCCTACTACTGTATTCTACTACCCTACTACTGTATTCTACTACCCTACTACTGTATTCTACTACCCTACTACTGTATTCTACTACCCTACTACTGTACTCTACTACCCTACTACTGTACTCTACCCACCCCACAGCCCTACCGTACCCAGCCACCCGTACCCAGCCAACCGTACCCAGCCAACCGTACCCAGCCAACCGTACCCAGCCAACCGTACCTAGCCAGCCCTACCCACCCCACCCCAAGAACCTTTCCCTTGTCGAAAAAAGAAGTAGTCTATCTGACACCAGGGCGAAACGGACCCAGCCCTGCACACGCCGACGCAGTGCACATGGCTGTGTTGTACGAGTTAAACATGAGACGAGGTAGGAGCTTGTTTTGCGCGGCGTTGGGGGGTAGGAAGAGGAAGAGGAAGGGAATGGGAATGGGTATGGTAATGGGAATAACAACGGAAATACGCAGATGAGGCGAGAGCAAGGACGACAAGAGCAAGGATGGCAAGAAAGGCAGGTTACTAGTACCGGTACACGACACGCAAGATTCCCTATATAGCCATCATCTCAGTACTCAGCATACCAGACCATACCCAGCATCCACAGTAACGTGTACTCTACGCAATGTACTCGACGCAATATAGTACAGTACCTACGGTCACTATAGCTAATTAGGGTACCGGTACAGCAAGACTACCATGGTAGGTATACATTTACAAAAGGCAGCCCAAGCGAACGGCCCAGAGCGCTAGGGTGCAGGGTGGTGCCCGGGGAAAGGGTGGCGAGGTCGTTGGCTGTGCTGGGTGTTTGGGACTGGGTTGGGACTGGGGGAAGGCAAAGGCGGAGGGAGGGTGGTGGTGTTTGTGTTGTGTGCTGCAGGTATAGGTATTTCATCATGGTGTGCGCATGGTATCTACTGTAGATGCCCAGTATACGGATGTAGGATACAGACTCGGGACATCTACAGTCATGGTGGAAGATAGGGTGAGGTGTAGGGGCAGTACTAGTCTAGAGCTAGGGGAAAGGAGTACGGTACCGGTACGGTAGGGCAAGGCGTATCGTATCTACCTACCTAGAGCCAAGGCAAGCAGCACGTGCAAAGGCTGTACCGGTAGGTTCACAATTATGGGTATGCAATTTAACAAGGTGCATGGCGATAATACCGTGTACAGTAGGTACTAACAGTAGGTACAAAGTATGGTGGGGATGGGGTACGTACTATGTCATGTATCTAAATTGGTGCACATGTCAATGGTTACGTATACACATGGTATACATAAAACAAGGCGCCGACACGTCCTGTGGGCTACCTACCGGATATGCAGTACAGTACTCACCAATGTGGACTATTAGCTACCAGATCCCATCTCTCGTAGTCTTGGGCTGGGTTTGGGGGATGTTCGGGCTTGGGGATAACGTGGCGTGGACGAGAAGGTTCGACTGTGTTGCATAGGGTGCCTATAGTACCACAGTAGGCGGTATGCTGTGCGCGCAGGTCGTGTGTTTGTGCCGTTCGAGTGCTATCTTCGGAGCTGGCCATTTGTCATCTGCGACGACGCGGCATAGTGGTGCTGTGCAGTGCGTACTGTGTGCAGTGTACGGTACTGCCGGTAGGTATGACGGGGACTGGGGAAATTGGCAATAGAGGTGGTCGTAGTTGTTGTACCGTGCCATCAAGTTAGATATGGATGGACGGGTAGCGATGGTACCGCGTACAAATCAAAGTACATGTACAAATGCACATGCACTGCCAACTGTCACCAAATTGCACTACCTGTATTTCCTTTTCCCTCTTGTCTGCTTCCTGCCACTCCATTCAGTCGTCGTTATCGCAGCCTCAGCATTCCTCATCTGCGTCTGCGTCTGCGTCTGCGTCTGCGTCTGCGTCTGCATCGGCACCCAACAAACTTTCCGCACGCCATGCGCCATGTACCCATTCAACCATGGCCATGCAAGCTGCAAGCCGAAATGCCAGTACCTTCTCTCTCCCCTCCATGCTTAGCGTTTTAGCAGAAAGGGGAAACCCGGGGCTAGCGGGGAACCGAGCAAGTCATCAAGAACAGAACAGGGGGTTCTAGATCGACACACGTTCCAGCAGTCGTGCGGTGCTGGCGTGCAATGTGCAAGCACCAATTGCAGAAAGTGGACTTCTTTGGGCTTGCGCACGCGTCATCTCGGGAGGTTACCGGTAGGGTAGGGGGCGCGGAGAGAAGAGGGGCAAGGGGAGGGGGAATGACAGCGGGTTGAAATATGTATGAAGGGGCTTGCCCGGGTTATAGGAAGTGAAGGCTGAACGCGACTTCTTTGCGATACCCGCTACTCTCTCTCTCTTTCTCTCTCTCTCTCTCTCTCTCTCTCTCTCTCTCTCCATTGACAACTACCACCGTCCCCTTTGGCCCAGCGTGTGGTCTTGTCAAAAGTGGTCATCATTCGAGGACTGCTTGGCTTGATCCATCTTGATCCATCGTCACTACCATCCACCCGCTCGGGACGAATCGCCAGGGCCGCTGCTCCAAGGAATTCATCTGGACTACGAAGAAGGGGGAACACCAGGGAGGACTAATCAATGCGAACATCTCCTCTTGCACGACCGCCTGCGAAAGAGAAACATGGCTGCTATCACTACCACCACGCCTACGACATCTACAACCACACCGACGATGCAGAGTCCGTTTGCGATCCCACCTGAGGATGTGGCTGCGCTCGAGGCCTCGCCGGGTTTTTGTGTGTTGAGGGCTTATCTGGCGAGGGAGACCGAGTATGTGTTTTGATTTCCTGCTTCTTTTTCCTGTTGTTCTTCTTCACCGAGTATGGCATCGGCTGCATGCATGTACACCGCATCTTCAACTTCGCAGCCCCATCGTCACCACCACTCCCCCCACATACCCACACCTACTAACCCAACCCACAGCTTCTGCCCAACCCACACAGCCTGCACCCCCGCGGCCAAACAAACCTTCCTTCTCCACCGCGACATCCTCCACGCCCTCATCATGCCCGTCGTCGCCCTCTTCACCCGCGCCTCGGCCCTCGCCTCCGCCGCACTGTGCTCCCCCCGCCCCTCCGACCTCGAACTCGCCTTCGCAGGCGAAGCCCGCGACGCCTTCCTCTGCCTGCAATGCTTCATCGCCGAGGAAAGCGAGTGGTGTCACACACGCGGCTGTCCTGCCTGCGTCGTCACCGAGACCCTGAGCACAGATAGCCACATCCGACTCACCATTGCCGCCAGCCTGCTCAGCACCGCGGGCGTGGCCTCACCTGGCCAAGGCGTTGTCGACGGGCGTGAAAACGGTGGAGATGTGAATAGGGTGTTGCCGCCTCTGCCGCATATCCTGCCTGCGCTCAGGGACGCCGTGGTCAACGATCCGTTTTGGGAAGGCCCGGATATCTGGTCGTATATTCTGTCGCGCGCGACGCAGCTGTCGGCGGGCATGCAGGCGCTGATTGCAGAGTGTGTCAATCTGGAGAGCTTGGTGTCGAGTCCGGTTTGTAGTGGACGTGCCGCGGAGCAAGAGGTCAAGGGCGGCACAACTACAACCACGACAACCACAGCAACAACAACATCGACCAAGCAGACAATGCATACTTTAGCAGTGCGACTACCCGGTGCCCAACCAGCACAAGAAAAAGGCGTCAGGCTGCGCAAGAGCAAGCTGGCTAAGCGACAATTGAGACTCAAAGACGAAGAGCTAGAAATGATGCGTCGCGTGGCAATGCAATGTTGGGCACAAGCTAGAATGCCCAAGGCGCTCAGAGGCGAGGTCCTGGGCCTGGGTAAGAATGCGCGCGCCAGGAGTTTGACTTGCCCTTGAGAAGCAAGAGGGCCCTGTGAATGGTGAATGCTTTTTCGTGCCTAGTGGGGGGTCAGTATTGAAGGGAAGGGAAGAGAAGAGAAGCATTGGGATAGGTGTATATGGCGTTTTTCTTTTGTCTTTTGGGAGGGGAGGGGGGTTGCATATGATACCATTGCGAGTGTCTTTTTGCGTTGTTGGGATGGATTGGCCATGTGTAGACTCTTGATTGCATTGCATGGGCAAACAGCAGACGCATTGCTTTGTTTTATTCTCTTTTGTCACTGTCGCTGTCATTGTCATCGTCGTTGTCCTTTGTACGCATTAGCATTCCCCAGCATCACCATCGTCACTAGACACTAGTACCACCCGTCCTTGACACATCACTTGTACATTAATATCAATACCGCACACACCTCGCTTTACTACGCAGAAACTGTGGGATTTGGTGTATGTTGTAGAGTGCGGGTTTGGAGTGCGGGTTTGGAGTGCGAGGTGATGCGTTTACGCCCTCGTAGCTCAGCGTCCAGCAAGATACCGCCTGAGTATGGTGTTTGTCGTTGTTGATCCTGGTACAAGGGATACCGCATCAAAGGTTGCTGCTGGATGGGGTTGGGGGTGTGCACTGTCAGCATCAACAAGCTCTTCTACTTTACAGGATGTTTGTTTAAGCGGGGATTGTACTATGTTTACACCTGCTTGAGACCTGGAGGACCGAGTTTTTCTCGTGTGTAGAAGATGTGGCTTGGGGGTTGAGAAGGCTTGGGGGTTGAGAAGGCTTGGGGGTTTTTTTTTGTGGTGTTGATTGGGTTGGGGGTGTGCTTGGTTTGGTTTGGAGGGATTGTGGGTGGGGTGCTGGATGCTTGGGTTGAGATGGAATGGACGGATGATATTCGCGGTGTTGATGCTGTTGATCAGTTGATGCCTGTGGACTTCGACTTTCGCCTAGGTACTGTACCGGTACTCACTCCGACAGTTGGCTGACCATGAGCCATCATCGCTAACAAATCAGACGACTCGAGGCTCCATCTCATTGCAACCACTGTCAGGCAGCCGACACCAGGCAGCCGCTTTTGACAAGCCCCCCAGATTATGAGTCCTTTGGCACGCAAGTAAGCATCATCCAAGTAAGCATGATAACGCACCAATGCCAACTAGGTATCCTACGCATATGTAGTACCTGGTAACTACACCACTACACAAACATTGCTGCCTGGGCACTACTCTACAGCGAACCGTCCAGATCATGCAGCCCGGCCGGAAACCTGAAAAAAAAAAACCAACGACTGAAACGCTAGAATCGCGAAACTGTCCACCATCAGCATCACTGCATGTTCTTCCATGGCTGCCTTGCAATTTCAACACCGAGTTCGCATGGGTTGCCTAGATGCGTAGTCGTCGGGACTTGATGGTGGCCGAGAGCCCGATGTCTTTTTTCGCCGCTGGGCCCTGGCTTTCGTAATCCGTCATATGTCATTGTTTTAATGGGGATGATGACCTCTGACACATGCCACACTTGTTATCCCATGTCAGCAGTGTGGGGACCAGGGTAGTCTGACCGACGGCATCTAGGATACCCGTTGGTAACTTTGTAATAGTAGATCTGAAGAGTGGATTAGACAATCGTACATCCAGTAAGATGGGGTCAAGAGTCAAACCTCGTCGCATTCTGGTTGTTGACCGCTACTTGTGCGTCTTTGCGAGCTGTTCCTGTTGCTCGTTCGCCTGGGCCGGTCTGGTTTAGCCCAGCATATTATAGTATAGTAGGCAGTTTCTCTGAATAGAGACAACACGACGGTGCGGATCCTACGAGGGAAGTGGGCAGCATCTCATGTGAAACGAGGCTCCGTATCGCCGTATTCGTTAGTGTCTGGCCGGATTAGGCTTCATCTCGGCCAGCGGAGACATGGGCTCGGGCTCTAACCGAGAGGCTTGGTAGCGCCCACTAAACTCTTTTCAGCCTAGCGGCTACCAAGTTCGGGCAGCGGCTCGCATATGTCCTCCTACAGTCTAGTCGACAGTGGCGCCCTTAGTCTTGGACTTCCTTCGAACATAGGAGCCTGCTTCTCCTCGGTCGTCTTGCCTTCCTCAAGACTCAAGGGCAGTCCGACACTCACCACCTCAACTATCCTTTTGGCACCGCGTCGTCCCCGGGTTTCCAGCATGGCGACTACAGTAGGAGCAACGGTGACTGGTGTGGCCGAGGAAGAGGTCAAGCAGATCGCAGTTGGCCTCAGTGAACAAGAGAAGGAAATCATGGACAGACAGACGGCCGCTCCCAATCTCACAGTCGGCTACTTTTCTCTGTTTCGATATGCCAGCCGAAAGGACATGGTCATCATGATCCTTTCCTTGATTGCCAGTATCGCAGCCGGTGCAGTCATGCCCCTCATGACCCTCGTCTACGGCAATTTCGCAGGCAGTTTTACCAGCTTCTCAGTCGACGCCACCGCAGCTGCCAAATTCCGGCATCAGATCAACACGTATACGTTGTACTTTGTTTATCTTGGTATTGGATCTTTCGTCACCTCCTACGTCAGCATCATCGGCTTTTCCTACACGGGCGAACGCATCACCCAGCAGATTCGGGAGCTTTATTTGCGTGCAATCTTCAGGCAGAATATTGCCTTTTTCGACTTTCTTGGATCGGGAGAGATTACGACACGGATCAGTTCCGACATGAACCTGGTCCAGGATGGAATCGGGCAAAAGATTGGTCTTTTCGTCACGGGCGTGTCCATGTTCGTTTCCGCCCTCATCGTCGGCTTCGTTCGCTCATGGAAGCTGTCTCTGATCATGCTGGCGGCTACGTTTGCCCTCATTCTCATGATGGGTGTCAACGGCGCGCTCATGAGGAAGGCACAGACATTGTCGATTGATGAGTACGCCACCGCTGCATCGTTGGCAGAGGAAGTCTTGGCATCAGCACGCAATGTTGCCGCTTTCGGTACCCAGAAGCGTCTGGAACTAAAATACAAGGACTTTGTGGATCGCGCGTCCAAGTTGGACTACAAGGCCAAGTTCTGGCTGTCCATGATGATTGCAGGAATGATGTGCATCCTCAATCTGCAGTATGCCCTGGCTTTCTGGCAAGGCAAGCGGTTTCTTGACAAGGGCGAGCTCGGTGTATCAGAAATTCTGACTGTCGTCATGGCTTTGATGATTGCTGGCTTCTCCATTGGACAGAATCTCCCACACATTCAAGCATTTGGCGGAGCCACCGCAGCTGCCACAAAGGTATTCAACACCATCGAGCGCCAGTCACCAATCGACCCTGAGACCGATCAGGGCGAAATCCCTGGAAACTTTGTCGGCAACATCGAGTTCAAGAACATCAAGCACATCTACCCATCTCGACCGGATACCGTCGTGCTTTCGGACTTTAACCTCAATGTGCCCAGCGGGAAGATGGTCGCTCTTGTTGGTGCCTCAGGCTCCGGCAAGAGTACCATTGTCGGACTTTTGGAGCGATTCTACCTGCCCATGGAAGGGCAAATCTACCTAGATGGCAAAGACATTACCACCCTGAATTTGAGGTGGCTGCGCCAACACATGGCCATTGTCAGCCAGGAACCAGTGCTCTTCAGCACAACCATCTACGAGAGTATAGTACATGGCTTGGTCAACACCGAACATGCCAACGTCTCCGAGGAAAAGAAGATGGAGCTGATTGAGAAGGCTGCGAAGATTGCCAACGCGCATGATTTCATCAACGAGCTGCCTGAGAAGTACCAGACCAAGGTTGGAGAACGGGGTAACTTGCTATCTGGAGGACAAAAGCAGCGTATTGCCATTGCTCGTGCCATTGTCTCAGATCCCAAGATTCTTCTACTTGATGAGGCTACCGCTGCTCTCGACACTAAATCCGAGACTGCTGTACAAGAGGCGCTTGACCGCGCATCACAGGGTCGGACAACCATTGTCATTGCCCATCGACTGTCTACTATCAAAAATGCTGACAATATCGTTGTAATGGCCTCCGGCCGCATAGTCGAACAGGGAACTCATTCAGAGCTCATCAGCCTGAACTCTGTCTATGCTAGCCTTGTCCAAGCACAAGAGCTGACCACCCAGAACAGGCCTATGAAATCAGAGGTGGCCGCTGGAGATGTCGAGAAGCAACACTTTATCGAAACCGAGGCAGATAGAAGACTTGCCCTGACCCGGACTACGACTTCTGCACCATCACAGTTTGCCCCCAAGGAGGACGACAAAGAGAAAAAGTACGGGACGTGGGAGCTCGTCAAGTTTAGCTGGGAGATGAACAGAGGCCAACATATAATCATGACCATCGGTCTCGTCTTCAGTTTCCTGGCCGGCTGTAACCCAGCTATCCAGGCCATCTTCCTTGGTAACGCGATCAACTCACTGTTGTCTCCTGGTACATCGCTGGGCAGTTTGAATGTCGGCTTCTGGTGCTGGATGTTCCTCATGCTCGGACTTGTTATTGGTATATTCTACTACGTGCAAGGCATGACTCTATCACAAGGGTCTGCCCGTCTGATTGGCAATGTCCGACTACGCGCATTCGGTGCCATGCTTCGACAAGACATGGAGTTCTTCGACGGTGACACAGTGACTTCGGGTGCGTTGTCCAACTTTCTGTCCTCGGAAGCGAACCGGCTCGCTGGCCTCAGTGGCTCCACGCTTGGAACCATTGTCAGCGCTGCATCCTCCATTGTGGTGGCCGTCATCGTCGCCTGTGCGTTTGGGTGGAAGCTTGCACTCGTGTGTTCGGCGACTATACCTCTAGTCATAGGCTGTGGTTACTTTCGCTTTTACGCCCTCATTCGCATGGAGAAGCGCACAAAGGAGACCTCTGCTGCCGCATCATTCGCGTGTGAAGCTGCATCGTCGATTCGCACTGTTGCCTCCCTATCCCTTGAAAACCACCTGTTGTCCGAATACCACACGAAGCTCGATGAGCAGGCTCAGGGCAACATCAAGTTTACCAACGTGTCAGCTGCTTTGTATGCAACATCACAGGGCCTGAACATGTTCATCTTCGCCCTGGTCTTCTGGTATGGCGGTGGTCTCTTGTACGATCAGGAGTATACCGTCTTGCAATTCTTCATCGTCTACTCTGCCGTCATCAACGGTGCTCAGTCGGCCGGTAGCATCTTCTCCTTTGCGCCTGACATGGGCGAGGCGAAAGATGCGGCCAAGCTGCTCAAAACCTTTTTGAACCGCATCCCCAAGATTGATCATTGGTCGTCCGAGGGAAAGAAGATTGACACACTCGATGGCCGCGTCGAGCTACAAAATGTCCGCTTTACCTACCCGGGACGGCCAGATCACCGCGTCTTGCGTGGAATCAACCTGATTGCCGAACCTGGGCAGTTCATCGCCCTGGTCGGTGCCAGTGGGTAAGTTCAAAGATACACCAGCAGTACAGTTCCCTCACTTTACTAACTCTGCGGTCTAGATCAGGCAAGAGCACCGTCATGCAGCTGCTCGAACGCTTCTACGACGCCACCGATGGCTCCGTCTTCGTCGACGGCGTCAACATCAAAGACTACAACCTGCAAGCCTACCGCGCCCAACTCGCAATCGTCAGCCAAGAAACCACCCTCTACACCGGCACCATCAAGGAAAACATCATGGCCGACAAGGAAGACGTCAGCGACGAAGCCATCATCCAGGCCTGCAAAGATGCAAACATTTATGAGTATGTAACCACCCCTCCACCCACCAACAATCCAAAAGAAAAACCACCCCAACTAACAACCCAACCCCCAGATTCATAACCTCCCTCCCCTCCTCCTTCAACACCCTCGTCGGCGCAAAAGGCGCCCTCCTCTCCGGCGGCCAACGCCAACGTCTCGCAATCGCCCGCGCCCTCCTGCGCAACCCCAAAATCCTGCTCCTCGACGAAGCCACATCGGCGCTTGACTCTGGCTCCGAGCGCGTCGTGCAGGCTGCTCTTGATGCCGCGGCCATGGGCCGCACGACGATTGCGATTGCGCATCGCTTGAGCACGATTCAGCATGCCGATTGCATTTATGTGTTTGATCAGGGGCGGGTGGTGGAGTTTGGGCGGCATGAGGAGTTGGTGGCGAGGCGGGGGGTGTATAGTCAGTTGGCGAATTTGCAGGCGATGGGGGTGTCGCAGTAGGGGGAAGTGGATGGATGGGTCCAGTCAGGACGCGGAGAAGATTTTTCTCAAGAGGATTTTTCCATGAGGGGAAGACTTTTTTTTTATAGATTTGCATAGGTATTAGCGCTGGTTTTTTAATCTCCTCTTTTGTTAGAGAGAAAGGATACGAGGACGAGGACGAGGAGGCAGACGAGGAATAAGATGTACAAAAAGCCCAACAAGTGGCCCACGTATTGTAGATGAACCGAACCCTACATAATCAAACATTCACATTCACAACTCAACTATACTTTCCGCACAATCCTTCGCACCCGTCCCCATACTCTGCGTCTCAACAGTTTATCCAAGAAGCCTCGCTAACAGTATCGGCGCCCCTCATCAGCGTCGCCCCTTGACGCATTTGCCTACCGGTAAAAAGGCCACGAGAAAACGGCGTTTGGGTAAGTGGGGAAACGGCGATGGTAGTATGTATGCATTATACTGGGAGGGGACATATTTCTGATAGGGTGATAAAGGTGTATGATTGTATATTTACACTGTTCGAGAAACAGGTACAGCGCTGCTACAATTATTGATTTGTCAAACGAGATCCGGACATTATAGCTGCGATACCTCTGTCGCGCGATTGTGGGTTTCCGAAGGAGCACTTTGGGGAATGTGTTGGACAGTCCAGTCAGGGGATAGCTAGTCTGCTGCTATCAAGCCATGTAAGCCGTGTCTTGCTCAAGTACGCGAGGCTTTACGCCCGACATGAGATAGACGTGTCTGACATAAGCTCAAGTGCCGGTTTCCTATCATCGTTAATCGGATTTAGTACAAGATTGTGATGTATACGCAATTGATCGGCGAGCATTTCGAATAACAGACAGGATTGCTGTCTTACTAGGCGTGGCGGTCAGTTTCACTGCCTTGGAATGGGCCAGGGTGCGCGAGGTTGCTCAGATCATTTGCTCACACCGAGAGTTGTATATAGTTGTGGAATATAGAATAGACGTCGTACCGGTCAAGGATAAAACAAAGTCATGCGAAGCTGCATGTCTGATGTGTTGGATGAGTGAACGGTGAGTGTTTTGTAAACCAGGCTATAGAATTACTGGATTTGCATAACACAGCTCAGAGGATACGCAGCCTGTAGCTGGGCGAGAGCATGGCCAAATTATGAAAAGATACACTTTGGTAATATGCGTGCGTATCTTGTCTGATAGTCAATGTTGTCAAGAAATGCTGACATCATACACAATCGCGGTTTGCTTGATAGCCGATAGATCTTTGGGCGCATGAGAAGACGTCTAGTTTGATTGCTCTAAATGGCTGTTCACTGAATTTCAATATAGCAGCAAAACGCCGATCTAGTCGTGGTGCTGGTCTGATTGAGCTGATTTTAGGCTTGTTGACACGGACAGAATCTCGTAACAGCATGTGGAATGCTGCTGTTGAGGCACTGCACTCGACTCCCTTGAGTAGAGATTTATGATAACGAGGCGGTGGTGCCAAGCGCTGCTGGATCTTCGATCTTGGGCGGATTAGTGTCCATCTGAATGGTGACCTATCCATTTGGGTCAGTACCGGGCCCAGCGCTGTTCGTAACGGGTGGGACATGATGACGAGACCGTACCAGTCCGTCAACCAAGTCTTGGACATACTTACCGGCCCATCGTTGACTAGAGCAACATCCATCATGGCAGCGAAGACACCATCTTTGATCTTTTCTGTTTCATACAGATCCCCCATTTTCTTGTAAAAGGATTGGTAAAGTGTTTTGGCTTTCTCCCCACTTGCGCTCTGATGAAAGTCTGGCTTGTTCCCTTTCTTCAGAGAGGCATGGAGTGTAAACTGTGAGACTGCCCATGCTCAGCTGTGTGTGTAGTATATGGTAGTAGCTACATACCACAGAGAATCTCGCCATTGATATCTTTGATGTTGTGTTTCCACCTACCATGCGGCTCCGTGGATTCATCGTCCCAGAGCTTTGCCTTGAAGATCTTGCTGGCCATGGATTCAATATCTTTCTCGGTGTCATCTCTGGAGATGGCAGCAAGCACCAGGATTCCCTTGCCAATGGAAGAGACGAGCTTGCCATCGACCGTGACTGAGGCTGACTTGACTCTCTGTAGCACCGCTGTGATTTGTGTTAGTCCTGTGTGGTTACACGGGAGCTGGGTACTCAGGGCAACGCACTTCTCATGTTGGTGTTGGCGGGGTAGCCGAGCGAGAGGATGCTGGTCAGGAAAAGTGCAACCGTTAGTAACATAGGTACCGGCAGGTCCTTCCAGAACGAGCCAGCACATGAGGTTGAACAGAATCTGGTTCAACGCAGGTAACGCATGTCTGCTTCACGGCTCTCGCAGAACTCTTTCGCCATTCTCCCAAAGTTCCAACTCAAAATAGTCGAAACAGGCCCGAATCGAGGACATGATTGTGAAACACGTGCTCTCCATCTTTGACGCGTTGCGGGGAGCTGGCTGCAGCACTTCCGGCGCTAGGCAGTGGATCTGCGATGTCTTGGCAGCCTAACCGGAAGCGCGCTCGCTCTTGCGATAGGCTGAGACCTCCTTCTTGCCAAAAGCACGGCAAACAATCACATACATCGATTGCGACAGAGGCAAACACAGACGCACGACTCCAACAGCGAGCCGCCTCACTTTGCGCGAACGAATCGGACAGCCCGCTCCTCGACCACGCCCAAAGGCCCTCGCTACAACGAGGCCACACAGACATCATGGCAGCCCGCAAGCTCCAGCAGGAAATTGACAAATGCTTCAAGAAGGTGGCAGAAGGCGTCGCAACCTTCGAAAGCATATATGAGAAGATTATGCAGACGGGGAACCCGTCGCAGAAGGAGAAATTGGAGGATCAGCTGAAGAAGGAGATCAAGAAGCTGCAGCGGTCGCGAGATCAGATCAAGACGTGGGCGGCCATGGGCGAGATTAAGGACAAGAAGCCATTGCTGGACCACCGGAAACTGATCGAGACCGTATGCTGACTGCGCTGCTGACATGAGACGTACACTGACGCTTGGCAGCAAATGGAGCGCTTCAAGGCCGTGGAGAAGGAGATGAAGACGAAAGCATACTCAAAGGAAGGCCTGCAACTGGCATCCAAAATCGATCCCAAGGACAGAGAGAAAATGGAATTGGTCGATTTCCTCGTCTCAATGAACGAAGAGCTCGAGCGGCAAATAGAGATGATTGAAGCCGAGACGGAGACGATACAGGCCAATATGAAAAAGGGCAAGAAGGCGGACAATGCCAAGGCGGAGCGGATAGCAGCGCTGGAAGAGGCGACAGAGCGACATAAGTGGCACCAGGGAAAACTGGACTTGCTACAAAGAGCGCTGGAGAATGGCAACGTCGAAACGGAGCAGGTCAAGGAGATTGAGGAGAGCATCAAGTACTACGTCGAGAACAATCAAGATGCGGATTTCATGGATGACGACACAATATACGACGATTTTAACCTTCAAGAAGAGGAGGCAATTTTCGGGCTGGGCAACGATTTGGATCATGTCTCGTCACAAGATGCGCAGTCGGTCGCAGATGACACCCCAGAGGCCGAGGGTAGACCGCCAATGCCAAAGCCCAAGGCAACGGAAGCAATACAATCAGGGGCACGGCGGTCATCGACGCAGATGAAATCGCCACTGCCAGCCTTGGCCACCCTACACACCCCATTACCTGGTACCTCGAACTCAACGTCAAGTTCCATGAAGCCCGCGCCCATACCGACTCGAACACCCGGAGAGCCACTGAAATATGCCTCGGCCGCTGCCGCTGCCGCTGCAAGTGATAAGAATGGAGTGGGCATCGCGCCTCTGCCACCGCCACCTGGGGCGCAATCTGGATTGACACCAGCTGGCGCACGTCCAAGTGCAACCAACTCGCCCGCAACAACACACTCACAACCCGTCGCACGTACGCAAGCATCAACAGAACCTGTACAGACTTCAAGGTCCCCTGCCCCATCAGCCAGTGTGCCGGCCCCAGCGGAACAGTCGCAGTCACGTACCGCCGAACTTGAAGATGCCAGTAAAGCGAGCAGAAGGACTCCGGCGCCCGAACCCGTAGAGGAAGAAGAATCGCAAGCTGCCACACCGCCGCTAACTAATGGCGAGTCTCATGCCGATGATGAAGAGGAGGAGTCCGTTTACCATTTACCGTCGAGCCTGCAGGATCTCCTAGATTCTTTCGAGGCTACGAAGAATGAAATCCATGCCTCTGCAACGAAACCTCCGGACGAGCGCATGCTAGCCCAATCCATGACTACAGCGCCAGACTCCGCGGACACGGATGCGCCGCGTCACTACCGCCCACAGAATCCATATCCGTTTACCCCTTCGCATTATCCTCAGGAGCCACTGCCGATATTCGACGACCCTCGGCTGTACTCCAGAATAGAGACGGACGCCCTCTTCTACGCGTTCTATTACCGCCAAGGTACATATCAACAATACCTAGCCGCGAAAGCACTGAAATCGCAAAGTTGGAGATTTCACAAACAGTACCAAACTTGGTTCCAACGGCATGAAGAACCCAAGGCAATCACCGAAGACTATGAACAGGGCACTTACAGGTTCTTCGACTACGAGAGCACATGGTACGTACTCCAATCTCCTGTCTCCGCCATATACATGGTAGAACCTTGATGTCTTGCTATCGTGCTGCCTATTGTCGATACACCTTTGATGATTCTGCTAACGAAAGCGTAGGATGAACCGAAGGAAAGCAGACTTCCGCTTTGCTTACAAGTTTCTGGAAGATGAGTTATAAGTACCGTGTCTCAGTCTGGTCTGAGATGATCCTGGTCGCGTTCTGTAACAGTTATTAGGTAGTGCTTGAATGAGTCCCTTCATAGGGCAGATCTTGTGCTTCTTCGGAAATAAAGCGCTCCTCTCAGTCCTGTGCTAATCTTGATAAGAGTAGGCCCAAGATAATGTACATGAGGGTAAGATACGGTGAGCAAGATCTTGCAAGGGTCGCAAATATTACCGCTCATCTATGCAAAGCATTCTCTCCGCCAGTTCACTTGAGTCATCCAAGCATCGCGGTCGTTGGAGCGCTGGGGCGTAATCTGACAACATGTGGCTTGAGGCCGCGCAACTTCCGCCCCCAATCAGGTGGCCGGACCTAGTCTTGGCAAAAATCCAAGTGGCTGGCCTAGCGAACGTTCCCTGGCCCTCGATTCCTTCCGCAACAACGTCGAGACTACGAACGGCTCCGTCCAGTGCCCGAATTGTGCATGGCAGTGAGTGAGCGGTCACAGCATCAAACAACTTTGTTGCCTTTTGTGAGGTCGGTGAGAAAGTATGGCTAATCCTTCGGCTTGCAGATGAGCGTAGGTTGGCAGAAGCAGTCGATCATGGCCAACTTGCAGACGACCAGGGTCACTCTTCAAGGCCTTACCAACCGATTCGGGTATGCAGGTCGTTGCTCTACAACAACAAAAGATTCAACTCTGCATTTAGGCCTTCTTTCAGTCCCCGCGCCACGGGAAAATCATGGCTGAGGACGGGGTCCGAGACGTGTATGGACTATTTGGCTCATGACATTCGTCTTGTCTTGGTGCCTAACCTTCGGTGCCTTCCGTACTTCTTGTACCTGGCTCCATATGTGCCGACCCAAGAGCAGGGACGCGAGTCATTGTACACTGCTCCAATCATAGACTTCGCCTTTCCTGGAGTCCCCATCGGTTCCTATAGCCGGCCACATTGGAAGAGACGATCTATCTTGCACTCTCTCCCAGAGCAGTGGAGTACGCGTTCTGCGTTTTGCCAAGTATCAAAACTTACGCGATGAGCCAGGAACGGGTTGCGCTAGTTCCTCGCTCGCATGACACGGGAGGAGCCAGGCATGGAACAAAAAGCTAACAGGCGTACCTTACAAATCCTCTCCCTTCCGGGTAGGTCATCGTCACCGCCGTGTCCCACAGCATTAGATCAACCCAGAATGGGCCCCTGTCAAGCAAAGCCGCGGTCACGTCTTGCAGTTGACGCTAAAAGTCAGCCCTATGCCCATATATGTGTAGAGTACCGCTTGACTGGGTCCGACATAGCCTCTTTCTACGAGCCAACGGATCTCCTATTATCTCAGATTCATTTGTTTGCTGGCGTAGCCATCATCACCGACCGCTATTACGGCAGAGACATCTCCTCGTGGTGCGAATCCGTGATCCACTTTCGATCTCGTCCTATTCTTGTCTATCATGTTGGATATCCATGATTGGCATTCTCCAGTCGGGCGCCCTGATGTTTCTTACCCGCCAAAATATGTGTACGTCGCGCTTTCATAAGACTGAGACGTTGGGGTGGCAGTGAGCCAAGGTCTGGAAAAAACGTTGTCCTAAATCCCTTGTAGGGGTGGACTGCATGTTCCAAAGAAATATATCATAAACTGGCATTTTCTCTGGCACTGACAGACTTCCCAAGCTACCTCGAGGGGACTGATCTTGTTCATCGATCATTTGGTACTACCAGGAAACCTGGTAAACTACGCGTCGTCCCGCCCGCAACGCCCTACTATCGCCCGTCTCTGAAGTCAGGCACAAGCCGTAAAGAAGAAGCTATACGCCCGAAACAGGAACCTTCCTCGCCCGTCATGTCCGGATATGGGGTGTGTAATCGACGTCGCTATATTATTGATGGTACCCACTAACAAGACGCGATAGTACTCACAGTCTGATCAGACCGGGTACAACTACGCGCCTGCGTATCAAGCCGGTGTACCGCAGTACACGCAAACCCAAGTCAATCAATACTATGCACAGTATCAATGCTATCCTCCACAACCATATCATATCATCCCTGATTACTATGTTCAAGCTCCTGTGGTCGCGCAGCCCACTTTCCAACAGCCATTAACTGGATCTGGATATGATGCTCGCTGGCAAGTTCAGGCAGACAGCAACGAGCTGAATACACCTCAGGGTCCTACCAGGTAGCCCATTCCACGCAGACACTGTAGGCCCGCAAGCTAATACAATGCGCAGGAGCAATAGCCGTACACGGTATGTTAGAAATCAGCGCAATTCTTTGACACCGATTTTTCTATGAGTCGAACATATGATTAACCGTGCAACAGAACTTGGACCTGTGATATTCCCTCGTGCACCTCCTCCGCAAACTTTACCCGTCTCGCCGACCTACAGCGCCATCAATCGACCGTGCATGGCGTTGGAACTCCAGATTACCCGTGCACTGTTCCAAGATGCAATCGTGTTGGTGACAAAGGCTTCACGCGAAGGGATCACCTAGTCGAGCATCTTCGCAACTTCCATCACATGGACATTCCCAAGAGGCGGCCTGGAGAACGATCTGCATTCCCATTGGGGTGGCCGGAGGGTGGCGTGAGTCAGTGAGTATGATCAGGGACGAGGAAGAGGAGGGCTGATATGGGCGCAGGGGCTCGAGTAGTGGCCAGGTTGGTGGAGGTGAGCATGTACGCGGGACAAGTAGACTTGGCAGGTCTGGCCGGGTCACTAAACCTTCAAGGCGAGGTGGTAGGGGCGGTGGGCGAAGTAGGGGAGCGAGTAGAATCGCAGGGGTCGCACGTGGAAGTGTTGGATTCCTCACCGAGGTACAGGATCAGAATCCAGATATTGGGTCAGCGGAGGAGCCGGAGTTGGCGCGGACTTCGAATTCCGCAGACAAGGCTGAGGTTGCGGGTGCCCAAGGTCATGTTACTCTGGACGACTTACTGGCTCTCGGGGATTATCCAGTCCAACCCCGAGGGCATGCGGACACTGGCGACATCATTACCAACAATGAGCGTTTTTGCCCATGGGATATCACATAGAACAGGACATTTCGTTCACATCTACCTATACCGGCATTACCTATACACTCACTCCGTCGTTTTCATTTCTTGCATAGCATTGCGCGTCGATACATTTTTACTAGCCCTAGATAGCCCTATCACGCCTAGAACAATATTCCCTCCCAATTTACAACATCAGCACTATGAGATGACATCATCACGGAGCACATCATGCCAGATGCCATGAAACATGGGCGTACAAAGAACGTCAACTCCATCACTAGTCATGCTCTCATCTCACATGAACAAGCCAATCACGAGACATAAGCCGATTCGCATACATTCCCTCGAACGCCCAAAAATCACAATCCGATACTAACGTTATGACTAGCTCTTTTTTTCTCGCTTCCGAATACCGAGTCACCGTACCGTACTCGCTGTGCTTACATACAAGCTTACAAGGCTGATCCACGTGGGCGTTTGTTTGTGCCTCCGTGCTGCAACATTAGCATGGGTTGTCCTACCGTAGGTACTCGTACTAAGCGAATTGTGAGATGAGATGACAGGAGCAAAAAACGTCGTCGTCACTTCTCTGTGATTCTATAGTACTCGCATATCACAACCCAACCCCGAGCATTCCATCCTAGGTCCGAAAACACCGAAGTCTAGCTATGGGATGATATCAAGGCTGAGAGGGATTTATTGTGGAGTGATGGCATAGCGTAGTCGTGTTTATGCCAATGTTCTAAATCTGGAATCGCAGTTTACCTACATGGTGCGGCGAAGCGTAGTGCAACGCAGCACGAGATGGACGCCGCATTTAGGCCACCCCTCTCAGAGCGGCTATATGCGTACAGTAGGAGGGTTACCTACATCTCCAATTCCCCAGCACAAGTCTCGAGACGGCCCTTTTCAATCTTATGGCAAGCTAAGCTACTATAGCTTCTCACGCTATCGAATCGGGTTGAGTTGTGTTTGCACACGCATAGGTCTGTGATCATAGCATGTGCGGTACGTATGACAATTCTTCTCATCTTGCACTAACTATAGTTGAATCATAAGAGCCGCTCCTCTGGTGACTCAAATGGCTCGCTGTCTAGATAGTTGGAGGATGATTGCTTGTCGCTGGTGCTGTGTACATCATGCTTTTAGTTGCTTTTGCTTTTGAGCAGCAGTGAGAGAGTCGAAAAGTTTCTGTCTATTGTGCTTAAAGGATGTAGATGGATTTGAAGTGAGTCAACTCAGGTATATTTGGTGCAAACACCTGTGCAGCAGAAGTAATTGGGTCGCACCCGTTGTCTCCGTCGTCACGGAAGTAATGCATGATTTCCTCCCACACACCCTGGCGGCAACCTGGTTCAACACGCCGCGCAAATTGGGCAACAAGCGCACCGCACGGGTGAGTCTGTGGTTTCTAAGCAGCATCTGGGCAATGTCTTGATATTCGCATAGTTTTTCCATTGTCCATGTTGAATGTACGTGTATGTATCTCCTGGATCACAATATCGATTTCTGATTTGCTAAAGATGCGCCCATGTTCGAGTTCCTGCCCTTCTCGAACCATTTCTTATGCTGCCTGTCAGATGCTGTTGCGCCTTGGAGACAGATGTACAGCACTTCGTGACGTTGTCCATAATGAAAATTATGCATTCTATATTCAGAGTAGAGAGTTTGCCTGTGATGCGGAAGGAAGCAGTGTGTATCTCAGTCTCATTGTCTTGAGAAGTCAGAACAGATCAGAAAAAGAGACATTTGCGTAGAACTGCAGACCACATGAGGCTGGCTATAATGACCTTTAGAGCTGTCAGCCGTAGGGATAGCGTTTCTCTCTTCTTCGAGACTTGCGAATACTGATTACTTGGAGTGATCAGCAACGATGGTGGCAACTGTGTCATCGGAGCCCTAACTTCCATTGGAGAGGTGCGTGGTCCCGTTAACAGTAGGACCTCCATTGAGTTTCACCGCTGTAATGGTAGATGAGTGGTTCCCATTCTCCGCAATCGAGCCTCGCATATTTGGTATAAGTTCCGAGGGCAAGTCATCCACCCCGGAAACTATGAGTTCGCGGACTGTGATACCACTAAGAATCCTCATAACTGGCATGTTTACTTGCAACGTTTTCAGCCACCATGTACGGATTTCCACGGCAAGGAGAGAGTCAAGGCCGAACTCGTCTAGACGCGTGTCCAGGAAATGGGAATCTGGACTCTGGATTGCGGCCGTGTCCATTTGGAAAAGTGAGCCGATTACCGGCAAGAAAACATTCTTCAGCACTTCGGTCGCTTCCCCCCGAGATTTAGCTTTTGCCAGCAAAGCCTTGACAGAGGCTCGTGATTCAGACGTCTTGGAGGCCGTTTCGGCTGTGGCACTGCCAATCATATGTGCCGCCATTGGGTCAGAGTACCATGCCAAAGTTTTAGCTGGATTTGTGTTCACTTTCGAAATCCCCATTGTGATCTCAAGAGGTAATTTCGATCCGGGTCGTCCCGCCATCACAGCTTCGGCAAAAAGTTGATGGAAGTCTTGCTCGGACATGAACGTGTACTCCCCTTGTCGAGCAAAAATATCCCTAACTTCTTCACCTTTCTGGGAAACGTACCCGACACCCAGTATGGGCCCAATGTGCATAACTGAGGCAGCGAGGCCGCGTTGTCGTCTTTGTCTCGCGAGACTCGTCATGAACATATTTGCGGCTGAATAGTTCGACTGTCCGACATTGCCGATGATGGCAGTAGCAGAAGAGAAGAATACGAAGAAATCAAGCGCTGTATCTCCAAGTAGCGCGTCAAGGTTAATGCTGCCTTGTACCTTGGGTCTCAAAACCTTTTGCATGGTATCGTAGGTCATGTCGCGGAAGCCTATGTCTTGTAGCACCACTAGATAGGGAAGACGCAGTGGTTAGTTACAACTCAACTTTCTCTAGAATGGGACTGTATGTAAGAAATATGTTACTTACTTGCCCCTTGTGCGACGCCTCCTAATGGCGGTAGATTCGAGTGGATGTAGTGACACACAGCCTCAGTCTGCTCTCGGTTTGTGAGGTCGCTGCAAATCCATGTTAACCACGAACGTCAAACTGTACAAGATCATAAAAGAGATGGGTAGAACTTACCATGGAAGTATTTTGACGAGTCCCCCGAGTGTGGCCATCTTCTCCACCCAAGAAGCAGTAACATTGGGCCTGCGGCTGGTAATGACAATATACTTGGCGCCTCGTCCTATCATCCATTCACATAAGGATAATCCCAGGCCTCCTCCGAGTCCAGCGAGCCAATAGGTCCTGGTATTTGAGAAGAGGTTACCGCTATCGATTTGGCGGATTTTCACTGGAGCCTCCGTGATTCCGTCCCATTCGACCACGGTCCGTTCTGCTTCATCAAGTCCCTTCCCCGTCAACTCAGCGAGTCTATCAACTGACAGACGACGAACGTCTATATACATCTTGGGGTCGGATTTGCTTGTACAGGAAATGTATTGCTCAGCGTAAACGACTGCTGTAGCCAAGCGGTCCTGCAAATCCTCGTCACGAGCATTATCAGGAACTGATGGTTGTGTCGCGAAGTACTCGGTTAGAGAAGCGACCTTGTACCAATTTGAACGCAATGAAATGATACGGGCCACTGTGTTGGCAGAATGTTTCTGTGCCTCACAATTGAGAAAGACCAAGTTGTGTTTAGGCAGAAGAGTTTCTAAGCTCCGATCAGGGGCCCTCGGGTTGATGTGAACATACTTTCTCCCTCGAATAAAGTTGAATTGAGGCTTGTTTCCCATAACTGTCACATCTATGTGTCGCTTCTTGGCCTCTTCAAGTAGTAAAGCCTCAACGATGGTTTCGGGTTCGTAGGCGATGAGATGATTGCCTGGAGTCAGGTTGCGCAAGGTCTCGATTACGGCGAGACTTAATACGACGAGACGTAGGAATGATGCCTTGGAGTCTTTGGGGATGTCTTGCATGATTTTTCGGCTTTCCAGAGGGGGAACGATCTGGGAAAGCTTAGACGATAGCACAAGTTGAAGGTCCCCAGTGCCATTTTCTCGACCGAGGCTGATGTGACTGTATCCAAAATCTTTTTTGACTGAAACAGCGGAGGCGAGCGAATGCGAGAGTGTGACCTGTGTGTGTTTTGTGGTTGCAGACATTGTGCTCGACTCAGTATCGTACGCCTGTTCTTCTTCGAGACAGTACTCCTCATTGACGTCGTCGCGGGTTAGCCTGACGATTCTATCACTCTTTCCGATATCGACTCTCTTATAGATGGCGCGGCGTGAGGAGTTAGAGCGATAATTCATGTCGCTATTAGGCTTAAGGCGCGGAATCAGCATCTGACCATGAGCGTCAAGAACAATCTCACGCTCCGGAATATTGAGCATGTTGAATTGACCTCCATCATGTTGACCTGCCAAGTCTGCTTGAGCTTTGAAGCGAAGAAAGGACTTTGCAATGAAGCGAGCGTTCAACGTGTGAGCGTCCTCCAAGTCCAGAAACTGGGACGTCAGTGTAGGGACCTCGCAAACGACCCCACGCATTGTTCCAACCATTACTGTAGGCAAGTTAGAATATTGAATAAAGTAAATGGGGAGTTCCAGCATATGACCTACTATTAGCAAAAGGGTTTTTAGCCCGACATCCCTGAGTTACCCAGAAAATTGAGCCGAGGCTCTGCAAAACCTTCTTGAGTGCTTCAAAATCAGTGTTGTTGAGATTCTGAAACAAGGGCTTATCAAGCTCAGAAAGGCTCAGGATAGTCGACTTGACCGAAATTTCCAGGCCGTGGCCTACCAGGTCAGCAAAAGAATCGACCTGTACAACACTGTTGAAGTGTTTTTGGAGAATCGGATATAACTGCTCAAGCAACTGATGAGTGTCAGAAGTTTTTCCACCGATAAGTACTAGGTCATGGTAACCTCCAGGCTCAGTGCCGGACAGCGATTTTGACAATGGTGGGGACCAGACAGATAGTGGATCTCGGATGTAGTTCACAACATCGTCGACAGCCTGTGACACAAACACTGCCGTTGGATGGGAAAGAGGATAAGTGGCGGGTGAGCTGGTATCGCATCCAGAAAATCCAGTCGCACGTAAGAGCTCATCCCATTCACTCAACGACAAAAATGGCCCTAGCACTCGTCCCTCATTCACACCCACCCACCAGTCAGGGAAGGCGCCAAAAATAGCCCCAATTCGCGTGACGTCGTTGGAAAACCCTTCTTGAATTATGAGGTAGCCCCCGGGCTTCAGGAGCCGTCTCAAATTCTGGAGTGACTGTCGAATGGAAGGGGTGGCGTGCAGCACCATGGAAGCAACAATAAGGTCGTAGGCATGCAGTGAAAATCCCTGGTTAATTGGGTCACTCCCGACATCAAGAATTTTGTAATTTATCTTCGATGATTTGCTTTCAAAGACACGCCGCGCTGTGGTGAGAAACGCCGATGAAAGGTCAGTGAACGTATATGAGGAGAAGCTGTCGACCATGCCAAAGATGGATTTTGTTGCACTGCCGCTTCCACCGCCGACTTCGAGTACATGTAAGTGCGGGTACTTGTGAATGATCTGACTCGTCACTCTCCCGATATACGACGTCACTTCTTGTAGCCCCAAGGCCTTGGTGTAGGTCTCCATCATGAGTTGGTCTTTCCTGGTGATCTCACTTGCGGTCACTTTGCCTTTCGCGATGTCAATGATGTTTTCACCAACCCTTCTGAGCATCTTGAGGTCGATGTTGTCACTGTAAGGCTCTGATGCTTTAGCGATTGACTCTTGTGTATCGTTGTACCAATCGGGCTTCCAAAAGGGCCGGTCGCCGCGTCTGACAAGATACTCAATATGCTCAGCATATGCAAAAATTCTGGAGATAGGCCCTTCACGTCGGCAAGGATCGTCCTGAGGAATTGAGCACTGTAGATGGTGCAAGTAAAAGAAAGAAATCCTGTCCAGTAGCTGTGACAGTTCCGTCTCCTCGGGCGTTGGATTCAGATCGCAAGATGCCTTAGCAGCATCTGGGAAAGCTGGACCCCATTCTACATTAGCGAGTATCTGCTTGTCGTCTTGTGCCGTTGCTGGAGCGAACGGTACACATTCAATACCCTCCATTTGAATCATGGCATGTGAGAGTTCCTCGGATGTGGGGTAAATATCTACATCTCCTCGAAGTCCGGAAGACTGATTCGGCTGGCATGTATCTATTCTCAGCGACTTGCCATGGAGCATTCCTGGCTTGCATAGGGAGGGATTGATGGTGATGCGCTGTATGGTTCGTGGGACATGAAGAGACCACAGCCTTCCATCGTAAGGAGCTGCTTGTGCAAGTAGAACGGATTGAATTGCTGCATCCAGCATGGCCGGGTGAATTAGCAGCCTAGATTCTGGGTCATCGGGGCTCATGACATAACCTCGAACTGCACCAAGCCGTCTCTCCAGTTTATCTAGGGCGCGAAATGGGCCTGTGTATCCGTACCCTAGTCGCTGAAATGAGTCGTAAAGATCATCCGTCTTGACTGACAGAACATTTTCAGGATGCGGACCCCTTGCTGGGAGAGAGCTGGGAGACGGTGATCCCATTGCGATATAGACAGACCCCGTAGCAAATGTGCGCAGAGATATATCGCCCGAGCTTTGGGACGATCCAGAATTTACTGCAGGGGCGCCAGAGTATTGGAATTGGGCAGTCGTGGTATCATGGTCGTGGGTAATGTTATGCAGACGGAATATAGCCTCGACCTTGGCATCGTCTCCATTAAAAGCCATAGCTTGGCTAATATCAAGATCGTGGACTTGGATGAGTGAGACTGCTTTCGAATCAGCTGCTTTCGAATCATGAAGCATCTTCAACATTTCCCTGGAAGCTTCAATGGCTAGGACTACATAACCTGCAGCTGGGAAGACAGCTTGGCCTTGCAGACGGTGTCCATTAAGCCATGGTATCTCCTTTGGGCTGAGGATGTGACGCCATCTAAGCTCTTCAGCGACACAGTCGGGAGCCAGAGAACCGAGCAGCTCGTGGGGTCTGGACCTGAAGTGGTAGGCCCTTGAATATCTTGAGTCATGCCAGTAGCCAGTTTCGTGATCCCAGGAATAGAGCGGCAGAGTCTTGTCAAGTCTTGCAGGCGCATCCCCCGACACGAACCGATCATAGGCCTGTAAATCAAGTGAAGAGCGGCCTAGGTGAGAGCAGATATGTCCGAGACCGTCTGAAATGGATAGAATACTGTCAGAACCTCTTTTCAAAAGTCCGGTGTATGGTACTGGCTCTTGTTGTCCAATTGCCTCCTGAATAGTCTGTAGCGCTGGACCACGGAGTGCCGCATGAGGTCCTATCTCAACGGCAAGGTGGCAAGGGCCAAGCAAGCTGCAGGTCTTTTGGATGGCCTGCATGAAGAGCACAGGGTTTATCAGATTGTCCACCCAGTAATCGGCTGTTAACTTGTCCAAAATATCAGCAGTGACCTCCTGGCCATAACAACTCGAGATCCAAAGGCACTTGGAAGCTGATTTCCGAAGAACTTTAACATCTAACGCACGGAGAGACTCTCGATGAGCTTCTGCGCACGAAACCATGTGATGGGAATGATAGGCCTTTTCCACCTTGAGAACGCGAGCTAACTTTTCCTGATCCTCAAAGATAACCTTGAGTTCCTGGATCGCATCTTCGTCCCCTGATAGCGTGACGCTTGATGAGGAGTTAACAGCAGCGATGGTTACCCTCTTCCTGAACTTTTTCGAATCAAGAATCTCAGACGCTTCTTCGAAAGATGTTCCCACGGCCATCATGGCGCCCTTGGTGCTACCACCCGCTAGCTTACTGTGTAGGCCACGGTAATAGGCAATGCAGATAGCATCCTCAGCAGATATAAGGCCAGCAGCAAAAGCAGCAGCAATCTCTCCAGAGGAATGGCCTACAACGGCGCTAAACTCAAGCTTAGAAGAGCGCAGGAGTTCGACTAGAATGATTTGAATTGCTGTGCAAATCGGTTGAGAAAATTGAGCTTCAGCAACACGCGAGGCTTCGACACGCTGAATCTCTTCTCGAAGTGACCATGAAGGACGATCTGGCGCCGGAAGTCGAGAAAGGCGGCCTTCTAGCCTTTCCAATATTTCGGTCGCTGCTGGTGATTTAGAAAGCAACTCCGAGCCCATGCCAGCCCACTGAGCACCCTGACCGGTGAATATGCCAAACACAACGGGTCTTTGTTGTGTCTGACTTCGGTCAAAATTGGCACGGATACTTATCGGCTTCGTGCCAACCTCAGAAGCATGAACCATATCCTGCAGTTTACTCAGAAGCTCAGCGCCATCACGAGCTGCCACCGACAGTGCGTACTGGAGCCGACTTCTGCGAGTGTGTAAGGTGTAGGCGAGATGGCGAGGCTGAATATAATCCATGTTCTTTTCAAGGTATGTCGCGAATGTCTTGATGTAGTTTCGTAACGACTTCTCTGACGCAGCTGAAAATATGAAAGGTGTAAACACTGGCGCAGAAACATCCGCTGGTTTCGGTTTTGGGTCTTCGTTTGCTTGTGTATAGCTCTCAGCATTCTCGAGTATTGCATGGGCGTTGGTACCTCCGAAACCAAAGCTGTCGTGGTATTGATATTAGTAGCTGACTGTAATTCTATGTTAGGATCACTTGCCTGTTTACACTTGCGCGACGTGGTTGTGCAATCTCCGTCGCTGGCCACGGCGAACAGGTCGTTGGGACGCGCAAAAGATCCGTAAACCGTTTGATACGGGGATTGAGCGTTTTTAAAAGCAGATTTGGTGGCACGATGGACTTTTGGAGAGCCAGAGAGGCCTTGAGAATGCCCGCTAAACCAGCAGTTCCTTCGGTGTGGCCACAAATTGTCTTGATGCTGCCGACCCAAAGAAGATCGGTCTCATCACTCTTCCTGTCAGTGCCGGTGTTCCCGAAGAAGGCAGAGTGAATGGCTTCAGCTTCTATCGGATCTCCCGCTGCGGTCCCGGTCCCATGTGCTTCGAAACTGATGGGGAAGAATGTTAGTTGATACATTCTGTTCACGAGCAGCGCATTCCGTATGAAGAACTTACTACTGCGGCCGGTCAAAAGAGCGGCTAGGGTCGAGTCCAGCTCGACGATATGTGTCGCGAATAAGATCTTCCTGTGCGATGGGGGAGGGCCTGGAATACAACCAACCAACGTCAGCTTTGGAGAACGAACAATGCAATGACCATGCCCGTTCATCTTACTGACCTTGTAATTCCCTTAGTCCGTCCATCAGAGTTGACACCAGTTTCTCGAATAACACACTCGATTTCATCTCCATCGGCCAGAGCATCATCTAGTCGCTTCATAACAATTGAACAAACTCCTTCACCACGTGCGTATCCATTGGCACTAGCATCCCACATGCGGGACCGGCCATCAGGAGACAATAACTGTAATTTAGTTTCGCCGATATACAGGCTTGGATCCATGAGCATATTGGTTCCCGCTGCGATAGCGATGCGTGACTGTCCGGATCGGAGCAGTTGTACTGCCTGATGAACAGCGACGAGACTAGAGCTGCAAGCAGTATCAATAGTCATAGACGGACCGTGCCAATCAAAGAAATATGATAGTCGATTAGAAAACAAGCTGCGAGCAGTACCCGTGACGTGGTATGTTCCAAGTGTTTCTGGATCCTTCAACATGGCCTGCTCATACTCTCCCGCCATCAGTCCAACATAACAGCCCGTGTCTGAGCCCTGGAGGCGGTCCATCGTCTCTCCAGATACTTCTAGAGCTTCATAGGTGACCTCGAGCAGCAGCCGCATTTGTGGATCCAACACATTTGCTTCAGCAGGATTAATGCCGAAGAAACCGGCATCAAAGTGGCGTTCTACTCCCTGCTCGGAGAGGAAATATCCCCGGAAGTCTTTGACGTTTGCATGACCATGATAAGAACCGTCCTTGTGGTAGAATCCAGCCGCATTAAATCGTGATGACGGCAAGGGAGAAGAAACGTCTGTTGGAGAATAAAGTAGGTCCCAAAGTTTGGAAGGCGTGTTCGCACCACCAGGGAATCGACAGCCACTACCAATTATGGCAATCGGAATATTTCTATCGCAAAGTTCTCTCTTTTGAATAGCCATACTTGAAGTGCCAAAAAATGTGAGTGTATAGAATGAATTTGTGAAAGTCTACCTAGGATGCTGAGAAGAGATTGTACGTGCATTTATTCTTATGGTCATGAATATCAACTTCGCGGCCGAGAAGGATGACTCTCGGTATTTACCATAGGGGCCGACAACACGAACTAATGATTCGTACCAGGAGATATTTCTGCGGACCAGCCGGAGAGAACTTGCCTCAGATCAATGTCTGATGCAATCTTGCAGATTCAGTCAACAGACACGTGCGATTATTCTACCAAGGCTTGCCCAGCCTACTACGTTTGTAAGTCAGAACATGTCTCTCGAGATCAGACCATACAGACCAATATAGATGTCAGTCCAAGGCATACTAGTGCGCTCGGATTATGCGGACGCCATGTAACTTATTGCAAGTCAGAGACCTATGTCGACCCAGTCGTCCGTTGCTTACCTACGTCTGAATGGGTACGTGTCCCTGTATTAGTATCACACCGATAGGCGGCCTGCTTAGACAAATAGAGGTCTTTCTGACTTAGAGTTTAACTAAAATGACAGGGTCCTACAGGATCCGCCATACTTAAACCTTAAAAACTCGGGCCAAGATGGAATATGTGATACCACGGGATCGCTATGAATAATAGGTAAAAGTCGTGCCAGGATCAGATGCGGACTTTCGGGAGAGAGAGAGCATGCTCATGCAAACGTGGGGAAACTACAGCGTGCAAGTTCCTTCGCCTGAATCGTTATGAAACGGTGCGCCAAGGAGTACCATATGCTATCAGGTGTATCAAAGTGATATCTTGATTAGGTAGAGTGGACTTGGCGTTGACGGGGATGCAAGCCGACGGTTCCATAGCCTGTCCAACTAGACACAAGGGAAACCAACCACGAGTCAGCAAAAATTCCAGCTTCTTATCCGATGAACCCTCTAACGGCGGGCATCCCACTGAATTCTACATCTCCATGTAACATCTAGTAGGCCTGCCCCTTTGATACTGGTCTATCCTCATATCTCACACGTCAGTCTTCTAGAAATTTTCGTCTTCTACAATATCTCAGATCAACACTCATCCAAGCATACAATATGTTTACTTGGTACAACAGAATTTGCCAATTGATTACACTGAACCGATAAATCTCAAAGGTTCCAATTTGGGTATACCTAGGCAATCCCCTCTTGAGCACTGTGCATTTCCGAAGATAGCATGTGGATTCTAATGTGCACACGATGAAGGCTGCACCACTTGTATGGTACTAGCAGATGCAGCTGGGCTCAAGTCTACTTTCCGCCGACAGCCGGGTATGTGACTCGTTGTGAACCTAAGGAACAGCCTCGGAGTTAGTAGCAATGTGTCAAATCTATCTGCCGAAAGCTCGACCCATTATGATGATCATGGTTCGGCCAGGAGTCGAAAGAATGATGCAGACCTCAACGGCACAGCTGCCAGGTATCTAGCGAAATTCAATGCAAACCAAGGATTTATCTACAGAAACTCAAACTCTATCGTACCTCCGTATGAAAGGCATGTTGGGACTGACGATATTATCACACAAAGTCCAGCACACGGGATTTCGATAGACCCTTCTATTGGCGAACATGTACTTATGGTGGCGAAAATTCTACTGATTACAAATTTTCTGAATATCCTAAACCTGGTTATCTCAACTAGAGGTGGAGCGATAGTGATGGACCAGTGTTGGGTGACTGTTAGCCTGATCGCTGTGTCAGGGTGACGGAGATATGATCTTGTGGTATCTGTGTACAGAGAAGTTGGCTGACTACTACTATAGTCGTTGATATTCCGTGCTATCAAGTTGCTAAAAGTTTCTAGGGAATTGATGTCCTGTGGTCTACAATAGGGTGGCAGAGACGGTAGATGGCCTGGACAGTCCCGAATCGGTAATGAGACTGCAAATCTCGCTGTGACCCTGGCTCTGCTCGAGATTACAAATAGGACTCAGAAGTTGGAGCTGACTAAAAAGAATAGACTTTTGGAAACACAGCATAACATTTGAGGGTCAAAGCAGACGATATTGAGACGCTTCACTGCTCCAGCAGGAAATATCAATCAGCTTCAGCTTGGTGAGGCTTGAGTGCATATCTGCGCCTTCAAAGTACATGGGATAGTTGAGAGCTCGAATAATATGCAGCTTTATCATCACAAAGAATAGAGTGTCTACAGTTTACATGTTTTGGGCCTACAGACGGTATACATTAAGATAAATCAAAAAATGAGTCAAACGGTATCATATGATGCATATCACGAGTTTCCACTATGATCTAAAGATAGCAAGCACAATGTCAGACATTTGTTCACTACCAACCGCTGCTTCTATACATAATACAGCTCCCGGATGGTGTTTCTCAGTCAACAGTCAGTCCCACGCGGAGTGGTAATATCTCGCAAACTTCCCCGTTATACATTAACCTTTCACCTATTTGCAGGAGGATAGAGTTACTTCTAAAAAGCTCAATATTACCCTGACAAAAGCCTTATCAAATCATACAGAGTCTATCTCCATTGCCTGAATCAAGTTAAATCGGCTTCCTACACTTGATCCAACTTCGTTAATATTCGACTTAAGAAAGCAAAGTCCTAAATTCATGTCAACACTAGTTCTGAAATACTACGGAGTCTTCTCCATTGACAAAAGACTAGACTAAAATACTGAGATTCTGGTGGGGCAATGAATAGTGAACCTGGCGTTGATGGACGCTTCTCATACCAGGTCTATGTACAGTCTGCTGTTTAGGGAAGGAAATCATTTAGAGTGCATTGTTTTATCCTTTTCAAATCAATTACTGTGGCAAAAGAGATTGCACGTTCAATTTATTACTTAGAGAAAGGATCGAAGAACATTATCTAAGGATACAATACACCAAGTCATTTTTCTAGTACCGGCGTTGTACCTCAAATTTCGCGTCTGCTAATAGATCTACGCTTGTAACAATTAAGAGGCGTAATTCATAAACTCCATACCAAAAATATAATATAGGAATAATGTGCATCAATTGCAGTATCCGAAAATGAGGAGGGTCCAAATGTAGTGTGTGATGTGATCATATTGTCCTAGTCTAGGAGGATGGGAGCCACCTATGGGCAAGCACCGCCAAGGGGCTAATCCCATTCAAGAGTCACACGTGACCGAGATATCTATGACCACAGCAATAATAATGTGCTGAAAGACCAAGGGATAGAAGACTCGTCACATTAGCTTAGACCATGTTAGTGCCAATTACCAAGGCTTCAAGCAGGAGAGCAAAGACTAAGATTGCACTTGCAGCATCTAGATTTAAGCTGGAGGAGAGAATTATACCTCCACTAGAAGACTTTGATATAAGTCCATATAGACATGAACTTATCCATTGTTTTGATGCCTTTGCACCTATCTCAGATCCACTTTGAGTCTTATCTTCGGTGGTGGATTTGCCAAATAGTTTATGACTACTAGATAGGCAGTCTTTTCGGCGCGATTCAATCATGGCTCTTATCAGATCACAAAGATCCTCCTTTCCATTGAGAGCGTGGAGCTGTCCAGTGTTGGCGCAGGAGACTGAGCTTTGCAGTGCTGAATCTATAACTAACGCTACTACTTTGAACCTTCTACCAGTATTTTTGTGATATTAATTTATACGGGCAACCAGGTAGCTATTGTTACTGAAATAGTAGCCGTACCGCGTCAGTGTCAATGCACATTAACAATTAGCGCATGCAAGTCGTTGACGCAATGCTCACGCAAAAATCATTCAGGTATAACTCGCCTGCCATAATCTACTCGTATATAAATCACGGGGTTAATAGCTCACTCTTGTACAACTCAGCACCTATGTACCCCCACACCTTTTTCACGGGCTGTGGGTCGCACCAAGCACCCTCTTTAATAGCTGCCGATCTGGCGGGCTTTAGCCGAAATTGAGCCTTGCTTGACTCTTGAACTGTAATAGTTACAGTCGTCGATAACCAGTGATCCATACTTTAATTATTGCAGTGAAGGATATTTGCAGATCGTAAGGTGGCTGCAGGCGGGCCGCCATTGGAAGACTGGTGCGTTTATATGGCCGATTGTCAATTGACTAATCACTCAAGCCTGCCAAAACACAAAACGAGCAGTGCAATACCATATTGGGGTCTTACGCATGTATACACCACTGACACGATCGACTTCATCCGGGCCATAAAGTTGGTACCGTTGTAACACCATTAATTCTATTTCTAGAACGAAGACTAGGTACCTGACTGCCGTAGCTAGATGAGCGAAATTGCCCCCTCGAGCAACGAATAGTCATCTAATGATCGAATTGTGTATATCATACGTCCGTGAACAAATTTCTACCACGACCATGACCAGCCGCAACTTCGCTCTTAGTTTTCCTACCTCCATAGCTCAAATGTAGTATAGGAATTGAGAAAATACTGTTCAGGTTACGAAACGGGACGATAATAATTCGGTGCGACTATGTCAGGTATACTACGCTAAATGTGTATTCCAATTTACCATCCAAAAGCCTCGTCCAAGAACACGTAAGGCCGACTGTTGGCATGAACTTTTACAACTTCTTCTCGAACTGCATCGGCTAAACCTGGTGGACCGGATACAATGATTGCGATCGCTCCAAATTCGTCACGGGCCATCGATTGAACGATAATGCTCTCCAGGTCCAATCGCTGGCCAACGGCTGTCTCGACCTTGATATTTGATGGAAATGCATCGAATGTAGGCCCCAAAGCTGGTACAAGACCTGGCTTGCGACAGGACCAGAAGAGTTGTTTATCCGTTGCTTTGCTGGCTCGTAGCAATGGCAGACATGCCGTGATGCCAACCCCACCTGCGATACACAAGACGCTGCTACACCTCGATATCTGCGAATGAATACGGCCAGAGTGGTTATAGGGGCCTTCTATAAGCACTCGCAGCTGTACGTGTTCCTCTCGTGATTGAACAGTCTTATCTCTGAGCAGCTTGGTAGTCCCGTTGCGTACCCGCGCGAAAAACGTCATAGCGATTTCACAGCGGTCAGATTCTGCGTCGCTCATAGCCATAGGTGTGGAAACTTTCCGAGGAAATTTCTGCTCATAGACTTCCCCCGGGCTTGAGATTCTAGATTCGTGGTGCAGTGTTGCGCTGCTCACCGAGAATGGATGCGTCTCCCAGAACCGCCAGCTGAGGGTTGGAAAGCACAGGAAAACGACACTGGCAGGGTAATCCTTGCCTTTGATGTCGATTCGTATGTACTCGCTATCCGTGTTCGGGACGACAGTTACTATAGCGGTACAGGTCCCGTGGGATACCATTCGAGCGATTCTGATACATCTCTCGAGAGCCCATATGCCCGCTGCAACAAACATCCAGATCTCATAGCCCCAGTTGTACTCATAGACATACCAGATGTGATAGTAGTAGCCGATGAGAAAAAGCAATGATAGTGCAACGTGCGAGACAATGAAGAACTCGTAGAAGCGCTGACGAAGCGGGAGCAGAGAGGTTGGGATCAAGGCACACACCGCGACGGTCCCTGCGATGCCCCATGTCCAGTACTGTCGGATGGACTCGGTTTCATACGCTCCAGCCTGGGCGTAACAGCTCCAAAGCATGCACGAATGTACCACAGTATGGATGGCGGTCCAATACCCAAGCCAGCGGTGAAGAAGCATGTAAGTGCTGTAGCTCCAGTCGGTAAGATAAAGAAGCACGTTATTTCTTGACGAGAAAAGAAACATAGCCACAACATTCCCCATGGCCATTGTGCCAGCACGATTCCCCACGATGCTGATAATCTGTTTGGCTCTTGTCGTGAAGCTCGCTTGGGGCTGAGTGATAGTGTATGGTGCCAAAAGTAGGATGATGTTCAAGATGCTAATGGTAAAGATGAATAGGCTCTGCCCTCGAGTGGGCACCAGTCCTCCAGCCACTGGGTTGCGATGATGTTTACCAAAAAGCGGCGGAACGACCATGATAGATTGGAAATAGCTCCATTTGGTACTCTTGGTTATTCCTGGGACAAAGCGTATTAGAGAGACTAGAATAGGTAGTGCAATAGCCACGACAGCAATTGCGATACTTATCAACGTTAGTTCTTATGACCCAGTCATCAAACTCAGTCGTAGGAGCTATGCTACACTTACGTCATTGTGCTGTGGCCTTTCTCATTGATCTCGAAGTCGGACAAGTAGTTGTACTGTAGTTGCCATTGTATAGGACTGACAAATCGCGTTTCATTCAAGGCACTGCTTCCACCAGTGGTCGTCACAAGCGGACTCGAGATATTGGGAGGCTTCAGACCACTCGGAATAGATACCGTGGGAGGATTGCTAGTTCCATTGTTGAAACCTCTCGCGTCTTCGTCTTGCCGAGCAGCTGCCAGAGCATCTGCAAACGATAAGACGGGAACGTATTCACTGTTTCCCAGTGTACCAGTTCCAAGATGTGTTGCCCAGTAGTCTTGGATCACATGCAGTGTTGGTTTGTCGCTTAGTGCACAGTAGACGTCGATGCAGAGGGCCATGGTTTTGAGGAAGTCCAGATCTTTCACAAAGCATTCTGGGGGTGTTGAAACGGGGTTATGTGCTGTACCGTGATTCTCAGTTGATGCTGCTGGTGTGCATGCCAGTGTTTGTTTGCGGATCACACTACGACAAGCAAAAGCACAAGTCGGATTGTAAAGATTCTTGCCGTATCCTATGAGGCCAGTACCATCAGGCTTAACGAGTGTTATGTGGAGTAGCAGTACGTTGCATAGTGAGACACGCCAGGTGCGCAGCAACCTCATGATAGCGACAGAGGCAGTCGTTAACTTCTCATGAGAATAAAATCTTTCGGAGCGGTCAATTTCAGTTGGACTAATTTGCGTTTTGTGATACAGAGTGCATGTGGTTGGAGATAAAACTTGCAAGTTGCACCAGTACACAAAACTCATGCCCCCCCCCCATACTACTATACATTTGGGTCTCGGCGTACCTTCGTTGATCGGTGTAAGCTGTACTTTGAATCAGATTCGCTTATGCAGCTCACGCATGATCGCTTTCTCTAATAGGTTATTGTCAATCCCGGGAGGCTATGGACGCCTGAATGTCTTGGAAGCTGTGAATGTCTTGGCTTGAGCAAATTATCATCTATTTTGATGCACCTATAATTGAGTACTCGCTTAACGCATGTTGTGTCAATAACCTCTTCATTATAAGATGATACTTTCAGGTTGCGGAAAAAAAATTGCCGCCATTTCTCCTGAGATACACAAAACGCCTGGAGATGATACTATATAAGTGGTATTCACATTCATTATCAAGTATCCAAGACTTTGCCTGGTGCGGGCAAATCTTTTGTGATGAGGAAATGATTCATCGCGTCCATTGTGGCTCCTTGTGATCCCCAACTAGTGTGTCCATCACCATTGCGTGTCAGCAAAATACTGTTCTTGATTTCGTCCAGCATGCCCACAGCCCAAGTATAGCTGGTACTAGGATCACGCAAGGAATTTACTAAGAGGATAGGATTTCTTGTCTTGACGTCGAGCTTGGCTGGTGGATTGCTCCGCGGTGATGGCCATCCTAGGCAAGAAGCTTGTAGCGTCCATGACTCCGAAGCTCCCTTTGTGAGAGGTGCGAAGACTTCACTCATTCTCATTGTAGCTTGCAGTTCTTCAAAGGAGATAGGCCCAGTAAACCAGTCCTGGCAGCCAATCGCAAGCTCTGCATATGAACTTCTGTCACCATCCTTCGCGAAAGTAGGGGCGAATTGTCCCGCATCCCCCTCGCTGGCGTTGAGCAGTGCATTGGCGAAGTCAATTTTTGAGGAAGTTGTAGATGGTATGAGAAATTCTTGTGCACTCAGCCTAATCTCGTCTTCTGTCACATCAGGGAAGCACAAATCCGGCTTCTCGCAAGACGGAACTGGTATAGGTGTCTGCATTGCGTCGCTGAGTAGGCGATACCACATCTGCTTGACATTGCGACCCTTCAAAGGACTTGTTTTGTCTTTCTCCGCCCACAGAAAGAACTGCTCGAGCGTAGCAGCATATGTAGTGCTTTCGATGAGGATATTGGAGGTTCGGGATTGACTGTGTTGTACGATACCATCGAGGACCATGACTCGGATATTCTCAGGAAATAACTGAGCGTATTGGGCACCTAGCTGCGAACCATATGACAAGCCCAACCAGTTCATTTCCTCTCCAAGTGCTGCCCGTACAGCTTCGTGATCCTTCGCTGAAGAAATGGTATCGACATGATTGAAGAGTGGTCCAGTCAATTTTAGACAGCTCTCACCCAATCTTGTGTTCTTGGATACTAAACGGTCGTAGTCCTGCTTGGTCTTTGGGAATTTGGAGACCCGTTCGTTCCAAATTTCTGGATCACACACAACCTGCGTACTCATGCCAACACCTCGCGGATCCACACCAATTATGTCAAATCTTTCGAGGATATTGGGTGACACAGGGAATAAACCTTTCGTGATGGCAGAGACCAATTCAATCGCACTGCCGCCAGGACCACCCGGGTTCACGAAAAGCGATCCCAGTCTTTCGCTGCTGCTTCCTTTGGAAGATCTAAGAAGTCTGACCATAGCTAGGGAGAATGTGCCACCTCCGCCCGGGGCATCCCAATCAATCGGCAAAGTCATATTTGCGCATTGTAGGTTGGGCGCCAACGCATCGCAATTCGTCCAGGTGATAACTTTATTTGTCGCAGCGGAGATGATGGGTATAGATAAGACTGGCGACACGAGAATTCCGGCGAGGATAATGTTGATGAACATGACGAGTCATCAAAGCGTTGTAGATTTCGAGAAGAACTTGCCGACGTAGTTTAGTAGGATGGATTCACCAAGTCACTGGCCCAGACGATAGATAACATATGGTTTGCCGAGATCGGCAGATACATGATTAAACCTGCTCAATATCGGTCGAGGCTGCTGATTCAGAATCACAAAATGAAAGATCCGCAAACGAGTGCTCCGGCTCATTCCAACGAGTAAGGTCTACGAGGAATGCGCGGGGCGATTTCAATCGACTCTGGACTGCTTGCAGGCGTTTCTTTCACTCTTTAAATTATCACTCCAACAGTGAAGATCAGTTGAGGCACAAAATATTTATCGAAATTCCTAATGTCTATATTCCTATCAAGTTGGAATACCTCCTTTTGACCGGTATGACTAGGGAGGCGGGCTCTGGCAGGCAAAACGGAAAACAGCGTGTGGGTCTGTTCTGGCACCACGTAATGCCCATACAGGGCTACTCAATGACATGACCAGTTCATAGACAAACGCGCTCCAATAGATGTTGTGGACATCTGGAAGCGGTATTTAGGCAGTAGTCACGAATGTCTGTCAGACTGCAGGATCCACTTAGCAAGACTGCGTAACCATCCTGACGCGTGAGGTGCTGCCCCTGTACGATCCCACATACCAGGATACATGCTCAGCTACCAGTCCCAGGGTATCATTTTACTGGTTGCGCGAGGCGTGCTTGAGTGAATTATCATCGATTTTGTCCTCACAAACGTATCCGAGCGCAATGCTTCTCTTGCCATTTTGATTTCGACCAGGCAGTCAGCTAGAAAAAAAGGACAGAGAACCATACTGTGAAATCAACACTTCACAATCGTCTCTTCAAAGATATCTATAACACATTTGCACCCAAAGAGTTCACACTCGTACAGGTGCGCAATAGGCGCGGCGGTGCATGTTCAATGAACCTCACCTATCGATGATTTTCAGACGTCAGGCCAGCATTCCGCATCCGTTCGCTAGTTCGAAAGACTGGAAGACAGACAATACTCTGACCCACAGCTCGCAGTCCAGGCTAAGCGCTTGTAAATCCTATCTTCACGACACTTGTACCTAGCAGCCGGCCTCGAACGCGTTACCCCGCATCACACTTGACGAATGTGCACAAGACTGTTAATATCTTCGCAGTCAGTTGCAATGTAGCAAAACGTGCATTTCTTCCTGGCTAAGCTGACTTGAGCTATTCCGGCTGTTCGGCGGAAGAGGAATGTGGACATGAGCAGGCATTGCGACGGGAGTGGGATACCGGTAGCGGGATCGAAATTGTGTAAACAGAACTTTGCCATGCGCCAAGTGTACGGTAGATTAACTTTCGGTAATCTGCTACAGCAATCACCGCTAGGGTGAAGAAGACCAGGATATTTCATACTTTTATCCAGGACTTGCAGGACCGTTGGATGCTTTCTTTTGATTTGCTCGTCATCTAGTCTGATCTTTTCAGTATACCGCGATGCCGTCTCTCGCCGCCTTACCTATTTCTGTACCTTGTTTTTGTTCTTGCGGCTTCGGAACATCAATATGAATTCGTCCTTGACCAAGGGCTTAGAGTGTCGAGGCAGTCAGTAACAATTACGTCTGGAGTCATTGCAGACAGGGGAGGGAGGATGGTGAGTAGTTAGTAGGTATCCGATCCCGTTAAACCTCTGATACGGTAGCACCGATAGACTCACAGAGACCGTGAACGGGCGATTTTAGAAAGGATGGTTGAGTCTTGTAAGGCTCCGGCGTGTCTCAAACTGAGGCTATGATCCTTATGCGAGGGTGTAGTGGTGGTGAGGGATGCTCTAGGGAAGGGAAGGGAAGGGAAGAGAAGGCATGGTAGAGAAGGTTGTGTATATGCAAGATTTAGTAGGTTGCAAGTGTGATTTGTTTACGCATGTAGCATAATTCTTCGTACAGCATCATTCCACCTACTGAACAACAACCCCAACCCCAAACCCCCTAACCCCATTACTAACCCAAACCCTCTCCCCAACCCCAACAGTCTCAATCCCAATCGGCTCCTCCATACAAAAGCCCCTCCCAAGCGCCCACCGCCTACTCGTCCCACGCTGCCCCCCAGCTCCAACCTTGGCACTACGCACAGAGTGGCCCCAACGCCCTGCAAACGGCTTCCGCAGCTCACCCTCATCCGCATTGTCGTTCGTGAGCGTGGAGCCGGAGAATTCATCAGACGGGACGCCGACGGGTGGGGTGACCCATCGGCCGCCACGGAAGAGGTAGAGGCTGGTTAGGGTGCCTTCGGTGAGTTCGCGGACTTCGTTGTAGAGCATGACTTCTCTGTATACGGAGTCTGCGGGTTCCGAGGGGAGGGCGCGGGAGCGGGAGGCGTCGTACATGGCGCGGTGGGTTGTTTTGAGGAGGGTGAAGGGGGAGGAGGGGGTGGGGTGGGTGTCGAGTTTTAGTTTCCATTCGGGGGGTGAGGGTGGGGTGGATGGGTTGGTAGGGAGGGAGTCGGTTGGGCCGAGGGCTAGAGCGCCGCCAGTTAGGGGTGAGGGGGTGAAGGAATTGGCAGGGTGAGATTGGGATGGGGAGGCAATGTCGAAGGAGGAAGGGTAGAGAGTTGAGAGCGGGACAGGAGGGATGGGCGTTAGCTCGACTGTTAGGTTTGCGGCTTTGTCGAAGAGAATGCGTAGCTATCCGTTGTTTAGATTGAGTGTCTTGCATTGACAATCTTGGATAACAAGTTTACCTTTAGCGGCTCGTCTTTCCCGCCCTGTTCAATATGATCCGTGACTCGTTTCAAAAGGTCTTCGTGTAACGATTTTCCATCTTCCAATCTCTTTTCTACTTTGGAAAACTCAAAGTGCTGCGCTGCTTCCAGCATGCGATCTTGATGATACGCCAACATGTAGAAAGGTGAGGGACTGACTATGCTCAGGGCCGGTCTCGAGTTTTCTAACGAAGTTACAAGGATTGGATCATATCGCAAAGAGGTGAATAGCTGGAAGTCGTTGTCGGTTGACATTGTAGCTTGATCAATCGAAGAGTGGAAGGAATTGTGGTCCAAGGAAGTAGGTCGGGGGATAACGGATAGAAAATGGAGAATAACAACGTCAAATTAAATGTGATGGGTCGGATAGTTTCTTGTCTGAGTTCAACATACTATTTCATGAGGTTTTTCACAACCGTTGACTTGCCTACGGGATGGTGTTGGTCTTGGAAGATGTGTTGTCACAGTCAAACCAATAGGCTTTACCCCACGCTTGTACAGGCTTGTTCTACCTATTATTATTGGCCAGCGATTTCTCCACGACTGCAAAACTTCAAACATACGTACAGCACAGCAACAACACTCATATCAGTGCTATTGTACATCATTAATCCAACTATACCATATCAACTTCAACACTCAAAAATTGGACAGCCAGGCCCCATGATTCATGAATCAAATATTGTGCACATTAAGGAGGGGGAAAGACTTTCTCATTAACAACGCCATATCCCGATCCCCATATCGTCTCTGCATCTCCAACGCCGCAACAATCCAGTCGAGAGGTTTTGTAAGTACAAGGTCAATGGGAAAACTAAAAACGATTACTCTTCACCTCCTCTCCTGTCCTTATCGCATGCCCCCGCCACCGAAACCGCCGGCTCCTCCGCCCATTGCCCCTAGCCGCGACGCAAGCTTGGGGTACTTTTCTTGCACCTGTAGTGCCGTTAGTACTCATTTCAGATTCAAGATAATATTCGGAGTCGTGCGAAAAACCTACCTCCAGCTGTGTTCTCGTCGCCTCAGCATAACTCAACGCATTGACAATCTCACCCTCTGTTCTCGACAACTCCGCGGCACGCTCAAAGTACTTGAGCGCATCTGTGACCTTTCCTTGCTGTAGTAGCAATTGTGCCATGGTCGCGACGGCAATGTCGCATTCAGGGTCAATGATGAGGGCCATTTCGCAAAGCTTCTCTGCCTCGCTGAAGTCATTCTTCCATTGGAAGAGTGCGAGCGCCTTGTTGATGAGCGGTAACACATTCATGCCCATGGGCTTGCTCGTCTTCTCCATCTCGACAGCCGTATCGAACTTCTCAACGGCTTCTTGGTACTTTTGCTGATCGAGGAGCAGTTCTCCGTAGTAGTTGTACACGTCTGGAACGGTGGAGAAGTTCTTCATGCAGCGGCGGAAAGTGGCCATGGACGAGGCGATGCTGCCCATCTTGTATTGGGTGACGCCGAGTTGAATATGCGAAAAGATGAAGTCCTTGTCCAAGTCGATGGATTTCTGGTAGTCTTTGGCGGCCTCGCCGAATTCAGACTTGATGAAGTGCAGCTGTGCTCGGTGGTAGTAGATGTCGGGGTCGTTTGCATTTTGTTCGAGCGCGGCGGCAAAGTCGGCTTCGGCGGCGTCGGGGTTGGCGAGCTCCAAATGCATGCTGGCGCGCTTGATGAAGCTCTGGGTGAGTGTGGGCTGCAGTTCGATGCTCTTGTCCATGTCGCGCAGAGCGTCTTCGTTGTCGCCCTTCAGGTAGCTGAAGGTTCCACGCATGTTATAGGCAAAGGCTTCGTGCTCGCCCAAGTCACCCAGCTCTACAGCGCGCACAAAGGCGGCGGCAGCATCGTTGTAGCCCTCGCCCGTCTTGGTTGCCATGGCTCTGAGACCCTTGCGCAGCTGTCCCTTGCCCGTCTCCTCGTCCAGCTCATCTTCGTCGGTGAGGCCAGCGGGCGAGGGCTTAGGCCGGAAGCTCTGCAGGTAGTTTGTGACAAACGTGGGGCTGGGCAGCTTCTTCTCCTTGCCGGCAAGGATGGCCTTGCCCTTGGCCTCGGCCACCTTCTTGAGCAGGCGCTCAACGCTCTGCGCGCTGCTCTCGTTGCGGAAGCCGTCGATGATGCAGCTGGCCGTGTAGTCGAGCAGGGCCTCGCTGTTGCGCTCCACCTGCTCGTATGCATTGGCCCGTCGGTTGAGCGCCTTGACGTATTCGTTATCGAGGTTGATGGCCGCCGTTGTGTCCTCGATGACCTTGTCCCACTCGCTCATGGCATTGTAGCAGGCCGCGCGGTTCGAGTAAAAGACGGGGTCTTGCTTGCAGAGGATGGCCTTGCCGTACAAGTCAATGGCCCGATTGTAGTCCTTGGAGCCGTACGCCTTGTTGCCGGCGGCCTTGAGCTTGGCAGCATAGTCTTTACGGTCCTGTTATAGTTCGTCAGTGTCAGTGTTCTAGTCTGTTCTGTTCTGCCCCGTCCCGCGTCCCGCGCCCCACGCAGCCAGAATGTTCAAAATAGTGGTGTCAGCCTACCTCTGGTGACAGTGCCCCGACCGTGTCCTCGTTCACGTCAGGCAGTTCTTCTTCGCTCACAGCTGTGACGGATGCCTTGTTTGACTCTGTTCAAATGTTAGCGCTCATTTTTCGCTTCCACCTCGTCCGCGCCCTCCCTCCCCCACAACGATGATGAGATGGAGAGGGTCGAGGTCGAGGTCGAAGATGATGATCACAATGATGATCAGGCTGCATACCGGCCTTCTCCACTGTCGCTTCCTTGCCGCCCACTGAGCCCTTCTCTGCCCTCTCTTTTGCGCGCTTGCGTTCGCGTTGCCTCTTGCGCTTGTTGGCCTGTGAGTCTGTCGCGCCTCCATCCCGCGCATCGCCATTGGAGAAGTAATAGACGACCCCGCCAGCGCCGACCACCAATGTGATGCCGGCAATCGTATACACAACGCCCTTGTTCTCCGACGCCCAGTTGGACAACCGGTCCCACAGCGAACTCGTGCCTGGCTCGACGGGGATGCCCACGGGAAACGGGCCCGGCGAATTAGGCAGCGGGGTGTTGGCCTGCGTCGGCGCCATGGTTGGGGGAGGAGTGGGGGAGGAGGTAGGGGAGAGGAATAAGATCGGGGGGGCGGATTCAGGTACAGTGATGCCAACAAAAAAGGCGGCCGTCGTCTCAATGGCAGTGGCGGCAGATGGCGTGTTTGGGCCTTCTCTTTCGAGTCTTGTTGGAGAAATTTGGACTAACAAGAAAGCTTGCGTGCACAGGACAGCCGGCCCACGTCATTACCGGTACCGTGCCGACCACACCATCGGCGGGCAACCATTGGCACATACCCGGGGGACATGGACGGCTGCCAGCTGCCACCACACCACGCCAACGGCATGAAACTTCTCCCAGCTCGTCCCATTCTCCACAATAGCATCATCAGGGCACACAAACTTCCACTGCTGTACCAACGCTTTTTCTTTAGTAGCCACGTATCCGCGGCTTTTGCAAGGCTGTTCTCACTATAGTACATGAAGACTATAGCACATGACTATCCAGGCTAATCCATATCCTTTCAAAAGTACACAGCTACCGATGACCTTTATACTCCCTCACATCATCTTCTCTTGCCATCCAAGATTCACTAGCTCAAACCATGCGATCTTGAATCTAGCATTTCCTAACCGACTATAAAACGTCGTTAACTTGGTATCACTATCCTCAACCCTCTCTCTTATACTCCTCATACCCATGCGATGCTTGTCTATCTATACCTCATCCAACGAACCATTAGCCCCTACGCCTTTCTACTCCCCACTCAACTGCAAGATCAATGTACTAGCCACATCCAAAAATGGAAAAGGGCTCGTCACAACCTTCTCCCCATCAGTACTGCGTCCTGCGCCCACCTCTTCCGTACGCTCCCTGAGTACACCGGTACCTCCAGCCCTCAGCTCCTTTGCCAAGTCATCAGGCAACGGTTCCCCATCGCCCAGCCTCCGCCAGACACCTTGTTCGTCGTCCCATCCGTCTTTGTGTGTCGGATGCGGCTGACTCGACGAAAGCGCGAGACTGCTCATCGTTCTGTCCAGCGTATTCGTCGCCTTGATCTCGCGGACTAGATTTGACACGAGACGCTCGTATCCTGCACATTTGAAGTCTACGACAAAAAAGTCGCGGTCAATGCTGTATAGTTGTATCGTCATGTATATCCACACGGCCTCGTCAGCAGCTGGGTAGTCTTCTGCGAGGGAGGCGCCGCGTTCGGCCACGGTCAAACCTTCGACACCCGGAGATAGCGGGGACGTGCTTGTGTTGGTGGAGCTGCGGCGACGAGGTCCAGAGGGATCGGTAGCGAGATCAACGCGTGAGGAGTGGGTTGAAGAGGGGTGTGCAATGCCTGGAGGGAACATGCCGTCCTTGCGGAAACGAGCGTTGATGACCCATGGATCTTCGGGGACGTGGTAGCCCCAGTCATTGGTATGGTTGTAGTGACGTTTTTGACGACCTCGTTTCTCTTCATTCTCGCCACCATTGCGGACTGTGAGTGGCTCACGGTGGGGCGAGTTCATCCGGTCCCCTTGCTCCTCACTGGAAGAGTGAGATGAGATCGAGGACCCCCGTGAGCGGCTTCTCGACCGCGAAGGCGAGCGTTCTTGTGACTCGTGCGAAGCGCTTCTACTATGCGACCCACTTCCTCCCCCAGCTTTGCGGATTTTGGGTACTTCCCAATCCGCACCCATTGCTTTCAGCGCCTTGAAAATGGCAAGCATAGCTTCCGCAGGCTGATTTCGGGATCTTATACCAAATTGCCATTTTGTCGGCCGGGGCTTCTTGGCGGGGAGACTTGTCATTGGCTCAGGCCGCTGCCTGTGAGCTTCGGGAATTGCGCGGAAGTTGGGCTTCAGTCTTCGCGCTGATATTTGTCTCTGTTCCTCGCTCTGTTCCTGATTCAGTGGCAACCCCTCTTCCTGAGGTCTGTTGGGTGGCCTAGGATGTCCCTTCATGTAGGCCTTGTGATACTCTGTAAGACTGCTGGGAAGAATAGCCACCGTGCTGACCGGACTTCGTATACTGGCTAATTGGCTGCTGGCATTTGACCCTTGGCGAGCGCGTTCATGATCAGAAGCAGGGGGAATGACTTGCGGCCGGGACATGGCCGAGAGGGTGTTGGGTATTGATGAGCTTAGATAACTTTCTTGGTGGTTCGGAGGTGATTGCGCGAAGAAGTCTTGGAGATTGTTGTCTCCTGTTAGCAGTGCTGTGGGCAGTCATGAGCATAGTCCAGATTCATTGTATACAAGCAAGACTTACGGTTTGTCTTCATGATTTGGTTTTCTCGGACGATGAGATACGCGTCCTTGATGGCACTTGGCTCATCCCTTGCCAAAGCTTCTTGAACATCGTGCTTTGCATAACCCATAGTCTTGCCCAATTTGGACACAACGGTCTCGTGCAGCTTCTGCACCACGGGCGCGGAGGCGGCAGGTGCTAGATCTTTGGGGTTGATGGCCTTGTTCGGGTCAACGCCGCTCTCAAAGAATTCCTGAATCGGGGGCTCGAGGTAGGCGGGCAAATCTTTAGTGAACCAGGGATCCTGCCGCAGCTCTGGAATCGTGATGCGGTGGACGGGGTTGACCATCAACATCTTCTTGATCAACGAGACGGCGCCAGGCGAGAGGTAACTGGGGATGCTGTAGTTGCCTGCTGCAATCTTCTTGAAGAGGGTGGGAATGTATTCGTCGTCGAATGGTAGTCTACCGACTAAGAGGACGTAGAGGATGACGCCACAGCTCCATACATCCACTTCCGGGCCAGCGTACAGTTTTCCAGAGATGACTTCAGGCGCTGCGTAGTTTGGGCTACCGCAGCTAGTCTTCAAAAAGTTGCCATCGGTCATGATGTTGCTCAGGCCGAAGTCGGCGATCTTGACATTGTATTGGTCGTCCAGCAGGAGGTTCTCAGGCTTCAGATCGCGATGCACAATCTTGTGGCGATGGCAGTACTCGACGGCGCAGACTATCTGTTGGAAGAACTTGCGAGCCTTGTCCTCTTGTAATCTTCCGTTGTTGACGATGTAGTCGAAGAGCTCTCCGCCGGCGTATTCGAGGACCATGATGATCTCAACGGGGGTCGTGATGACGGTATATCTCGGTCACGATCAGTACATGGCTATCTTCGTTGGGGTCAAAGAGGGCCGGCAACCTACAGCTTGATAATATGCGGGTGTCTCAGCAGCTGCAGGTACTGAATCTCGCGCTCAATCCTGCCAGCCATGTCCCGAGTGACGAGTCGTTTGCGGTTGATAATCTTAAGAGCGACCTTCTGGCCGCTCACTTGATGTGTGGCCAGTTTGACCTTGCCAAAAGAGCCCTCGCCCAAGGTCTTGACTATGGTATACTGCCCCAGGCGCTGATTCGCCTTGGGGTCCCTACTCTTGCTCTCTTGAGCGGCTGTGGTGACTGGTGCATTGGGCTGAACGGCTGGAGAGAATTCGACGGTTTTGGTTGTGCTCGCGCCGCCCCTTCTTGGGGCCGGCATGGAGATGGAGAGCTCCTCGAGATCCTCATTGTCGATAGCGGCCGACATGGCGAGGGGTGGATTTGGGCTGTCAGATAAGGGACCGACTGGAAGAAGCTCGGGGCGGGGGAGCTATGGGGCGACGGACGACTAGCGACTTGGAACAAGCGGTGTTAGCAGGTACCGTGCAAGCCGAGCACTGAGTAGGCCGGTGCATGGCCCTATGCAGCAGGCGCGTGGAGGGGAGGCGGGCATGCCAACAGACGGACGGGCATGTGAAGACGGGGCAGCGGCGGGAAATCTGTTGGGAAGTCTCATTTCGCCTGTCGCCATGCAACAACAGCACAACCACAGGTGTGGAGTACAGTGTAGAGAACAACACAAGAGAGAGCAGAACAGCAAACAAACAGACTTACGTCACAGAGGTGCCTTGCAGCGGCGACGCACAAACCGTGGCTCCGGGGCTCCGTGGCTCTTTGGGGAGGGGGGGGGGGGGTGTGTGCGTCTCGAGGTTGTGTAGAAAGACGACGCTTGGACGGGCTTAACGTCAGTAACTGCCCCGCTCACACAACGACTGCGCGCGGTGGAGGCCCACCATGCACGGCTTGGATGAGATGGAAGAAGGCGGCAGTGCAAAGGGCCAGGCGCCAGGCGCAGTGAGTAGGGATGCGAAACAATCCTCAGTGGCGGTAGTAGAGAGTTGTCGACGGCTGTCTCAATCGTACAAGGTGGTCATGGGCGGCTGGGAACAATGAGTGTCGGTGGTGGGGCTCCTCTCTCTGCGCGCTGAGGACAGGCAGATAGATGGTGCTAATGGATGCGGGGGTGGGCGGAAGGGGCGCTCGGGGGGACAATTCATGTTAGGGTGCATGAATTGGGCAGGATGCAGATTTGCTGTCTTCCATGTACCTATCTAGTACACCTCTTGTTGCTCTTCCACAGTAGTCCAGAAAAACGTGGGTAGTCGTTGGAAGCTAGCCTACCGTACCTAGAGAGACCGAGATTCCCACAATGCCCCAAAGATTGCCAAAGTGTCAGGTCAGAATGGGCAATTGCCAATGACTGCAGTGTGTGTTGGTTCCAACTTTCCCATTGTGCAGTTACGGTGCCTAGAGTACATATCCCATTCCTGTCACAGCCACAACATCCATGTTTTCAATTTTGGTTTGCCTTCCCAGCCCTTGCACTCGTTCGCAAGCAAGGCCCATGGTCCCTCCAGTGTGACGCGCATGTTGTACTTCGCACGTGCTTGCTGGTTCCCGCCTCCACGCGACTTGTGCTCTACTCACTTTGGTCACGAGGTGCAGGCCCGAGAAAACTACCCCTTGTGCATTGTGACCATGTGCATTGTGCCCCGTCATGGACATTTCACAAAACCCCATGCCAGAACCACAACATCTGCATCGGCGCCATTGCAGATCCAATCATGGCCAGCGTATCACAGTAGACGATAGCCTTTCCTCCGCCCGCTGTCACTACCGTATGTATCTAGTGGGCTAATCATCCCTAGTACGGCAGGGTGGTCCAAGCAGTCCCCATGTAGGTATTGTACAGTAGGATGTGCATCATCAGAAGCAGAACATGCGTCCGAGTCCCCGCTGCTGCACTTCACGCCGCGCTGCCCCGTCCACGTACACAGCCTCGCCTTCGCTGGCCGAGCTCGAACCACTCACCTGCTTGCCTTTGGGGTTGCCAAACACCTTCAGCAAGACGACCATGGCCGCTGCACTGAGGATGCTGGCACACAAGATGCCAATCATCACTAGGTTGCTCTTGCGGTACCTGTGAGGCCCGGCCTTGGCATCCTCTGGCCAACCAGAATAGAGCGCGTACGTGGTGAGGATGCTGCCCAAGTTGCCCAATCCAGACACGAGTGCGCTGGCCGCTGCCACACCCACTTCGCCGTGGCGAGGCTGGAAGATCTCGTTCGCCCACGTCATGCAAATGGGCACCGTCGGCCCGAGACCAAACCCAACCAGCAAGACACCGCCATATCGCGACCAGTTCTTGGCGAAGGTGGCCACCAGGAGACCAGTGATTTGGATCATCACAGCGCCACTGAAGAAGGCGGCGCGGTGCTGATGGAAGCGATCCGAGATGGGTGTCACCAGTAAGATCGCTATCAAGTCCATCTTGGCAAAAGTCAGTATAGCATGACAACTTGATGACATCGAGCGAGGGAGGAGGTGCAACTCACAATCCAGATCGGCGCGGAAAGTAGGCTGAGCTGTATGCCAGTCAATTGTGGGTTGACGCCACGAATGATGACGGTTGCATAGGCCTGCGTCCCATTTCCGACTCCAACAACACCAAAGTACATGACAACAAGTGGGTAGATTCTCCAGTCTGTAATCACGGCCCAGAGATCCTTCGTGGTCCACAGAGCACGATGGTACACTCGAGTCAAATCCTCGTAGTGGATCCTGGCATCTTCCCCTGTGAGTGCCGGCTTGCCTGCTGGTAAGTACTTCAAGACTCCACTTCGTACTCGAACTTCGCCCGGTGGAAGAGGCCTGTCGGGTAGCCACCACAGCAACGACACGCCAACAAGGAAGCCAACGATGCCGTACATCAGGAACATCCACTGGAAGCCAACTAGACCGCCAAGGCCATCCATCTTTTGAAACCCAGCAGAAACAAGACCGACAACAGCTGCAGACATTTGAGATGCCGTGAAGTAGCGTCCAATACGCTTGCCGGTCCTGGATGGAGGGTAGAAGAGTGTCAGGTAGTACGACATGCCAGGCCACATGCCTGCAATGACGATACCGAGAAGCAGTCGGAGTAGGTACAATGACCATGCTGCCTTCATAGCAGTCAAACACATGCCAATGATACCCACACAAGTCACGATTCGACTCATCCACGCATGTGGGCTGACTCTGGTCATGATGAGATTCGATGGCAAGTCAAAGATGACATAGCAGACATAGAAGAGTGCCAGACCAGTGGACACCTGTTTTGGCGTGATGTTCAGCACCGAACCGAGATCGTGCTTGGTATCCAGGTTCATGGTCTGTGCAAGCCCAATGTTAGACCGAATCGCAGAGCAGATGAAGTATAAAACCCAGAATGCTGGGAGGATACGGCGGTCAAGTTTGCTGGGTGGTCATTAGGTGCTGCAAGATCAAGAAACTGGTTTTTGGAATGTCAGTCCTTACGCGTAGACTCTCTCTATCCTGTCAATATCCACCATCTCAGGTCCTACTTCCACGTCGTGATGTGAATCACCATGTTTTTGCGCGGCTGCTACTACTCCTTTTCCCTCGGTCGGGGAGCTATCCCCATCTGAAGGCATATTGTAAATTGGGCGCACTCCTCAGAAAAAACTCCAAAGCGCAGTGAGTCAAAAAGGCGGATGAAGATGCAATACCGCAACTCAACGATTACTCCAACGACCGTAGTCTCGGCTCTAGTACACAGTGAGACTCAGCCGTGCCTATGTCGGGCATACCATATCGCCCTATTGGCTGATCAACGCATTCGTCTATTCGTCGATGAGAAACTTTTTGCACTCGTGGTGGGGCGGGCGCTAGTGATGAGTTGGTGATTTGGTGATTGTCGAGTTCGTTTCCCCTTCCACGGCTGCAGTCGAGAGCTTTGATAGCTCTTAGCCGAGGGATCGGAGGAGAGCATAGAGTCTTCTGAGAATTACTGCTTCGATGAGCAATGCAAGCTGCAAGTATGATTGTGATTAGCGGACATCTTCTCATGAGGATGAGGGGCCGATGACCTCCCACTAACCAAATTGACCAGAATAAATTAGGTCTGATCTGTGATGAGATCATGCAAATCTTATCGATAAGAGCTTGCTTTCCCTCGCCGCCAGCTGTAATATCCACAGTACACTGTTAGTGGGTTTTGCTGGTGTCGGAATGGGAGCATTCTCCATTGACTTTTCAAGCATACGATAGTCAGGTATTTTGTTCCTTACACAATGCTCGTCAACGCATTCTCGCGTACGTCGCGCCAATTGCGATGCACACGCGCCTCGCCCATCCTTCGCCTCCGTGGCTCGCGACATGTTTCCACTTTGCCAGAGAACCGTCACATTGTACGATGAAAGCGCGCTACCGATCCGCAGCTCTATGCTGACGACCCGCGCAGTATGTCCATCAACATCCCATGGACCCAAACAAGAAGGTCCTGTCCCTCCTCGCCAGCGAACCACCAACCCTCCAGCTTGCCATTGGCACCGCCGACTCCCTGCCAGTCACCCCGCGAAACTTCACCACAAACCCACACTTCCTGTCCATCCTCTCCTCTGTCTTTGCCGAACATGCCGTCCATGACTCCTACGTCAAATCGCAGGCGGCAGTCTATGCATCAGCAGGCGGTAGCTTTCTGAGCGGCCCGAATGACGGCGCAGGAGGCGCAAATCACCAGGGTGGTGCAGGTGGTGCGAGGCACGGAGGATGGATACACATCAGTGATTTGAGGAACCCGCCAGATTATGGAAGGATCGCATGGCCTGAAGACATCTTCGGAAGTGTCGAGGTAGATGGCAATGGGAACTTTAGCGGGGAGAATGGCGGGTGGCAGGATAGTGGAACCTACAGAGTTGTGACGCGGGAAGGCATGTAAGTCTATCCATCCTACTGGAAATAGGAAATCAAGACTACCATGCTAATCTCTGCAAAAGACTGGGATTGACCGAGTTCATATGGGGAAAAACGGTGGAGAGGCTGCAGGAGCTTGAGAGGCAGATCAAACAAAACTCATGATTGTGTGCGAGATTACAGGACAGTATAGTCATTGGACTATACCAACAAAGTTAGGATTTTGACCTGGCGTGGCTCTCGACACTGTGATCCCGTACCTGACGATCTCTCTTAGACGTCTTGGCATGTCTTCAAACTCTCCACTCCATCTACACCCCCCAATCCTTACCACCACCCTAATTGTAAATATTTTCCGTCAAAACCCGACATCTCTCCGATACGTTCACAAGAATCACAATGAGCGACTCCAAATCTCCTGAACCCGTTGCAGTCCTGTTTGTCTGCCTGGGAAACATTTGTGAGTGGTTACCCTTACCCTCTCTCCACCCCCACCACCCCGCACCACCGTCACCATGTATCCTAACATGACCACCCAGGCCGTTCCACCATGGCAGAAGGCGTGTTCCAATCCCTCACAGCACCTTCCCACCCCTTGATCTCCCGCATCGACTCTGCCGGTACCGGCGGCTACCACATCGGCTCCTCTCCTGATTCGCGCACCATGTCCACATTGCGCTCAAACGGGATAACCTCGTACCGACACGGAGCGCGAAAATTCTCCCCCGAGCGCGACTTTGCAGATTTTCAGTACATACTCGCCATGGATGCAGACAATCTAGAGGATCTGTTGGCGTTGCGAAGGCGGCGGGTCAAGCAGCTCGGGAGCGAGGAAGGCGTTGGGAAGGTCATGCTGTTTGGCGAGTTTGGGGGCATGGGTGGGAAGGGGAGGGTGGAGGAGATTCAGGATCCGTATTATGGAGGGGAGGATGGGTTTACGATTGCGTATGAACAGAGTGTTCGGTTTGGCAAGGCATTTCTGGAGAGGTTGGAGAAGGGGGAGCTGAGTTAGGTGAATACGAAGGGCGGGGACGATGGAGAGGATTTTGATACCCTTGGACAAGGAATGCGTTCTCTTTGTGTCTCCTGGTGCACAATTGAGCACTTGGTAAGACGATGCTGGGCATAATTTTGTGATGTTAACTAGGCAGTCCATGCGTAATTCACTCATGTGGTGATAGTATAGCGCTCAGTAAGCAATCGTGTACCAAATTACCGGAAGGTGCGGGTTACCCTTTTTGTCGATGACGGTGGATGACAGTTTACAGAGGGCCTCGACGTGTATGTACAAGGGTCACTGGGTAGTATCACGTGTGGAGGGCGAACCTACTCTGTTGTGTATACAATGGATACACACGCAAGCACTCAGCCGCAAGCCTAGTGATGGCTTGTTATCTTAAGGCTCAGGGTGAACATGTACAACCTCAGCAGCAAGGGTGCAATGGATGGACAAGTCGAACTCTGCTGTCAACAACAAAGAGCGAAATTGTCGGCAACAAGCTTCCCGGAAGTGCACGACATGCAGAGCCATTGTCCATGACGACCACCGTAGGTACATAGTATGTGCACGGCTTGTTCCCATGTTCTACCTTACATTGTATGTTTTTTTTTTCGCCGAAAATAGATGGAGAGAGAACTGGGCTTCGTAACCATGCGGCTGTGTCAAGTGTGGCGGGGCTCGACGCAAGACCCCGCAGCGAATGGAAGCGCAATCGCAGACGGCACGTCTTGAGGGGCCTGACACTGAAGCGCATCCTTGGCAGGCCTCTTCAGCTGGACCCAAAATACAAGCCAGACTGAGCCCGCATGACTTTGTCTGTAGGTTGGAACCTGCTCTTCTCCTCATCACCCTCAAAGTACGCCCTGAAGCCTGCTTTTGCTTTTGGCGTCGTCGTCGTCGTTGTTGTCGTCGTTGCCCCGCCCCGTCGTACTACCGGTAACAGACAGCCAAGGTACATGACCCAACCCTGCGCATCGGCCGTTGCTGTGGTAAACAACTGCGGTGCACCCGAACCTTGTCCACGCTTAATCGCATCTACCCAGGGTATCAAAACCCACCTGAAACCGACGTCCTTGAACCCGGCCTCTTGCCTCGCAACATCCCAGATCAAGCAGCGATACATCATACAACCCGTCCCAGCTGTGTATTGGCCTGCCATCTCCTACCCTGCCCGCGCATTTGGATTGCCGACTCAGCCATTACGTGACCGCCATAAACGAAGGCGCAGCATCTACCATAGTACACATCCCTAGCACACCATGTCCTACAACCGGCTGGGTGAGTAAATACACCCGTGCAATTCTCCGAGCCTGTATCATGTTTGTGCACTATTGCGCCGAACCGCTTCTTCGCTCCGACACCCTCAAGACTTCCATCTTCACAGTCTTCACAATCTTGCAGGCGCAGGACAGAACTTTGTAGCCACACGGTGACAAGACGAGGCTAACCAGACACTTTGCATTCAAAGGCTCCCCGCCCAACCCTTACGACAACGACATGGACCCGAGACGGCCTGGCCCAGGGCGGACGCCTTCTCCCGGGCAGCCTCTGCGCGGCTATCAACTCGAAGACCGCTATGCGTCGCCCGCACCGCCACCTAGTGGCATTCTCGAGATTCCCATGGGCCCAAACCCGGCAGCAGCTTCAGGCGACAGGCTCCCCCTACAGCCCAGTGTAGGTAGAGCTTGGGAGGAGCGCAGACCACAGATTGGCTAATACCCCGTCAGTACTCTGTGGAGAACATTCCCTACACTGCAGGCAACTACCACGATGACTACGACCCACGACCGCAACGACACGACAGCGATTACTCACTCGACCCTCAAGCGCATCATGACCAGTACTACAATCAGCCTTATGACCCATCACCAAACGAGGGAAACGCGCAGCACGGGTACGGCACACAGCCAACACACTATTGGCAAGATGAGGATATGAACAGGCCAATGATCCAAGGTCAAAATTCATATGGCCCAGATCCACACCAGGACCATGGAGAAGAAGACATGGACCCAGAAAATCCCTTTTCCGACGAGCCAGCGCCCACACCGAGCCCAGCGCCAATCAAAAGATGGAAGACTGTAAAGGAAGTTCAGCTGTTCAAAGGCAACCTGGTGCTGGATTGTCCCATTCCACCCCGACTACTCAACCAAGTTCCACATGCACAGCCCCCGGAGCGTGACGAGTTTACCCACATGCGATACTCCGCCGCCACATGCGATCCCGCAGACTTTGATGCGGATCGCTTCACATTGCGTCAGAAGCTTTTTGCGAAGCCTCGGCATACGGAGCTTTTCATCGTAGTCACCATGTACAACGAAGAAGATGAGCTGTTTGCGCGTACCATGATGGGTGTAATTAAGAATATCGAGTATATGAATTCGCGAACCAATAGTAAGACGTGGGGCAAGGACGCGTGGAAGAAGATCGTGGTTTGCGTCGTCAGCGATGGGCGTGCCAAGATCAACCCTCGGACAAGGGCTGTGCTAGCTGCACTCGGTGTCTATCAAGATGGCATTGCCAAGCAGCAGGTGAACGGCAAGGATGTAACGGCCCATATTTATGAGGTAGGTTCTCTTGCTCCGAAGCAGAGTCGGCACGCGTCATGGCTAACATGAAGACAGTACACCACGCAGATGACCCTCGATATCAAAAAGGGTGTTGTTGGTGTCAAGAAGGGCAACACCCCAGTGCAGATGCTCTTCTGTCTGAAGGAGAAGAATCAGAAGAAGATCAACTCACATCGATGGTTTTTCCAGGCTTTCGGCACTGTCCTCGATCCCAACATTTGCGTGCTCATTGATGCTGGTACCAAGCCCGGAAAAGACTCCATCTATCAACTCTGGAAGGCTTTCGATCTAGAGCCCATGTGCGCTGGTGCCTGTGGTGAGATCAAGGCTATGCTTGTGCGGGGAAAGAAGCTGCTGAACCCTTTGGTCGCCACACAAAATTTCGAGTACAAGATGAGTAATATCCTGGATAAACCTCTCGAATCAGCATTCGGTTTCATCACTGTGCTTCCCGGCGCCTTCTCCGCATATCGCTATGTGGCACTGCAAAACGACAAAACTGGCCAAGGTCCCCTCGAGAAGTACTTTGCAGGCGAGAAGATGCACGGAGCGAATGCTGGCATCTTCACAGCCAACATGTATCTCGCTGAAGATCGTATCCTGTGTTTTGAACTGGTATCCAAGCGAAACTGCCACTGGATCTTGCAATACGTCAAGTCTGCAACGGGCGAGACGGATGTTCCAACAACCATGTCGGAATTCATCAGTCAACGTCGTCGCTGGCTTAACGGTTCCTTCTTCGCTGCTGTCTATGCCCTGGCCCATTCTTTCGACATTTTCCGCAGCGACCACTCGTTCATGCGGAAGATGATGTTTCTCGTCGAATTTACTTACCAAACGATCAGCATGCTGTTCGCATGGTTTGCTCTTGGTAACTTCTTCTTAGTTTTCCGCATTCTCACGGCTTCATTACAAAATGAGCTTGGTACTACCGGAAAGGTGTTGTTTATCATCTTCGAATGGTTATACATCGCGGTCTTGATCAGTTGTTTCATCTTGGCTCTTGGAAATCGACCCCAGGGTTCGAATAAGTGGTATATGTCCATGGTGTACTTCTGGTGTGTCATCATGGCCTACCTCATGTTTGCATCCGTCTTCATCGCGGTGAAGTCTGTCCAGAAGCAGGTCCGCGAGAATCAAGGCTTTGAATTCGCAGACCTGTTCAGGGATAGGATCTTTGCTACGATGATTATTTCGCTACTGTCTACCTATGTCATGTGGCTGCTAGTCTCGATCATCTTCCTGGATCCCTGGCACATGTTTACCTCTTTCTTTCAATATCTTCTCATGACGCCAACCTACATCAACATTCTAAACGTCTACGCCTTTTGTAATACGCACGACATCACATGGGGCACAAAGGGTGACGACAAGCCTGAGAAGCTGCCTTCAGTCGTTACCAAGGCCGATGGTAAGGCCGATATCCAAGCTCCAACAGATGACGCCGATCTCAACACGCAGTACGAAACCGAGCTCCGCGTCTTCAGCTCCAAGTGGAAAGAAGACAAGAAGGTTCCCTCGGCCGGTGAAAAGCAAGAAGACTATTACCGTGGATTCCGCTCTGGTGTCGTCTTATTCTGGATGTTCTGCAATCTTGGTCTCACGGCTCTAGTCCTTCAATCAGGTGGCCTGGAGCTTACCGTCAGCAATCCAGATGAGGCGCAGAAGAAGCAGACCGAAACAGCAACGATATACCTTGCGGTTGTGTTGTACAGTGTTGCTGGTTTAGCAGCATTTAGATTCGTGGGAGCCATGTGGTTCTTGGTTGTGAGGATGGTGAGTTCATCCCGTTGTCTCTGAATTTTAGTGCTGTTTGCTAACATGATACAGTTCCGTGGCGTGTGAAAAGACAAAAATGTACCCCCTTGTGTGAGGTGCAAATGAGGTGTTGTATAATTGGCGTTCTGAACTGGTTTTGGGCGCATGATGACGGAATTCGAGAAGGTATTTTGCCCAATGTTTTTGATCAGATGATAAGCATGATACCAGTATTTGAATAAAATTCTCAATTGTCTTGATCTCGTCGAAAAATTCCACTTCTATTTCTCTCCGTGACTAGCTCCCGCGATTATTCATGAGCGTTAGTGTGTTTCTGATGCAATCTACTATCAATTGTATGGTCGGTACCATCACATGATATCTGACTATTGTACTATTGTAAGTGACTTCCTCCTCAAGGGCTGAGAACGCTTTGCAGCTTTATTAAACAATTCTATTTTTTGGGGGGGTGTTCAAACATGTATCTTCGCTCTGATACCTATCGGCACCTGGGATAGTCGCTGACGATTATCACAGATCCTGGCCCCCATCCACTCTCGGTATTTGAAATCGTGCACCGTTCAGACTTGTCTCTTACCCTTATGCTTGTCAAGTCTTATTATCGCCCTGAACTTCCCTACCTGGGTATCACGTTCCTATTTCCAATCTGCGTGAAGTTCTTTCATCTCCCTCACCCCGTCCCCTCGTACATCAGACCCATCCTTTTGCCTCACCAGCACCACAAGCCTTGGCCCACTCAATCTTTATTCTAGCTTTATCAATATTTCGTTTACGCGCAAAAGTAACCTGAGTCTCTCCGTCATCAACTTCTTCTTCTACTTCCCCCCAAGATTCTACCTTCACCAACTATTCCAACCTTGGGAGGTTGTCCCGCGCGAGCTCCTTCCCTCCCCATACCGCTCCTTCCCTAGCACAGCCTTGGCATCCCATTCTCCCATTACAACGCGAACACTCCCCGGCAACGAACCACACGCGCTGTTTTTTTATTATTTCCAAACTTGTCTGGCAACACCATTGGGCACCGCAATTTTCTTCGGCAACAACGATACACCTCTCGGGTCGTCTGTGAGAATGGGTTGGGATACGGGCAATGGTATGTTTGGTTCCTTTTGCGTGCGTGCGTGCGTGAACGGTATGGGGTACTAATGCTGTTTGTAGACGCTAGGGCTTCGGCTTGGAATGTTGATACTGTCGGTGGGGGCGCTGATGTGTGGAACACTGGAGGTGCTGCTGCCGCCGGCTCCTGGGGTGGCGGTGATGATATCGCTGGCTCCTGGGGTGCTACCGGCGCTGGCGGTGATGGAGGCGACCAAACTTGTCGTGTGTGAGTACCTCCCGGTTCAGGATCATGAACTACACGAAGAATCGCTTCTGACATCTTCAATAGCTGTCATCAGACGGGCCACTTCGCTCGCGACTGCCCCGAAGCCCCTGCTGGTGGCGGTCTCACTGGCGAATGCTACAACTGCGGCGAAGTGGGTCACAACAAGGCCGACTGTACTAACCCACGTGTAGAGCGCGCATTCACTGGTACTTGCAACGGCTGCGGAGTAGAGGGCCATACTATTCGAGACTGCCCCAGCCAGAAGTGCAAACTCTGTGATCAGCCTGGGCATCGGGCTCTCGAATGCAAGTCTCGCCGCATTGTCAACTGGACCGGCATCCCAGAACTCGATGATGTCTCCGCTTGGGCTGCGTTGATCGACGCTGCCAATGCAATGGACTTGGACACGTTCAGGACTTGTCTAAGGGCCTACGCTCGCGCCACAATGGACAAGTTCAGTCTGCCTGATGTCGAAAAGGCTCTCCGGGAGGATAACAAGGGCATTTATCTCATCGCTAAGCCTCAGGAGCTGGCTGCGAACTTGACTATTGTTGATCTCGTCGGCAATCCCGATCGCGACTATGTCCTCTCTTTTCAGAAATTTGCCAAACCTCGTCGCGTAAAGATGGCAGAAGGCTGGCCCGCCTCGCCTGAAGAGAATATGGTACGCCTTAGCTCCGCTGGCTTCGTCGAGGACCGTGGTGTTCCGCTTTGCGGCAACTGCGGTGAACTTGGCCATGTTCGCAAGGTACGTTCTGATATTATACCCTGTCTTCCATTCCCCTAGCTCACTTTCTACACTAGCACTGCAAGCAAGAGCAGCCTGAACGCCAGAGCCACCAGCCAGAAATCACTTGTGTCAATTGTCATGAGATTGGACATCGTGCGCGCGACTGCAACAAGGAACGCTTAAACCCACATGCGTGCAGGAATTGCAAGAAGGATGGCCACAATTCCAAGGATTGCCCTGAGCCTCGTTCCGCCGAGGGTGTTGAGTGTCGTAAATGCATGCAGACTGGTCACTTCTCCAAGGATGTAAGGTCAACTTCCTCTTTTAAGTCTACTCCTTGTACTGACATACAACGATAGTGTCCTAACGTTGCGGCGCGAACCTGCCGTAACTGCGACTCGACTGAGCACATTGCCAAGGACTGCGATCAGCCGAAAAACCCCGACAAGACTCAGTGCCGCAACTGTGATTTGACTGGTCATTTCTCTAGGGATTGCCCCAAGCCTCGTGACTACTCCAGGGTCAAGTGCAGCAACTGTGGTGACATGGGACATACTATCAAGGTAAGCAGAGAGTGTCTTGATCAGGATGCAAGTACTGACTATCATAGCGCTGCAATGCCCCTATTGCCGAAGATGACGGTGACGCTGGTGGTGGTGGTTGGGGTGATGTCGGCGGTACAACTGACGCTGCTCCTGCTATTGGTACAGGCGAGAACTCTTGGGATACCGGCGGTGGCGTCTGGTAAACATGCCGGCCTTCCCTTCACCATATGCACCATATCCATCTTCCACGACCCTAGTCACAAGTCACAAGCAAACAGGGGGACTCTTGAAAGACGTGCACAACATCATGCATGAGCATCTGCTTTACGCACTTGGCTAGCTTTCTGACTGCGTGGTGTGCCTTGCTTGCATAGGCCACCCAGATTTCACAAGCTATTGACTGCCATTATCAGCTGCGCCGAGTAGCTAGGTCGAAGATTGCAAAATTTGACAGATTCTGTTGGTTTTAGTGTATTAGTGACTATGCGTGATATATTCCTTTTACACATGCCACAGTAGACCACCTCTCTTCACACCACCTTTGAGCCAAGCACATTTGATCCCACTTATCCTCTACATAGCCTTTTTCCCGAGATTACACTACACGTGATTATCTAAACAGTTTCTTTGGATCCCAAGCATTAACCTTCGTTATGGGGTGGAAGCGGGCGTGGTTTGTTTGTGTCTTGTGAGGCTGGTGTTGGAAAAGGAGAGTTGGTTTCGGCATGTGCAGTATATTGAGCAGGCTGTTGTGCTAGTTCAAGTCATGACGTGCGGGTTTGGTATGGGTATGGGTATGAGCATGAGTATGGTCGTCGTACATGGGTTTTTGAAAGTATGCATAGAGGGGATATTGTACATGGATTGCTCCTTATTTTTTCTTGATTAGGTGGGTTGAAGGGATTTTGTACGTGGGATATTTCCTTGTCCTGTTGCGTTCGCAGCGTGTTGCTTGTTTGTACAGTAGCAGTGGGTACATGCTGCTCGATGCTGTTACCATACTACCGCCAAGCCAGATCAAACTCTTGACATTGCATTACATACCGGTACGGTATACGCAACCGCCGACATCTCCCCCTTCCAAAATCCCATACATGGCCATTCTACGCCCCCCTACAAATTAACCCCCTCCCGCACCCCAACCCCATACTTCCTCCCCAACCCACCCTCCCACCGCGCATACGCACTCTCCCACTGCCCATACCTGATCTCGTACGCCGCCGCCGCCCCATCACCCACTCCCCTTTCTGCAATCTCACGCGCAAACACCACACCATCCAGAACCGCGGCATTAGCGCCGTTGCCCCCGATAATCGGCTCGGTGTGCGCGGCGTCGCCGAGTAAGAGGATGTTGGTGCGGTGCAGGAGGGTGTGTAGGGAGGGTAGGGGGATGAGGGAGCGGCGCATGAGCCAGTGTAGAATTCGGTCATTGCGGAGATGCTCGGGGTTGAGGAGGTGGGGGAAGGGGGAGGGGAGGTGTGGTTTTAGTGTGGCGAGTTCGGAGAAGAGTTCGGGGGGGATGGTGTGTGCGTCGGTGGTGGAGCGGGTGGGGTGGTGTAGAGAGTCGGTGGTGGTGGTGCTGCGCGGTGGACGGGAAAATGTCCAGCTGAGACTGATGTCGTCTTTGCGCTTGTCGTTGAGACTGAGGGTGAGAAGCGAATCGCCGTGTCTAGCATGGAGCACTGTATCCCTTTGAAAAGCGGCGGCGAACACGTCTTCAAACGTCTGCGCATCCACTCTTCGCTTTCCGTTAAAGGCAACCAGAGGCAGCACCTCGAGCTGCGTCGTCGGCACAAAAGCTCTGCGGATGCTCGAGTGCACACCATCTGCCGCAATGACAAAGTCTGGTTGCAGAACCTCCCCGTTTGCAAGATGGAAAATAGGTCCGGTCTGGTCTGTGGCTTCCACGTTTGTTATGGCGGACGAATACCGTATATCCAATCCTTCGCCTAACCATCGTTCCAGTCTCGCGCGGTTGGCTCGAAAATACTCGATTGTGTGCACGGGGGATTCCTCGTCGCTGGTCACGTGGCTCGTTCGTCCTGTGCCTCCTGCATCTGCGTCAACGGCGACGCAGGATTTGAAGTCGAGCTCTGGGACACCGAGGTAGGAGAGAAGGGGCCGGTAAGAAGATGCATATAGCGTGATGCCGTAATTATGTCGGGGGGCGCCCGATGCTTTCTCATACAGCGTCGTGCGAATGCCGGATTGGAGGAGGCAGCGGGCGATTGTTAGGCCGGCAATGCCAGCACCGATGATGGGTATGGGCTTTGTGAAGACGGGCGGCTTGAGAGGGTTTGACATTGTTGTTTTTATCCTGGGAAGTAGAGGTGTTGCTTGGTGTTGGGGCAGGTAGGTAGTCGCCATGATGGTAGGACGATGACTTGCTGAGGACGATCGAGCCAATCACGAATGACGGGTCTGGTCTGGTTCCTGAATAGATGTGTTATTATATAATGTCTGGCAGGCTACTATACTTTGGAAACACAAGTCAGCCTTGGTTTTATGTTGCAATCAACTTGATTGCACAGGGTTACATGGCAAGATTCAGATTTCTTATCAACACAAATCTGTCTTCATGCATATATGCTACGACTTTTGCGCACGGCGGAGAACCACCTTCAGCGGCTTCTTATCCTGTCATCTCCATCAGCATCAAATATGCCAAGTACCCCTGAGGTACTCATTGACAACTCACCCAAAAAATATACGTCTTCTGCTCTCCCCAATCCCATCTATCCGCCTCATCTGCCAGCCGCAAATCGAAGCTCCACACGAGCCGGGCCAAGACTACGCGCATCTCCGCGTAAGCGACCTTCAAGCCAATGCACATGTGGCGGCCAATTTGAAAAGGCTGAAAGGCCGCCATATTGTCTTGCGCCTTTCTGTGCTTCTCGAGGAAGCGCTCAGGGATGAAGGAGTTGGGGTAGCTGAAGTTGTAGGCTTGGCGGTAGGCGGGAAATTGGTTGAAAGTCACATATGTCTGCGTGGAATTCCTGTTAGCAAGCCGAAAGAGAATGAATGCCTCGTTGTCTGGAAATGGGTACTGACGCCTCCTGGTAGCCATTTCCCACAGACCGTATCACCGCCTTCGGGTACGATGCGAGGAACACCAATGACTACAGCTGGATTCAGTCGCATGCCTTCGTTGATGACTGCGTTGAGATATTCCAAGTTAGCCGTGGAGGCAATAGTAATGTCGGTTTCCGTTTGAAAGGCTTCACGAATTTCGTTTGTCAGACGGTGGAGGGCACCCTTATGCTGTACTAGCTCTCTTGCGATGGCGGTAAGCGTGCTAGCCGTGGTCTCGCTGGCGGCGAAAGCGATGATGAGCAGGTTGATGCCCCATTCCCCATCTGTGAATGCACCTTTTTGCTCATTGTATTTTTGCGTTGGATGCACCCAATCCGGTCTCTCCACGTCTAGTGCAAGTCTCTTCCGTGCTTTGGCATAGCTCATCTCACGATGGTTCATTGACTTTTGCAATATGCTCTTGGGGATGACGAATCGCAAGAGCTTATCAATGGGGCGATACTGGTTGATAGAAGCAATCATAGCAAGACCTTTACCAAAATCTTGTGTGGTTTCAACCCACCAATGCGCCTTACCAGTCTTCACACAGTCGAACGATTCGCCATACGTAAAGTCACCGGAAATGTCAAAAGTCAAGAAGTTGAACCACGAAGCTAGATCGATAGCCTTCTCTTTCCACTGACGCTCGAACATCGGCCCTTTGATCTGATTCATGAAGAGGTCGACGTATTTCTCGACTACGGGAATCTGCTCTTTCAAGCTTTTTTCCGAAAAGGCGTTGGCGAATGCACGCCGATACCGTGCATGGTCTTCTTCTATGAAACCCATAATCGAATTTGGCTCATCATGTGTCATCTTCTGAAACCAGGTTCGGTTTCTTTCGAACGGTAAGTGGCCGGGTCGATTTCCATATATATCCTTCCATGCTCGGCTATCAGCGTAAGATAGCTCGTTTGGGGCGATGCGCACAACCGGCCCATATTGGGTGTGGAACGTTTTGAGCTGTCTGTGAAGTATTCCTCGTTGTGTTGAGACCACATAGGGAAATCGAAATGCTCGCCAGAGTAGGGGGCCTGGGAAATCGCGCAGTGGATGAAGGTAAGTGTTGTAAAAAGCGTAGCATGCGACGAGCTTGGGAAGCTGATGTCAGTAGTAATTGTGTACCTCTGCTTTGCGACCGACTCACAAGGCATGAGACGACCACTGCTGCTAATATAAATTGAATGTCTAATAGTCGGGTTGGCATTGTTGGTATGTCGGAGCGGCGTGGGCTTATTGGGTGTCTGCCACGAGGGACAATTGTACGAAAAGACACGAACGGATTAGTGAGGGTGCTACCTATCGGGGGCAAGTTTAGTGGTGTGGCTTATGGTCGGTCGCACGTTGGATAGATTAGTCCATCACTCGTCTACCTTCAGTTGCAAAGTGCAGTGCAACGAGCGCGTGCATTGGGCGGGGTAACTAGGTACCCGTAATGCCACCCCAAGGCTGTGACTAGGCTGTTAGCATCCGAACAACCATGGCCAGTCACTGCACTGGCACAGGCCGACTCAAGAGTGGTGACTTTACTCCGCTCGCTCGACTTGAAACGCAAATCCAAGTGTCTATAGATTGTCGGCACATGTACCGGTATCATTCAGAACTTCAGTGGCCAGAAACAAGACAGGCGGCGCTGTGATAAAGGGGGCCAACAAGGACTCTACCGTCGCAGTGGGTGCCCCAGTCTCAACAAGCATCATATGCTCCTCAAAGTAGTTGTCGTGGTTTGAGAAGTACCTCAGGGCCGTTGAGAGGAGGTTACAGTAAGCGCATCCTATATGTTTCCAACCGAAAGAGACCGAACTCCTGAAAGCGATCGAAGGCTGATCCCCCAGCTTATCATGAAGCACGGCCGCCGATGCGGGAAGACTTGTCTACAACGAGTGACTTGAAGCTCTGCTCTGACACCAATTGATCTACCCTAACCTGACATGGCTAAACCAAATGGGTTTCGAAACGAAGTTCCACTTGTGAACTTATGAAGATCCAAACCGACGGCCCGCAATGCGACGACGACAAATGAAAACAAGGTGATGAACTGACTCCTCTGTCTGTCTTGGACAAACTTCGGAGCAGCAGATGAAAAACGAGCATAGATGGAAGACGTTGGTGGTGCCACAGGTGCAAAGAAAAGAAAGCTACCGGTAATGCGCTTGCTTTGGTGGCCTTGCAGCAAACCAACGTGTTGCGTTACCCCTCCGTTATACCTCTTCCAGTGGTCGTCCATGGTGGATACGGCTGATTTTGCGGTCATATCATGTTTGGACTAGGGAGAGTTGAAGAAGAGGCTCGAGGGTGAAAGGTGCCAGGTGGAGCAAGAAACAAAGCAGCCTCGCCTCGCCCTTGTTAGGTCGGCCCATGTAGACTGTACCGTATTGACACGACGCGCAGGTGGGTTCTTGATAGCGCAATCGACGTGGCACAACCTCCTCTCTCGTGCGGGCCGCCCATGGATATTCGGGAAGGTGGGCAGGCAAGTGTGGTGGATGCTTTCGGTGTACTGCGCAGAACAACTTCCAGGTTCCTAGCTACCTAGACTCGTCGTTAATTTGCCCCAATTTCTGTTGGGTGGACTTGGCCTTTTTTGGGGTAATTAGCTCAATATTTGGGCGTCCAGCGAGGCTTTTTTCAATAGGTAACATTCACTACCTATGGCCTAGTTGCATCCACTATCGGGTCATTTACTGGCTTTGGAGGACCAGATACGGTTCTCCGTCAGCCGTTATTGCAGGCTCCTGGCTGGCTATCATATGATCCACCGCAGTACCGAATACCCTAGCATCTGCAGTGCACGGACAGCGGGTGAATACCAAGGAGCAGCGAGCCCCGACTTTCTTCTTCTAGCCTTTCGTTTCTCGTGGGTGATAGATCCAACCCCCAACCCCCAACCCCCCACCCCCCCCCCGCGGCCGTTGCCGTTCTGTTTGGTCCTCGTTTGACAGCCCTGCCACTGAAACTCAAGGATCCTTTGTTACTTTGGAGAGGATTGAGTCGAAATTGGCGCCGCCCGCCTGAGGCAGACTTTGTTCTTCGCCCATCGTCATCTGAGCAGTGTGGTTGAGGCCATTGTTGGCCCACCACCAACATTCACGAGGCCTTACCTTGCGTGAATCGAGTCTCTGCATGCACCAAAAACAGTACCATAGCCATGCGGCTGAGAAAAACGACATGATGCAAAGCAACCACTGCCATCGAATCGTTGTCGAGCCCCTGTCGTTGGATCGCAAGATGGCACGTATCAGCGCTTAGAGGAGGTACAAGCCATACCGGTAGAAGCCATGCCAGCCATACCAGCCATACCTGGATAGCCAGCCTACTACTCTCGCTAACGGGCCATATCCAAGCACCGCACCGAGACGCTAAGGCCGACTCCAGGTCTCACCAATTTGGCTCTGCATATGGCCTTCAAGGATGAGGAATAGAGACTACAGTGAATCTGCTCCGGCGCCGTGGTCTGTGTCGACGGACATGCACATGGCGGCGCATGGGACTTGCATTATAGTCCGCCTGTCTAACGGCCAAGTACAGGGATAGATGCTCAGACAAGGTTGTATAAGATTGTCAGTCGCCGGGCACATCAGACTGTGCAACAAACCGCATCAGCCTCGAGATTCATCATTCCTTCGTCACGGTGGAAGCTGTGGTTCTTGGTGCCGCTTGCTTTTTCTTTCTCACGGTGAAAGCGCGCTGTAGCTTGGACCCTGGTTTATGCAAGCTGCACTTCACTTACCACATATACCTACCTTCGTCTTCCCACTTCACTTTCTGCTTGCTTTCCCCCTAAACATTCCAAACTGCATCCACACCTAATCACCATGCTCTTCTCTACCATGACCGCGGTCTTGATCCTGTTCGCCGCATCCGCCGACGCCCTCCCACGGCCACAGCAGAGCCCGACAAAGTACACGCCAGTTCGCGACCTCAGTAAACTGGCCAAGTACTTCCCCAAGAGCGCACTTCCTGCACCTGATGGTCAACAACTCAAGTATGTCGTACTCGGAATCGGCACGCAAAACTACACTTGCGGATCCGACGAGAATGCTGCCCCAGGTACCACTGGCGCACTGGGTAAGTCAAAGTGAAACCATTTCAGCAAAAATGTCTACTAACACACGCAAAGCTACCCTATACGACATTGGCTCCAAGCTCAACGACGACTGGATGGCTCCCTGGAAGATTCCTACCATGTCTCCCCTTGCCCTGTCACTCAGCTCGATGCCCGACATGCTGGACTGGAGTCTCCGCTCCCAGGGCTACAACAACATTGCCGGCCACCACTACTTCAGCCAGATTGCCCAAGTCAACACTCCCATCTTCGCCTTTGACCAGCTCAGTGCCTCGCCCTATCCTCTTGCGCAGGTGGCGAAGCTCAACGGGACTGACGCTCCTGCCAGCGCCTGTCCTGGCAGTAACGGTCTTCCCGCCATCCAGTGGCTCTATCTCAAAGACATCACCGGTGCGTCTGCTGGCGGTATCGACACTGTCTACCGCGTCGAGACCGCAGGGGGCAACCGACCAGCGACCTGCAAAGGCATGCAGGGCTCATGGCAAGTCAAGTACGCCGCTCAGTATTGGATTTTCGGGCCCAAGCAGTAGGCTTCCGAGTCTGCTCTGTGCATTCACGTGGCTGTATGTCTGGTCTGTTATACACTGAAAGCCTGGACCTTGCGTTACTCTACTCTTTTCCTAACGATACCCTTCTTTTACATCTCACGGGTGGTACATGTCCCTTTTTCACACTTGGTGTGCCATTTAGTCGGCGTTCAGGTTGCTCAGGATAGCGCGCTATGTCATTAGCCGGGCATGTAATAGAGTGCCGTATAACACGTGCTATCATCACTTGAAATAACACCACTGAGACCTTGTCAAGCTTTACGTGCAATCTACCATGCCAGATGATCCAATGTACATGTATTTCGCCATCGCCATCGCCCTTTGCTACGATGACTTATGGTAGCGACACGGCGCAGCGTCCAGGCCTTACGCCTCCACCAACACGTACCGGTAAGGCATAGACATGAGCAACACACGAACGCCTTCTTCACCACACATCACCGCATGCGCCCCAACGAGGCCAGCCGCAAGTTCCATACTGCCGCTAATCACCACTCACTTCCTTCTCCCCTCTCCCCAACCACCCACCCTACAACACTCCCACCCACCACACCCAGCAACTGTAACCTACGGTCCCTCCCGGCGCGGACCTAGTTCCAGTCTCCCACGCGCCAGCCCAGCCCTTGGTTCTCTCCTACTGTACCTATACATGTACCTACCCATCTCTACCTACTCTATTTGTACGTACGTACCTAATTCCGCCAACCCATGTGCCTACCTACCTAACTCCTTCCACACCCCCGCCGTCCCGTCTGCCCAGTCTGCACAGGTAGGCAAGGCGCCCTGTGCAGCTCGAGAACGATCTATCGAAGGTTGGGGTGGGTCGGGGGGAAGTCGGCACGCTTGTCCTAGTGCGGCTAAGTGGCGGCGGGTATTTGGCTTGGCGGTTGGCGTACTTGTGGATGGCCTCTTGGGTGTGGGTGTGGGTGTGAATATGGGTGTGGTTACGGATGCGGCCGTCGGCGTCAAGTCAAGCAGGAGGGTTTCGGAGGGGTCTGGTTCGGGAGCTAGGGTTGCGACGTACGAGGTATTGGGGCCGAAGGAAGAGAAGGCCGAGGAGGGATGGAAGTGGATGCTTGGGCGCGAAAGATGGAGATGATGGATGGGGGTGATGATTTTTTGTTAATGTGCGTATAGGCTTGCCAGTTTTATTCTTCGAATTCGCAATGTTGCCGGTGCCTATACTGCTATGTGGATAGATGCACGTAAAATATCTCTGTAGGTGTATAACCCTCCCTGATAAAAATACCTGCCTCTTCATGCGATGATATGCCGTACCACGGTTTAATGATGAACACGCGGTCACTAATCTTCGGCCCCGACACTCTCGCCGGATCAGCAACCGCCTTCCTCATCTATCTCATGTCGCAATCATCAATGCATCAATTGTGGTACTTCGCTTCATCGTCGACGGGACGTGCCGGATCGTAGCCGCCCACACCCTGGACCCGTTTATGCGCTGGATGCGTGGGATCCCGAGGACTTGTGTTCTCGGATTATCCTACGGCAAATTCGGGGCCTGGTTGGTTATGGGAATTGAAGGGGTGTTGCAGAGATGTTCTGGAGGAGTTTCAGGGTTTGTGAGGATTGGGGGTCTTAGGGGAACTGGTGGGGATGCTTTGGGTTCGCCGTATCGCATTGGGAACGGCGTTTTCCACATTTGTGCAAGAGGTGGGTTGGTATGGAATACGATGTTGGCAAATATGAGTTGAACAAGTCAACTTCCAAGGGCACTAGGATTCCAAAATCTGACATCGACATAGCTGTTGAAAGGTTGTGTTTATTTAGCGCCACAAATGTTTCTTGCTAACTCCACATGTGCTTTAGCTAAATGCTTGAGGGTCGTTAGCCAGATGACTTGGAAATATGAGATGGTCTCGTGCGCATAGGGAAAGGTACATGGCCAGGGGTAGAGAAGCTGGTTTTCTGGACTTGCGCCAGCTGACACTTCTCAGTGGGTTGTAATCGAACAAATCTTCCGTTCGCCTAAATTCGACCATTGATCCGGCCACAATATTCCGTAGTGCTGTTCAAGGGGCCAAGAGTCATGTCCTTGACACTTTTCAGTGGCCCTTATATTGCGAAGGATAGAGACTTTCGCCTATAGTCTTCTAACGCGCCGGAAAATCCAGGAGCCCTTGTTTCACCAGAGCTTTCAGATGTAGATCAATGAAGGCAAGTGGGCTCATCCAAACCGGTGATCTAGATCGTACTTGACGTAAGACTCCTTCAGCATTCACACTGGCCAAAGACACTCTCGAACTGGAGTAGGGCGGCGATCTCCAGTGTCAAAAAGCTATGCAGTCGCCTTTCGTTGTTGAACGGCTTCAACATAAGCGTTCAAGTTGATGTTGCCTGCATCCCAGACAGCGATGGCTTGTACAAAGATGCCCGTCTCTTGTCGCCGCTCGACATAGCCAAGTACATTGATCCACGTGCCAACATCGACCTCATTGTGCTTCACTGTCTCGAGAAGATGTTCAATATTGACGTTGACTACCTTGTTCCTGCTAGAAGGAGAATATCCATGTTTAAGTCGCAGGATGGCGGTCTTGACAATGTAGTCATCGATGCTATGACACGATCAGCATCTGCAGCCAATGAGGACCAAGAAAACCGACCAGCCCAGGAATCGAACCTTTGTTCCGGGCGCACATTTCTCCAGATCAGCCAAGAGAACAAGATGGGACGGAACAGGACCAGACATGTAGTCTGAAACTGGTGTATTGACTGGGCCTGACTCCTGAGTGCTGGGTGTATGCGACTACCTAGTGAGTAGCAAAGCCGTTCTCGGTGGAAACTATAGCCGGCGCCGAATAGCACACGTGCTTTAACTAGCGCGTCTCCCGACATCATAGCCTCGTGCAGCATCCAGGCCCGATTCATGACCAGCCGGGCCAGGCAGCCTCCACACCCTGACCTTTACAATCACCACTCTCCGCTATCCTCGCCCAAGAGCTCTTCCGTATATACGGCCGCACGCAAAAACCACTCCTACCACGCACACTCCCGCACAGTAAGTCGCCGGCCTTGGCGCTCCCCTCCCCCACCATGTTGCCATAAGATAGCGCCGCAGGGAGGCGAGTATCTCTTGCTATGGGGTTGAGGTCATGACCAAGTCTGGAGCTGACAAACAGCAACAGTACATCCATCACCATGAGCGGCTGGGGCCTGGGCTGGTTTGGCGGCGGCCAAGCCAAGAAGGAGGCACCAAAGAAAGCCATACTACAGTTGCGGGGCCAGCTCGAGATGCTTAACAAGCGTGAGAAGCATCTGCAAAATCAGATGGAAGAGCAGGATAACCTAGCGCGGAAATATGTGTCGAGTAATAAGGCTGGTACGCCCGATCCCCTCTTCCTTGGCTCGTCGTGCACGCACCGGTCGGGAGGCAGTGTCGTGGTGGGCCAGAGCATACAAGCATGTTCGCTAACATGAGAACAGCTGCCAAAGCAGCGCTCCGGCGAAAGAAGCAATTCGAGCACTCCCTGGAACAAACAAGTGCACAAATCATGACGCTTGAGCGCGAAATCTACAGCATCGAGACAGCGAACATCAACAAGGAGACGTTGGACGCCATGAAGAACGCCGGATCGGCCATGAAGCAGATACACGCTGGTTTAACCATTGACAAGGTCGACAACGTCATGTACGTTTTCTCCCCTGTCAAAACATATCCACGACCTTCCCTCGAATTTGACTTGCTTCTGCAAAAGCGCACAATGCTAACCCCACCCAACAGGGAAGACCTGCGCGAACAACACGCCATTGGCGAAGAAATCAGCGAAGCCATAACCTCGGGCGTAGCCTCCAACGGCATAGACGAAGACGAACTCGACGAAGAACTCGCCGAATTACAACAAGAAAAACTAGACGAGGATATGCTGCGGACGGGCAACGTTCCGCTCAACGACACAGTCGGCAAATTGCCACATGCGCCGCACACAGAGGTCAAGGGCAAGAACCAGCGGGTCGAGGAAGATGACGAGGAGGAGGAGCTACGAAAGCTGCAGGCGGAAATGGCAATGTAACGAGTACGAGGTAGACGAGAGATGTTTACAGGCGTATGGCGATATTCAGTCACAGAAGTATGAGCGGAAGGGTTGGTTTTTGGGGGGGGTTTGGGGGCTTCCTTTCTTTGTCCAATTTTATTTTCTGGCCTTGGACTAGACAATGAGCGCTGGGCGATATACCTTGCAAAATCATAATTTGTTTCCATGGTAGCTGCTCGTTTCCTTGATCTTGTAATCAATTTACCTACAAATTTGGCCACATGATTTCCGAGATGTCATACAGGCAACAGCATTCTCCCACATTTGGCCATCAGGCTCACCATCCTCACACTGCTTGGCCTACCATCCCCAGTCTCCCCAGTCCCGACAGTGCCATCACAGCCCCACAAAACAGCGACATCTGAAACAGCGGAAAAGCAACATAAACTATTTGACTCGATTTTCCTACTACTGTATATCCTCTAAGCCTGATAACCTCTAAGCCTAAATGGCCCAATTCCGTTGCCTGGACGTGTACAACCCGCCTCCCTTTCCCCCTTCCAAATCCCAGATGTGTGCCTATCCCATCCCTAATCCATCCTATACATAGAACCTATACATAGAAGCCCAATTTTCTCGGCGCAGGAGGCAATAGAAAACACGTGAAATGCACTTTTCTTGGCGGGAGCGAGAGAGAGAGAAAGAGAAACCTCCGGTTCCCAATCGCACTTTTGCTGGGTATCAATATAGGCAGACGATCCGATGAACGCCGTGAAAGAAAATGTCAGAATACAGACAAAACATGCGCCACGCGTGTCAACCATGAAACGCCAAAGCAAAAGGAAGGTACAAGTGAATATGAGACTAGCAGCACATTTCATGGCGGCCACGCGCAGTTACAGAGCTATCTTTTCAAGATCAAGATCTACTCCGTCTTGACCGGTGAATCGTGCTCAACCTTTGCTTTATCTGCTTCTTCTGTATTTGGTGTGCTCTCGACGTCAACCTCTGGAATCTGTCGCTTTAGAGGCGTGCCGTTCTGTACCGCAGGCGATCCAGGTACAGGGGTGATTGGCTCCACACTCGGCCGATGCGAGAGAGGCATAGGAGGTGCGGCAGGGGTAGCAGATGCTTCACCAGTCATGTTGGGAGTGAAGCTTTGAGGATCAGCGTTTGTTCGTGAAGCTTGCTCTGGAGCTGGTTCGGTTGGTGGCATTAAGTGTGGTTTGCATTGTTCTTGCGGACCTCCATTACCAACAGCAGCATCAGCTGCGATAGCCGCAGCTGTGCCAGCGTCAATTGTGCTTGTGGATGCCGGGGCTGTAACTGGCGTTCCCTCTTGCTGTGTTGATGACGGCCTCTTGAGATGCTTGGCAATACCATCAACCCGGCTGATGGACGTCAACAATTGTCTTTCCGCATTGGTAAGACTGGCTTCGGGTACAGTTGTGTCCACACAGGCTCTGATCGCATTGTCGACTTTCTCACGCTCACCAGGCTCTTTCCTCGCATCGAGATAAACTTTCCTAAATGCCTCGAGCTGTCGAATAAGGTCGGGGTGCGTCGCAAGTGGATACCGCCCAGAAGGGTGGGGTGTTTGACTATCAGCTTGTGTATTTGATGGAGGAGCTCCGTAAGGAGACTGGCCAGCATATGGTGATGCTGTGGGCGGCATGTTTGGCGGCGTGACCCCGTTATGGTGATGGTTTTGTGGCGGATAAGGTGCATATGGTCGAGAAGGTCCTTGTGCATATGGACTTTGACCTGCAGCGGGATAAGGGCCACCGTACGGGCTGGCGGCCGGGGGCGCGGCGTACGGCGAGGGCGCCGCGGTTGGATAAAGAACACCATATTGACCACTGGATCCTGAAGCTGAAGAGGCCGGCTGTGGCTGAGAATTGGGAGGTGGGTAAGGCCGCGGGGGGTTGGGCGCTGAAGGGCTTCCTGCGGCATTACCACCGCCCCAGGGCGAAGCATATGGCGACGGATGAGACCCTCCTTGCGACAAGGACGCAGCCGCTGCATTTGCATCGCGAGCCATACTAGGTGGCAGTCGAGGCTGCGCAAGACTTGGTGGGAGCCTGGGAGCAGCTGGCGGCATACCGTGAGGCATACCGGGGTGAAATGAGTAATTTGATGGCGGGTATGGGGCGTAGCCATTCGGTGCGGGATAGTATTGGGGTCGCTGAGTGTGGTTCGTAGGGGGGCTGACCTGTCGCTTCCTGCGCTCCTTTTCGATGGAGACTTCTGGGTTTACCCTCCAATTGAACCCCTTGCCTTCCTTGTCTCCTTTTACAAACGCATCGTGCTGACCGAGGTTGTGACGAACACTTGATTGCCAACCGCTTGTCGTCGTCTTGAACTTGTACCAAGGATATTTCTTCTCGATGTAATTATAAATTTGCTGGAGGTTCATCTGACCAGTGCTCGAGGAGGAAATTGCTTCGTGAATGAGAACAACGTAATTTGCCGACGGACGTTGCAGCTGCTCCTCTGTGTAGTCCTCGATGCGCATCTCTGGGGACGGCGTTCGTGGAGGCTTTGAAGGTTTCATGGACTTTTTGTCGCCCATCATCGTGCCATCGCCACCCTCTGTCGACTCCATCACTTCATCATCATCGCCCTCACCTGCATTGGACTCCTTGCGTTTCGGTACTTTGGTTTTGATTGGAGGGGGAGGTATATCCTTGATGTCGATACCAGCAGCCCTGGCCTTCTCAATCTCCTTGGCTTGCTTGACGAGTTGGGACCTCTGGCGCTTTGACATGATACCGTCTTTTGGAGGTCGACCCGGGCCTTTACGCTTCTCTACAACGTGGCCAATAAGGGATGTCGGTAAGTTATGTTGCCTAGCCAGTTCCTCAGTGATGAGACCTTCAATCTCACCACCCGCTTCCAATTCACCTTCAAAGGGTTTTCGCAACAATGGTGGGCTGTCATTTGGTACAGACTTGACAGGAGGCTCAACGTCTTTCGTGGAAGTCTCCCGGCTGGCTTCCTCCACAGGGGTTTCGCTCTTGATGGGTATTTTGGCCGGCGTTTTGGCCGGCGCTTTTCCCTTATCCTTGGATTCCTTGGGTTCCTTAGGCTTTTCAACTTCCTTTGATTCTTTCGCTGCTTTCGTTTCTTTCAAGTCCTTTGCGGCCTTCGCCTCCTTGGGCGCCTTGTGCTCTTTGACGACTTCTTGTGGTTGTTCCTTGGCCTTGTGTTTAGATTTCTTAGCCGGTGGTTCTTCCGGTGTAGGCTCCCGATGCTTTCGCTTGGAAACCTTCTTCAGCTCCTTTGGCGGTGGTGGAGGCGGATTCTTGATCTTGATTTTGAGGCTCTGCTTCTGCCGCGGACGTGGCGCAGGCTCTTCGTAGTCATCCATGTCGTCCTCGCCCATGACATCTTCAGAGTCAGAGTCACTGTCGATTGGGTAATGATAGACGTGTTTTGGATTGACGCTCAGCTCGCCTTCGCTCTCAGAACTCTCCACCTCGTCACTCTCCTGCTCGCCATGTCCGTTCTCGAAAGAGAAGCTCATGGGGCGAGATCCAGGCTCTTGAGGTAGGTTCTCATTGCCAGTGAGAGCAATATCGGGAAGGAAGAACTGGATATTGACAGCGCCAATGAGAAGGTGGTCGCCATGATCCAACGGAACGATCTGGCCTGCTGGAATAAATTGATTCTCATGATGCAGGCCATTCGAGCCTAGAACTTGGACGCAGAAATTTCTATTTTCAAAGTCGTAAAAGATCTTGGCATGCCGTCGTGATATTCCTTTTGGCCCCTGGGCACCTGTGCTTGTCGTGATGTGCTGAGGATGTATGGGCACGAAGGGGCAATCGTCCGGGTTCTCGGGAACTTGGTTGTCGAATTGAGCGGGAACCTCGGGAAAAGATTGCATTAGCATATGCTGCGGAGCTCGCTCGGCAGGCTTCTCTTCGCCCGAATCCCCCGTGGGATGGGAGGCCGAGCTGAGTGAATGCGACGCATTGCTAAGGCGACGCTGCTGGAAGTCGACGGGCATTGATTCAATGGGCGCATTGACAATGCCTCCCTTCTCACTGATGACACTGCGTGCGCCGCGGTGATCACGCTTCCGCTTCTTGCTTCTCTTGCCATTGAGTAGTTGCTCGGCGGCCCGTGGCTGGCCTTTGGCATTCAGTTCGTCAACCTTTGCGAGGCGACGCATGTCCCGGTGGGCGAGGTGAATGTTGCGGCCAAGGATGATCTGGTACGTGTGCATGTAGTATGAGCCGTCGTCGAAGCGGAGACGGGCGTAGGCATTCACGCGCTCGTCGATGGTTGCAGGCGGGGCAGAGAAATCCATGGGTGTGAAGTCGTTGTCGATGGCCATGTTCATGTTCATGTTCATGCCCATGCCCATGCCCATGGCTGTAGCGTTGAGGTCATCATTCTGGCGGAATGCAAGAGGAGCATCAAGAGAAGGTACGTCATGAGGGAGTGTGGCTGCGAGGCTCAAGTTGGCATTGCCAGGCGCACCTGCGTCTGTGGGGTCTGGGGCGGCAGGCGTACCCTCCGCGGCAACGGTCGCAGCTGCCGAGGCCATATCGGGGATGCGCTGGGTGGAAGCAGACGAGGACAGTGCGGTGGGGGCGTCATGGTGCGAGGTGACATGGTGGACAGGCTCGGTGGCAGAGGCTACGACCATGCTGCCGAAGCCATCCTCGTCGAGTGTGTGGTGGATGTGACTGTAACTGTGGCTGTCGAGGCAAGGGTGAGGGTGAAGGTGAGGTAGAAGGTGATGGTGATGGCTGCTCGCAATGTCGTATACTACTACGCTGGGTTAGCTCGTGGTCCGGGAGCTGCTGCTATTCGCGCAGGCAGGAGCGCTCGAGGGCCGCGCAACACATACCGTCGGGCAGATCGAAGAGGCTGTAGGCGCCGATGAAGTCGTGATCGGAGTATGGCGGTGGTGACGGCGGCGGTGGTGGTGGTGAAAGGCGGTGGTTGCGCAGTCGCAAAGGCTGCAAGTCTGCGGGCGTCGTGGTTGAACGGCGCCGCTGGCCGTGAGAGGCTTGAGGCGCTACCATCCATCGGCCGGCATCACGCGCACGGCCGTCTTGGCTCAGTATTTCCGCATTGTCCGAACGCTGGCCAAGTGGGACACTCAAGGTCATCATCTCTGTGCCGATCGTCAACCTGCTGCTAAGCAACAAGTGCGAAAGACAGATGTTTGTACCCCTTGATAGGTAACAGAAGAAGAAGAAGAAGAAGAAGAAGAAGAAGAAGAAGAAGAAGAAGAAGAAGAAGAGAAAAGCAAACGACTTACTAGCGACGGACGAGGAAGAGACCAGTAATCTTGTCAGAAGACGGACAAAAAGGCACACACGTGCAGGGCGGGGAGTGGAAAAGTTGCGAGTGTAGCAAAGTATAGCGAGAGAGGGGCGTGAGAGGTACGGTAAGCCAAGGAAGAGCCAACGGGGGGAAGAGAGCCCTGGAGAGAGGAGAGAGGATAGAGGAGGATAGAGTGAGGAGGATAGAGTGAAGAGAGAAGAGTCGAGATAGGCGTTTGATGGCAGGAGATTGCGGCCTCTTGTTTACACGCACTGTTGAGCCTGCCTGCCTGCCTGCCTGCCTGCCTGCCTGCCTGCCTTTGCTGCATCCACCGTCACCTACCAACTAGCCACCGTGCCTACCCGTACAAGCGTTGTCGTGGCAGGAGCTATCCATCCATCCCAACCTTTTCCACCGCACCTGTCTTTCAACCCAGGACAATACCTGGCCGGTTACCAAGATTTCCCTCCTATGACGCCACACGACCCAAGTCATGCCCTCTAATACCAAGAAGAAGGGCAAGCACCTTGCAGTATCGACCTCCAAGCCAACCGCTCCTGCACCGCCAGCAGCTACCCCTCCCAACTGGCCTGCATTCACTCCCCTCATTCCAGAACCAGACCTCGCCCTCCACGATTTGCTGCCTGGCCAGATCCTTACCATCCCTCATCTGTGGACAGCCAGTCTATGCAAAACTTACGTCTCGTTTCTCGCCTCGCTTCCCTTGACGACTACGCCAGGGAAGCCCAAAAAAGGCGACGCTGTCCGTGTCAATGATCGCTTCCAAGCTCACGACCCTGTATTCGCTGAGAGGCTTTGGCATGAGACTGCGTTGAAGACACTGGTCTCTGGCCGAGGGGAAGAGGGCGACTTGTGGGGGGGCCAAGTCATTGGCCTTAACCCTAACATTCGACTCTACCGTTACTCAAAGGGCCAGTTCTTTGATCAGCATTGTATGTGTCTTTTTTCTTTAGATGCACACTGCAGCCACTTGATGAACCCAGATGTGCTGACGATGCAGATGATGACTCCAATATCGTTACCCTACCGGGCTCCCCATCTATTGCGGCACGCACTACTTGGACCTTGCTGCTGTACCTGACTTCAGCGTCCAATGGTTGCATCGGTGGCGAAACCGTCTTCTATCCTGAGCCTCCCAGTAAAAAAAGCAGAGACCCACCACCCCCGCCCATTGTTGTCGAGTTGGAGGCTGGTCTCGCCTTGTTGCATCGCCATGGCGTTGACTGTATGCTTCACGAAGGCCGGGAGGTTCTAGAGGGTGAGAAATGGGTCATTCGAAGCGATCTTTGCGTTCGACGCTGAGCTGCGTCACACCTCATGGTATAGCACAAAAGATTTTGGGCCCCAACGGCTTATGGCGATGGAGAATGGTTTTACTGAAGACAGGATTGATTCTGTCAGATGCTTGCTATACATCGCAACGTAGGAGCTCTCGTACATACGACAGCGCGAAGGCTCTCAGCACGCCTCTAATTCTCTGGTCATCCCCTATAGGACAACCAAGAGATCCCGACCCTAGTAATGCGTCTAGAACGGTCACATAGAAGGTGTTTAAGAGCGGAGCTGTTGAACCCAGGTGTTTTGCCTTGTCAGCCTTTACATCACGCGGGTATGTGAGCTAAATAGCGACAGCGATCATGGAACTGCATTCATTCCATAGCAGTGTGCTTCGTTTTGGTGTATCTGAGTATTCTGTTACGACATTGCAATTGAACCTGAGACTTGACCGGGTAGTGTAGAAGGCTGTTTGATATATAGCCTTGCAGACCGGAGAATTAGTGCAGAGTTTGGTATAAGAGTATCCACAATTGGATCAACCATAAGTGATCTTTTCAGGCAGCGAAGTTGGCATCTCCAGCCTTTGCGAGTCCTTTGCGTCGACTTCTGCAGCATCGTCGCTGACGCTATGCGGACTTGCAGAACCGACCTCGCCGGGCTTCCCATGGTCGCCATCACTTGCTGCGTTGCCTGCCCTACTCTTCCCCCTCGGTGACGTCTGCGCAACCTCCTCCTGCATTCTTTGCATCTCCACTTTCTCCACCACCTTGCGGCACACGTCTCGATGCGCCTGCTCCATCTTGCCCTTCACAAACGGCATGAGCCACCAGCTACAGCTCACCTCGACGTCCTCCACCAGCACCCACTCGGCGTCTCCTACGCCCATGCCCTCGCCCTCCACTTCGGCGCCAGCGCCTCCACGCACAACACGGAACTCTGCCCGTATAACCACACCGCTTGCATCCGCACGCGTCTTGATACCGTGCTTGGTGTCCTGGAAGCAACTGGGAAATTTGATATATTTCTTACCCCAGTCTCCCACGCCGGGCAGGATGGTTATGCATTCAGTGACATTGTAGGTTGTGATGGGGTACTGGTCGGGTGGGTACCAGTACGTGTCTTTTAGTGTGCCCGGGTGGTTCGAGGCCGCTTTCTCATGCCCGCATGTGAGCGCTTGCAGCGTGAGCGCCGTGTTGTGGTCGTGCAGAGCGGCGATGACGGCGTCGGGGGAGAGGTGCGGGGGAATAGGCGCGGCGACATGGAGATTGTGTTTCGCGCTCATGGTGAACAAGACTGGTCGCTGTCGTATATTTCTATGGAAGAATGCCCTTTGTGAGGCGACTGGCACTTGGCGCAATCGCCGTCTGTCGAATCGGCGAGGGAGGAGGTCGTGCTAGAGTGGGCTACGCAGGCCGTGTGTTGTGGCTGCATTCACAAAGGACGGGTGGTTGAAAGGGAAGGAAGCGGCGTGACGATTAACAATTAGAATTACAAAGTCGAGGGAGTGGTTTTTCTGGGGTTGTTTTCAATGCAAAAGTATGCGAAAGATGTCAATATAGCTTGTCGAGCAGTGTGTGTAGGGAATGAGGCGGGCGGGTATCGTGCGGGAAACATACTCTAGCTAGGTAGGTAGTGGACTGCCACTGCGAACAGCGCAGCTGACTGGACGGGACATGGCTGCACTGGTGATGCTATATTCAGCTGATGCACTTGTGGAACGTGGGCGCTGCAGGGGCGTTGCCATGTTCCCCATCGTGCGTCATCGTCACGCTAGTTACCCCAGACTTGGACGACGTGTGGATAGAACCACCATGGACTTCTTTTACCACTCTACTATCTTCGAAGCAAGCTTTGAAGGCCTTTAAATGACTTATACTTTTCATATTCGCAGAACTGAGCTGTTGGGCTACAGACACTGTAAAAAAAAACTTTGAACATAAAAATCATGCTATTGCGGTTGAAATCAATGCCGTCTGAACAGTACTAAAGAATTCATCACATCGTTTATCAAAAGTCATCGACAGCAAAAGATTACAAGGTATACTTGAATCCCACCTGTCCCTCAATCGGCGTCACCGCCTCTCCATTGGCCGTCTCTCTATCGACCTGCTTGTTCTTCTTCATAAAGTACCAAGTAGTCCCGCACAAGATAGCCAAGATGAAGAACTGCAGCCCAGCCGTGACCCAAAGCCCCGTCACATATCTCGGCGCATCCGCCTCCTTGAACGTCGTCGACGCAATTATCCCTCCGATTGCACCAAACCCAATCTGCAGCGCACTGCCCACGCTGCGCTTGCTCTGGCCACGGATATTGTTGGACTGGTAGGCCAGAATGGCAGGCACATTGCCCTGACAGCCGCAGACGCCGAGAAACGTGCCAAAGTACCGGGCCCCGTTGTTGGTCGAGTAGGCGACAATCATGAGGCCGACAATGGCGAGGATGGACTGTGTTGCAATAACGGGCGCGCGGACGCGGTACTTGTCGCCTAACCATGCGAACCCAAACGCTGTGAACATGGCGACGATGGCGGGGGGTGCGGCTAGTGCGTTTGCGGCGCCGGGGGAGTAGCCCATGCCTAGGAGGATGACGGGGAGGAAGTAGGAGAAGGCGTAGGCGGGCATGGTGGTCGACATGAACATGGATGCGTACGCCCAGAGACGGATATCTCCTAGATGATGGACAAACTTGGCCCAGGTTAGAGGGTCGTCGACTGAGTCGCCGCGGTCGTCTTCGATGCGTTGTAGAATCACCGAGGCTTCAGTCCGGGTCAAGTAGCCTTTCTTCTCCGCCTTGTCTGGGAAATCTAGGATAACGAACCAGGCTGCAATGGCGACAACGCAAGTCAGTATCCCTTCCAAAATGAAGATCCACCTCCAGCCGCGTATGTTTGCTGTTCCCTCCATTTGCATGATTCCATATGCGAGGATGTTGGCGAGCCCGCCAATGCCGACGGAGAAGAGGTAGAAACCACCCAACCTATATCTCAAAATCAGCCAAAAGTTCCGAGCTTCTTTTACTGCGACAAATAATCCCAGACGTACCGTTTCTGTACTTCATACCGCTTGTACCAACATGTGATGAGGTAGACACAGCCAGGGAAGAAACCAGCCTCGAACGCACCGAGGAGAATACGGCAGATACCCAACGATATCCAGCTCTCTACAAAACCCTGTCCAATCATAACGGCGCCCCACGAAAGCGCAATAAATGATAGCCAGTTTGCGCTGCCCACTTTCCGCAGAATCATGTTGGAGGGAAGTTCGAGGAGGAAATAAGTCGGGAAGAACAACACCAGGACAATCGTGTATCGATCACCAATCTGCAGATTGAGATCGGCGCCCATTCCTGCTACTCTTGCATTTGCAATCTGGGAGGTTTGGTTAGTAGCGAGCGGAATTCGAAGGAATACTAGAGCACTTACATTGGTACGATCAATGAGTGCAATCGAGTACAAAGCACCCAGTATAGGCAACAGCCGCCAGTCTATCTTGCGAAGTAGTCTCTTCTCCTCGACCGCATCGAAGATGACGTCGCCGTCCGTACTATGGTTAGGCGGGAGCCCATTCTCTTCCTTGTGCAGCATTTCTGCCTTGTATTCCCCATCGCTACTCATGCTGGATTTGAAGCCCGGATTTATCTTCTACTCGTCGACGACGGCACGTGAAACACCGTTTATGATGGGGCACGGGTGCAGAATCTATTGTCCCTTGAAGCCGGCAAAACACTTTGAGATTTAGGAAACTGTGCAATTTGCTACCCTGAGACGACACCGAGACCCTTATACCCACGACACACTAGTCGACCGAGGCAAGTGTTCCCTTTTCCCCCCCAAATAAATATTGATTTTACACATAGCCACTGGCGCCGCGCGGATGGGATTAGCCTTCACTTCGAGTCAGGGGCGTGGAGAGAGTCTGGGGTTTTGGCAACGTCTTAGACAACGGCATGCCTACGCTGTGTGGTTAGCACCGATCGCACCCCCGCTGGATATGAATGGCCGGCCGGGTAACAACTGGGGTTACAAGGTTCTCTGGTCCCTTCGCTCTAGGAGCACTGTCCAGAAGCAGATCGTAAGGGCGACACTCGAGCACACGGAGCCCTCGTACTGGCCCAACCCCATCTAAAAACTATGGTCATGCCGAGTGGACCCAGAGCACAACATGTCCTGGCCAGACTCCTGGCAGAGCACGTGAGTGGTACTGAGAGCCAATGGAGATGGAAAATCTCTCGTCGCCCAGCCTCTCTGGGCTTATAACGGCGGCTTCGCCTTATTGCGGGGTTTGGCCGGCGTGTAGGTGCTTACTATGTACCTAGGTATTGTTTAAGGGAGGCCCCAGTGTAGAGAATCAACAGCGGCCATTCCTTCAGCCCCATTTGAAATTGTCTTCAGCAGGTTACAAGGCAGCGTGTTGGGCCGCGAGGAAGATGTGAGCATCGTGCTGAAGATCACAAGTGGTCGGGGACAGGCACGTTGATTTATGGAGTTTTAGATTCACAACATCTCCGCTCTGTAACCGGCGTGTTCAAGTTAGTGCAGCGCATATTATGGGGTAAGTTAGTCTTTGCATAAGAAGGTGAGTGATGTATCCATGAGTTGGATCGGTGTAGTCAATGTCTTGTCGATCTTTAGTGCCTTGGCTGAATTTTGGCGTTTCCGACCTTGCCGGCTTTCAACGTTGTCCAGATACCCTTGCAAACGATACTCCTCAGAGATTCGTCCGGGTCCCGTCTCCCCTTATGTGTACCATCCCAGAGAAGAAGTCTCATAGAACCAGAGTTTGGTATCTGCACAGCATATTTTTCGGCTCGATCTAGGTCATGTAAAACGTGTCCCAAGATATTGGCATGCATCATCAACCGCGGTCTGTCTTGAAGTTTACTGTCATGTGGGATTGGACTCATACCGCAATACCTGTCATCTAGCATCCACCATAGACTAGGCGATGCGAGCTTATGCGAAAAAGTAAGCTGCACCTCTGTGTGCAATCAGCTGCCAGATGATTTTGTATTGGGAGAAGCCATCGAAACTCGTTTTCTACTAATTTCTGCATTCCCTTACTTCTGTGCCGCTGCCGCCGCTTTCTCGGCTTTTTTCCTCTCAATTTCCGCCAGCTTTTGTGCTTTCTTCATCGCATTCTTCGTCATCGGGTTCCCATCTGCGTCCAACGTTGGCTTATCATCCCCCTTCTTCTCCTCTGGCTTCTCAATCTTAGGCTTTGTCGGGTTAGGATTGCCCTTCCACTCTAGTTTCCTTGGCCGTAAGAACTGCTCTAGCACTTCATCGTCGACCTTTTCTCGCGCTGCCTGGAATTTGCTGACGTATTGTGCCATCATGGCTATGCATTCTTTCTTCATGTCACCGGTAAGTAATGTGCCAGCGCGATATTCGTCTGCTAGTCTCAGGAGCTTCTCATCGTCGTCTTCGAAGTAAGCGAGATATTGGTAGGGTACGTCGATGTCGGGGTTTCCTCCCTTCTCGCGATGCAGCTCCAGTGTCTCTTGACCACCTGAGAATGCATTGTTGATCTTCTTCTTGATTTGTTTCTCAGTGTCGCTCATGAAGATTGCTGAGTTGGGATTTGAGGCACTCATTTTGCCACCGGCGCCTTGTAAAGAGGTCAAAAATTTGGAATGAATAAGGGCGGGCTTGGGCGACGGAAGGTCCATACGACCACAGTTCTCGCGCACGAGGCGGAAGTATGGGTCCTGATCTATGGCACAAGGAATGAGGCAGGGTATGCTGGCGAGTTTCTTGGAGCGGCGGTATGTCTGCGAGTCCTCGCCCCAGATGAAAGGGTAGGAGGAGGCAAAGGCGGCCACGCATTGTTTTGCAGCGAATGCATTGCTGCCAATGTTGGTTGAGCCGTGGAAACCGAATGCACCGCGGACTTGGTTATTTGTGACAAGTTTCTCAAATTCGGTTGAGTTTAGATTGAAGTGCCTGTTGAAACCAGAGGTAAAGAACTCGGAATCAATGTACATGAACGTTTTCTTCACGTCGAAGCCAATGCTGATGATGTCTTTTGCATTTTGGCGCGCAAATTCGTAGACCTCTTCTTGCTTCAACTTTTCTTTAAAGAGGAACTTTTCGTCATCGGTCAACATGATGACGAGGGGTACATCAAAGACATCCTGCAACCACTTTGTGAATTCAAATGGAATCGTGTGGCCAATGTGCATGGCGTCGCTGCTGGGGCCTCGGCCTGTGTAGAGTAGTATGTCTTCTCCGCGCTCATAAAGGTCGAGGATGAGCTCCAGATCGCGGTGGGAGAAGAACAGTCGTCTCCGTAGCCAGCGGTGCGGTTTGTGACCAGTCACGCGCTCGAAACGCTCGAGCAGAGCATCGTCTATGAGCTTGGTTGCCCACTGCTGGGAGATTGCGACATAGTCGAACTCCTTGACATTTCCATGTTCATCAACGGCGGCCTGCACATCCCAGGGATTGATTTCCTGCTCTGTTGCCTTGGACACCGGCTGGGCTGCAGTATCAGCGAGACTGAGGGCGGCCACGGCGGGAGGCTCAGGCTCAGTCATGGTGAGGGGAAGGGAGGTAGCAAGGGCAATGACTGCCTGATATCTAGATGGCAAAGAACAAATGTGTGAACAGAGGCGCAGAAGCATACAAATCCCATAGGTCGTTGGTTTGAGTCAGATGAATTGACAAGTCTTTAGTCACACCAGCACCCCCACCAGCCACAACCCCCCACCAGAGCCCCGCGTTGGCGCCACACCTAACTGCACAGCCACAGTCCAGCCACCAGGCGGCGGCTAAACGTTCACAACCCCCGGGGCCCAAGCGCAAAGGCAAAATCTCGTGACAGTCGTCAGAGATCGCCTGTCCACCCGGCCATCTGGGCAGCAAGCTGTGTCTGGAATCTGGATGCTTCTGTCCTGCTGTCGTCACACCACCACCCCCAGCTCCCCCGCTTTGCTTCACCATTCAACCTTCTGCTGCGTAGTATCCAATTGTGACATTGCAATTGGATCTGCCTGACCATGCCTGTTTATCACCCCAGATAGACACCCACGACTACTACTCTAGCATTACAGGTCCACGAAAAGCTACAGCCAACCACCCCACCCCAGTACACGAGCCATTCCCCCCCACCAGCCATATAGTACTCAAAGGTCTCCAGTGTCCTTTTCCAAGGGAGGACAACGGAGGACATTGACTGGCGCCGACATGGTCAAGTTCTACTCCTCCAACGAAACCTACTCGTACCCTTTTCCCGCCGTCACCCTCGCCTACTTCCTCCGCTATCCGAACCCATATTCCACCCATGTGCTCTCCACAGACACCATCTCGCGCCACTATGACCCAGAGCTCCAACGTCTGACCACCATCCGCCTGCACCTCAAGCGCTCAAAGCTTCCCTCGGCCGTTCTCAAGCTTCTCCCACGCTCCTTTCTTGGCGCCTCGGCAAGCGGCGACACGCAGTCATATATCCTTGAGAAGTCGGTTGTGGACATCAAGGAAGGATGGATGGATACAGAGTCGCGAAACCTAGAGTGGACCGGCGTGCTCTCTGTGGTTGAGAGGCAGATATTTAGGCGCCCCGTGCACGACGAGGCGAGGGTGTTTCAGGGCATGGAGGGCGCAGCCCAACGTCACGGCTTCCTCCAATTTGGCGGACAGGGCGGTGCAAATGTCAAGATGGAGGATTTGGGAGAAACGACAGATGTTACGAGTTCGGTCACGCTGCATAGCCACATTGGCGAGACGTGGAAGAAGAAGCGCGAGCTGGCACGAGAGGGCGCGGCCAGTGTGGAGGACGAGCAGCCGCCCAAGATGGGCTTTCTGAGGAGTTGGGGCACCCAGACGCTACAGCGCAACATTGAGAAGATTGGCTTGACGCGTGCGCAACGAAGTCAACCGAATGCGCGCGAGGGCATGAAGGTTGTGTTAGAGCGAATGCGCGCTGGTGGTCTCGTCGCGGTCCTTGAGGGCATGCGACAAGATCGTGAAGCCATCCTCGCAGGCCGTCTTGCAGTCCCAAACCGCCGTGGCGACGATGACTAGAGCTACCGTCAGACGGTGGTCACACGACATGTCGGTCACGGTTTATGCACGAACATTAGCGACGGCGCAAAGACTTCTCTCCCTTCTTTCCTTCTTAGTTCCATGTCCTCTTGCACCTTTCATGGCTGACGAGTTGGGTTTGTCTTATCCTCTTGGTTTATCCCCCTTGCGTGTTCCTTTCCTCTAGGCGCAAGGACGACGGTGCGAAACGAGAAAATAGCAAGCGCTTTTGTATATCATAGCACGGTTGTTCAGACAGCCGGTTGAAAGATGTAGCAGAAACCATCAAAATGTACATTCACATGTCTCCGAGCGTTCGTGTGTTTCACTCTGGGGTATCATATATCGCAAAACATCCTCATGCTCTCCCCTTCCACCTCGTGTACCACTACGACGCATTTTCAATCAATCAAGAATCCCAGATAGGTCCAAAAGCGCAGACGCCCCTCTTCTCCAAACCCCCAACAACCAGTCTGGTCACCTTCTCGTTACTCAATACAAATACTGCTTCCGCCTGCACCTCTTTATACACCCTCAATGCCACCTCAAGCAGGTCCGGTCTGCCCATGGCGCTCGTATCAATGATCAATGCATTTTCATCTGCCTCATGCACTAGACTGAGCATCCTTGCACCATATGTATGTAGCGGTGTTCGCGTCGACCAGATTAGTCGCACAAATTGGCCACGTGGACGGTCAAGGAGGGAAGAAAGGGCAGGGCCAACGCCTGAACCAGTGGTAAGAATTATGACGCGGGGGAATAGACAGGAAAGGCTGAGGACTCCAGCTTTCGGGTGGCCTTTTACCCAGAAACGCATGCGGACATCGCCTTCCGTACCCTTCTCCCTGCCCGTTTGCTGGGAGGGCATGGAGAGCTGGGAAGTCATTTTGGCCTGTGCGGCGAGAATGAGGCTGCTGGTCCAGTTTCCGGCGGAGGAGATGACGATGCCGGTGCTGGGGGGAGTGCGGTCTGACTGGGGATGATTGGGGCAACGGGAAGAAGAAGGAAATGTGGCGAAAGGGTGCCATTCTCTGAGTGGGGAGGTCGAAATGCTCAGGCAGGAGAATTTATGGATTTGGTTAGGGAATGAGAGAAGCAGGGCGTGAGGAGATAATGGGGTGGCGGTGAAGGTCCAGCGGCGAAGGTGGAGCCAGGGATAGATGAGGAAAAGGGTGGTGAGTGAGAGGGTATAGAATGTTGGGTTCAGGATGAGGAGAGTAAGAAAACCAGGTGAAGTCAAGAGTGAAACGGTCGATGTAGCGGAATGTTGAGTGAGCAGTAGAAGTTGAGCCCAAAACAAAGCAATCGAGGTCCAGCCCAAGAATCGGTGCGTGATCTCGAAAGTATCATGGTACCGCGCGCGAAGAGATGGCAGAGCGAGTAATAATATCGTGAGTAGCAGAACAAGCAGCACCCATGTCAGGATCGTAATGACAAACATGTACAGCCCCGCCCGCGCAAACATCCAGCTCAATGCCACAGTGAATATCACCCACCATAGCGTCCCCGCAATAGCAGCACCGCTATGGACACCACCATAGCAGTACACTCGAGCCGCAGCCTTTCGTATCCTTAGCGGCACATACCACGGGACCAGCCACGTAGTTCGGAAAAGGAGGTTAACGACGAAGTCCTGTCGAACGAGTATGGCGAGTAGGAAGTTTGAACTCGCAAGTGCCGCGAGGATGTCGAGTGTGAAGGCGCGCTCAAATCGACGCCCATGGTGTTGGACAAGGATGAGCGCGCCGAGGCTGTTGAGCACAAAGACGAGTGTAAAGAGTCTCCGGTAGACGGTGAATGCCGAGTAACGAAGATATCGACCAATTCGTATGACTCTGGTGGGTGGGTGGTTGATTGCTCGCTGCTGTGTCCATGAGGTCCGCTTTTGCGGCAGAGGAAGGCCTGTGGAAGGCGCAGAAACTGGGTCACTGACGGCATCAATGCGGGCAGTCGGTGGAGGAGACGGGAAGAGAGGAAGTGCTTTCTCAAGGTCGACACTTTCTTGATACAACGGCGGTGAAGAGATAGATTTCTGGTCACAGCCCACCGCCTGGGAGGCCGAAGGGAATGGCGATAACACAGCACTCTGCTTTAGCCTGTGACGATGTTCATTCCTCGTTCGTAGGCTTCTCCTCCGCCACCAATGATTGTACTCGCAACGAAGTTGTGTCGAATTACTCATCGCGTGATGTCGTTGGCCGTACAACGTGGTATCTTGTGATGGGCTGACGGGAAGGGATATGGAGTAATGTGTTGTGCAATGTGCAAATCCAAACCGGATAAACCAAATGTTTATATCTTCCGGACAGACCCCATGCTTCAATTACCTAGCAATGACCTAGCAAGCAAGACATCAGCATGTTCCGAAACACTGCAGGCGACTAGCACAAAACCTATGCATGCAAGATGATGCAGCAAGGAGTATGGGTTGACGAAATGAGAGGGGGCACAAGAACGAGTGGGTCGGGAGGCTTTTTGCCTCAATCATGGCTTGTCGGAACATCGGCATGCCAAATAAAGGAGATTATGTTCGGTATCCACGTGGAATGCATTTTGAGAAGACACGGCATGGTCCGGTACCGTAGATCACGTAGTGTTTGTTGAATGGATATCTGTTGGTTTCTACTCAATCATCTGGAGAAGGATCTGGGTTTCAGGTTGTTATGTGGCCTTGAATATGACATGTTGGCGTTCGATGGCGTCGATCGTGTTCGTCATTCGGGGATTTCAGTTGTTTTGTATTGCGTACCTTCAAATTTACTGGGTTTGCCCATTCCATTGTCCTTGGCGGCATGAGCCTGTTATCATCGGTATTTACTCAAAGGATTGCCATGCTCACTCATGGCAACTTGTTACTGGCCAGGGATAAGACTTAGCACTAGATGTTGTGGTACACGCTGCGTGTTCAGTTGCGGGGCGCGACAATCGAACAGATGCGGCAGGCAAGTGTGTTTGTGTTTACAGGAGGAGCTGCAAGGCACGCCACGGTTACTAGTGAGACTGTTCGAGACTGGTGTATCCTGCAGAACATCTCAAATTGGATTGGGATGGTGACAAGTTCGGTGCGAAAATGTCGTGTGAAAGCGCCATGGAGAATCGTTACTTAGCACACGGTGATTGAGCCATATGTAGGAGCTGAGTATACGCCTGTGATACCTTCTTGATTCCCCACCTGGCTTAAGAACTCCGAAGAACATGTCAGTATCAATGATAGACAGAGCCCTGACGGCTTGCACATCATTCTGTTTGAAAGCACGCTTCAACCTTCAACCAGGTCGGCGGATATCTGCAACCCATTACCGTTACACGCAAGGGACCTATGTTATAGGTCTGAGTATACTCCGCTCCCATCCTATCGACAGCTGTAACACCAGATTGAGCAGAGATTTCAGAGTGCTGCATAAGGTCTGCTTTGGGTCCTGACGTTTCGCTGCAATGTCATTCTGAGGCTTGCCAATGAGCGCATGTTGTTGCGGCGTGTTACCTCCAAACGGCTGTCGTGTAACACTGGGCATGCGTGTTTATGTCCGAGACGATCCTTGTATGAATATGTCGATCCGGGGTCTAGAGCACTGACACAGCAGGTATCGTGTTGCCTATTTGAGGGATTAGCAACCAAACCGTGTACGCAATATCCGCCAAAAGGGGTGATGCAAGCCCGACACACCGGCCTACCAGAGTCTCGATGAATTCTGCCTGAGCGCTGGCATGAGGCGCCGTAGTCTAAGGAGTATTCACTAAAACTATCGCACTCCCTCAGGTGAGCATCAGGAGCGAGAGATTTGATAACTCAAGGGGAACTGCGGCCGGTTGAAAATAGAACATGAATAGTCATTGACTTGGTAGACGGATAGCCGCATAGTAGGGCTGTAGATGCTGGACTGGAAACATTTCCTTGGAGCCAAGGCTCGTGTCACTGCAGCCTGATCTTAGGCTGATCTAGCAGACTCAGATTGTTATACGAAGTGGCATGTGAGTGGGTGCAGTACTTTCCATTGGAGTAAAATTTTCTTTCATAGCACCGCAAGAGCGCCTGCTGCACTGCACAACAGGACGCCGACGGAGCCTTTCTATAAAGCTCAAAATCAGACCACTTCCAAATCACAAAGGGTGCAAGCCATGCCTATTCCTGTCCATGAAATCATTGATCAGCCTTGGCTGTTCTATCCACCCACGTCGAAGGCACTCTTGAATCCAATGTAGGCATCTCGAGTCGAGCCATGCGCATCAATACCGAGTTGTGGTAACTTCGCTTTGGTATCATTCTCCTGTAATATCACATTCTTCCAAATTCATGGGTACTTCACCCGGCTGTTCGTCTTTGATTCGGCCCCGAAGTATCATGGCTTCGATAAGTTGTAAAGCAAGTTCGTGGCTCAAAGTGCTTTTAAGGTGGTTCCAAAGCTCCATGTTCAGGTCATCTGCGATGGCATTGATGACTAACTCCTTGAGTCTCTTTGGGGGGTCGTTTTCGAGGAATACCTTATTGAAAACAATGTCGAGCAATTGATTGGCGGGGCCAGAACCATACCCTAGCAGATGGGCGAATGGAAAACCTGCCACACGAGCCGCCTGCAAAGTGTCCTTTAGACGATTGACAAGGATGCCCAGGCACAACTCGCTGAGCACTTCTACCCCAAGTCTTTTTGCCAGGTTCATCAATGCGTATGTCTGATTTGCATCGTGTCCATCAAGTGTGCCGCGATAGATCCATTGCACTAGCAGTTGGACGGTAACATCATCCGTATCTGGCAGCAGAAGACGGTTCTGTGCTAAAGCTGTCAAAGAATTCGTCTGGGCTTTGAACCTCTCCTGTTTTTCTATTTGGTGGAGTTTGGCGTAGAGCTGCTCCGCCACCTCTCGTACACCTCGTGATTTGAGAAATCCTAAGCGTGCATCAAGGCTCGCAGCGCGCGTCATATCCCTAGACTCTTTCTTCCTCACACCCCCGGGTCCGGTAGCGAATGATACAGGCTTGACGTTTTTATTGTGAACTTCTTCATCCACAGCCTCATCAACGGTTTCTTTGATCAAACGCTGGTATGACTTGAGCGGATAATTTGTCGACAGTTCCATGAGCAACGGGATGGCCTGGTAAATGTTAGAAGAATTTAGAAAAACAAGAGCTAAGTATCATTTTGAGTTGACTGCTTCATACAGGAGGGCTCGGTCATCTCAGGTGTATATGATCTACAAAGTCTCACCTTCAGCTCAAGGCGCTCTTTCTCGAATCGCTGGACTGTGACCTCGGGGAAGAGATAGGCCCCCAGCGCTTGCAGCAGCGCTCGGCATTCTGCATATTTATCCCGCATGGCTTTGGCTTTCTCGCAGCATTGGCTGAACAGGATGCTATGGCAACGTAAAATCTCCTCATGAATGATGATAGGGGTGATGGTAGGGTCCTTGCCATACTCCACCGTTAACGCCGTCTGCATGAGCATTCTACTGCAATTCAGTATGGCACACTCATCGACTAATTGCAGCCACTCACTGATGGGGCATGAAGTTGGTGCGAACATTCGGAGACTGCTTTTGGTTCACATCGCTTTGATCAGTGGTCTCTCCACTCGTAAGTGCCACCTTGGGACTCTGTGATAAAGTAGAATCGACGTCGACAGTGGGAATCGTAGCCATCGTCGAAGCAGGAGACGTGGGCACGACCGGCGAATCTTCTTTAAGATTATCCATGAAATGTTCACTACAGTAGATGCAGGGCGGGCGGAGACAAGAAGAAAGCGGCAGAAATTGAAGGGGGTGGATAGGGAGAAAACGGAGGAAGATGTTTGGCAAGGTTTCTATATGCTAAGACCATATATGGTCCCAACAGTCTCTCACCTGACTTTAAAGAAAAATGTCAACAGTTGTAGGGGCGAAGGTGAGTGAGGGAAGACAGATAGATCATGTCTACTTGGGATAGCCCACTCATGGCAGCGGTCGGGGTACCGGTAAGGGCCCAGGTCAGTTTCAGCGCCTTTTGCATGATTGTTCGGTCCCTCAGGTGTAGGGCTGTTATGACTGTATACATATACAGACATCATTGTGAAGGTGGAGGGTGATCGGCCAGGTGAGTACAGTACTACCTTAGTATGTATCAGCTACCGGTGTGGTAGTGAAGCTTGGGAACATACATGATACGGGCACAGACTGATGGGAAAGGTGGGGAGTTGCGCACAGACCAGACCCCGCGACGTCAATCCCAAACATCAACACCACGACCATGGGCCCAAACAACGCGTCATCATGGCTACTTTGCACCGGGAACGCGTCCAACACGCGTTGAACGAGCTCCTGGTCCGCATTGTGCCCGAGGACCCCGAAGAAGACGAGGATACAGCGAATCAACGCTTCGAAGATGCCTTTGACTTCGCCATGGAGACGCTGACGGGCGCTGGCGATGCTGCCCTGGTGCCCGATGTCCACCACATCGCCAGCTTGATAGACCAAAAAGGTAATTATAGACGTGATCCATGATAGGGCTTGTGGTGACGAATGGGCCCTCCATCATGCTTACTCGGGGCTGACCTCTGCACCCAGTATCTGGGCCGCACAACGACCGGCAGAAAAGCGCGCGCCTGCACAACCTTCTCTCCCGCCTCGAAACACAGACAGTCCTCGACCAGAAATGGCGCATGCTATACTTTCTGTACATGCTGGGCGACCAGCCTGGCCCCCCCGAGCAAAATCCGTCTCCACCTGCAGTTCAACAGATCCAGTCCCGTGACCGTGACCGTGACCGTGAACATAACCGTAACCGTAACCGTGACCCTACAACACCCTCCAAGAGCCATCAAACGGGATCCCAGGCGCCAGCCTTTCGAGAGGCCTTTGCGAAGCCCGGCCTCACGCAGCTCCCTGCCAATACCGGTTCGCCCAAGGCCACATCAAGATCCACGCCAGTCGTGGAGAAGCACGACAAACGGCGGGAGAAACGTACCCAAGAGCATAACAAGGAGCAGCCATCCGGTGTAGCAGCAGCAGCAGCAGCAAAAACCGACATGGGGCCGTCGGAACCTGCGCTTCTCCGCGATTTGCCCTTCACTCTACAAGGACTATCTTCTACGAACCTCGTCTTTGCCTCTTCTACTGCGCTCAAGCTCCCGTCGAACCTGCCTGTGCCCATCATCAGCCTACTACATAGCCTGGCCGAACCTGCCATCTTGTATCGCGGCCTAGCTGAGTTTGTTGACTCTGGCGGTGGAGGCCTTATCGGACAAAGCTTCCAGTCAGCTCTAGCCAAAGAACTACGAGCATACCTGGGTCTGGTTGCAACTTTGGAGGGCCAGATTAGGCGTGCAATGACGCAGCTGAGCCAGAATTCTGCCCATCAAGGCGTCTCCAAAGCTGGTGTAACACTCAAGCGATGTCTGATCTGGACAAGGGAACCTACAATGGGCCTGCGTCTGATGACGCTTATGGTGGAGGAGTCCAAGAAGAAAAAAGGAGGGCAGCTCATCGCCCTCATTCACTCCTTCTCACTCAATCACGGCGACCCCTATGTCATGGCATTTGCAGAACGCTTACTTTCGGACGTCACTCGGCCCTTCTACGATATGCTTAGACAATGGGTCTATGACGGAGAGCTCTCCGATCCTTACGGCGAGTTCTTTGTTTCCGAGCAGAGCGAAGACGAAATTGTCGAGGCGAATGGCAACGAGGGAAAAGGTGGTGCAACGAGCGTGTGGGAGGATAAATACAGATTGGATGGCAAGATGGTACCAACTATCGTCACCGAGGACTTTGCCAGAAAGGTCTTTTTGATCGGCAAGACGCTGAACTTCATCCGATATGGCTGTGGGGATGCTGCCTGGGTGGACACTTATTCGAAAGAGGCTTCAAAAGAGCTGCAGTACGGAGACACGGCCAATCTAGAGCGATCCATTGGTGATGCTTATAAGACCACCATGGCCCGCCTCATTGACCTCATGGCCAACAAGTTCAAGCTTTTCGATCATCTACAAGCACTGAAGAAGTACATGCTGCTCGGTGCCGGTGATTTCATCGCCGTTTTGATGGAATCTCTGTCATCCAACCTCGATCGACCAGCAAACACACAATACCGTCATACACTTACTGCTCAGCTTGAGCACGCTGTGCGTAACTCGAATGCGCAATTCGACACATCAGACGTCCTTCGTCGGCTTGATGCGCGTATGCTTGAGCTTTCGCATGGAGAAATTGGCTGGGATGTCTTCACCCTAGAATACAAGATTGATGCACCGGTCGACGTCATTGTTACACCATTCGGCTCAAAGCAATACCTCAAGGTATTCAACTTCCTCTGGAGAGTCAAACGTGTTGAGTTTGCTCTCGGTTCTACGTGGCGGCGGTGCATGACGGGCGCTCGTGGTGTTCTTGGCACAGTCACCGACAAGGTCGGCGCCGACTGGAAACAGGCGCGTTGTGCAATGGCCGAGATGGTGCATTTTGTGAATCAGCTTCAACACTACATCCTGTTTGAGGTCATTGAGTCATCCTGGATTGATCTTCAGAAGGCTCTAAACAAACCGGAGAGTACCTTGGATGATATGATCGAAGCGCATGCCAAGTACCTCAACAACATCACAAGGAAAGGGTTACTCGGAAGCCAAAGCATCGACTTCACTGGCCAATTGCATGAACTCCTGAAGACGATGCTAGCATACAAAGATGCCGTCGACGGTCTTTATTCCTTCTCCGTGGCTGAGTTCACCCGCAGGCAGGAGCACGCGGCCAAAATAGAGACACGAACAGCCGCCGGCCGATGGGGTCTGACGGAGAAAGACGTACAGCCATCGTCTCCAGACCCATTCGCTACTGCCCGTGCAGCTTCTCGATCGGACTCGGATTCGCCCTTCGCACCACCGCTTCTCAAGATTGGTGCTAGTGGCTTGGGTGAGGACGACGTGCTCCCTGCTCTTCAAAAGCGCTTGGGTGCATTGGTCGAAGACTTCAAGAGTCGGATCAGCGTACTACTTGGCGACTTGGTACATTCGCCTGATGGTGAGCTTAAGATGCTTGCTGTCAACATCAATTTCAATGATGTCTATCAACCTTCGCGCCGACGTAGGAAAAGCGAAAGGAAGCGCGAGAAGGACAAAGAGACCCCAAAGCCTGTTCCAACAACTGCTGCCAGCTAGAAATCATAGTGCTCTACAGGGCGCTCGGTTTTTCATCGTTGATTGAGAAGCCTCCCTTGACGCAGCGCATATTGTTGCCACTGGATTATATATGTACAAGGCGTATGGGTGTTTCTTGGACAAAGTCTGCCTCCTATTCTGCGGAATACTTGGTTATGTGGCGCTGTCAAATACTATACCCAACTTTTGTGCATCATGGAGTTCATATTTGGCTACTGTGGGTTACATGGTGATGTATTGGCTTGGGACTCTTGCGATTAACTAAGGGTTAATTATTGAGCTAGACCTTTGAATAGGTAATAACTTCGATACCAAGCTCCTCCTTCGCCTCACACAGTACTAGAAATAGTCTGTGTCAAGATCCGTAGCTGGATAGAGGGCCAGAAGGGCAGTCCTGTATATCTGAGACATTAAGTTCTGCATATGCCCATTACTCTAGATTGATCAGTAGGAATTAAATTTACGATGTTTCAGATGTCCCTGCGCCCTAACATCAAACTGGCACTCCACTTGTTATAGTTCATGACTACAAGGGGACCTACCGATTGCAACCACGGCCTGTATCCTTGCTAGTCTACGTATCAAAGCCGGCTCATTGGTGTGCGAGGAATCGAACTGATCAATATGCAGCATTAGTCCAGCCAAGCCCGGTAGGTAAACCGTTATACGGGAACTACCAAGGAAAACAACCCGACGTGCCTATGTCCCGTTACCCGTACCCATTACTCCGGTGAGATTATAGATGTTAGGACACGGTGTCTATTCCCACTGCGCCAAACAACCAAAAAGGTGCATATAATCCTTGAATGGATTATTCACGAATAGAATAGTATATATAGGCGCAGGGCACGCCATACCCCATAGTCCTACCATGCGCGCGCACGCCATGGCCTGACAATAGACCACGATGTCCCGGCGATAGTTCGCATGTCGTTCTGTAGATACTTTTCCAGCAGCACAAGTCCTAGGGCATGTTGAAAACAATTCAGAATCCAGTTATTTTAGTCACTTTTGTGTTGCGAAACGCCCTGGACAAGTTGATCTCCGTGAAGGATATATAGGTGAAACGCAGATCCTTCCCAAGATAAGTATATGGACTCGTACCCCAAAGCAATCCAAATCTGGATTGTATAGTTGGTATACATTACATAA